GATGACGATGACAACGACGCTTGTGTCGCGAGTAGCGACAATGCGGACCGCGAGTTCGTCTGCTTCTTTTGCTGTGGGGTTGCGGCGACGTCAGAAAGACTCTGAGCTCTGATTGGCTCCGATTGAAGGATAGTGGGTAGGTCTCAAGGCGGCTTGCCTTCGAGGTCTACCCACTATCCTTCAATCAGAGCCAATCAGTGCTAGGCGTTATGATGATGTCACCGCAACCCGCGGCAAATAAAGCAGACGAACTCGCGGTCCGCGTTGATGGACGAAGATCGGGTTAGTGAGGGTCAAGATCAACGAAAGAATGAACATGTGGGACAAACACAATTCACAGCCACGTCCTTCAACTAGCAATGAACATAGGGGAATCACGAAAGCGAGTACCCGATTAAAGGCGGGACAGTTGAGGAAATGGAAAGTGACTAGGAAGAGAGGTAGGAGGGGAGAGGCGATAAGAAGAATGCAAAGTCAGGTAGAAAGAGTCATCTCCGATTTGAGAAACTTCAGTTTTCGTCAGAAACCGTGAGGAATTAGAAACGTTTATATTTCAATTCAATGCAAAGGTGCAAGCGAGCTGGATAAGGATGACGAAAATAATCCCTGGAGAAGGGGAACAAGAGGGACAAAGGACAAAGGACAAACACAAAACTCCAAACACAGTTAGGTGATTGGTGTGCGACCGAAAAAATCCGCCTGGTCCGGGTATCGAACCCGGGACCTCTCCATTATAGGTGGAGCATTCTACCAACTGTTGTGTTTGTCCTTTGTCCCTCTTGTTCCCCTTCTCCAGGGATTATTTTCGTCATTAGAAATGTTGTTTGCGCTGTCCGTGGCGAATGACTCTCTAATAGCCGTGTATCTTTTTTTATGTATACTACTAAGCGTTCTTGTTATTTTTTTTTAAACCCCCTTTGCACTAGACTACTCTAAATAAATAAAATAAAAGTCGCACTGGTGAAAAGTCGAACTTCGTCGAACTTTGTCAAAAACTCAGAGGTTCGTCGCACTAGCTGAACCCCGAGCTCGGTAAAAAGTTGGAATCATCCTTTGTTTCAGCGTATAACTTGGCAAAGAGCAAACGCTTTTTGTGTGTTCCAGACGTCACTTTTGTCTCCCTATAAGATTAGCCGGTCACTCGATATTCGTACACGCAACTTGTCACGTGATACGCGCAACTTGTCACGCGTCTCCCTCCGACGTGCTGATTGGCTGACTCGGACCGTAGCCTTCGCCATTTGCCACGTTACACGAGTACACCAGAGCCCCGGGGGAGGGCGGAACACCACGACGCGAGCAAGCGACGAAAACCCTGGAAAAGCCGAAAATAAACGCTTTGCCCGAACAAGGGTCATCAAGCCCCTCTCATCTCCACTCTCTCCTCCACAACAGCAGTCTCTCCTTCCTTCTACGAATCATCGTTTTTATTTCCTTTTCGTTGCTCTTTCCACGTTGTGTGAGATCGGCGACCTAAAATATCTCGCGTGATATGCTCATGCAGCTTCTCCACGTGTCTCACGAAGGAAAAAGCTCAGTGACACCTAGCGGCATCCCAAGAAAACGACCACGAAAGAGTGGATCCAGTTGATTAGATCTGTACCCAGTATAAACAGTAATATAACCAGTATGTAAAGCGCGAGAGTGTGGAAAGCTGTGGCAGTTTGACAGTTTAATAACCGGGGAAGATGCGATGAAACACGGTAAAGATTGCAACTGGAGCATATGTGACAGACGACCATAAAGGTTAGAGCAGACGCCATAAGTGGGCCGGGAATTAAATGAAATAAAGAAACGAACGCACGGCACAAAAATTATACAAAACTGAAAAAAAAAAAAAAGAAAAAACACTATGAGAACAAATATAAAGATTAAAAAAAGAAAAGTTGCCCGTGTGCTAACTATTCGCTACGCATAATTACGCAGGCTTTGCAGTTTGGCGCTTTGTATTTATTCTTATAATTTCTTATTTTCGTGCTACCATTTTCTTCAATTTTTCCGTAGAGTAGCAACCGAGATTTCATCGGTTAATTTTGTCTAATTTTCCTCGATCAATAAATGAATAAATAAACGAAACTTTTCACAAGTAATTATTGGAAACTGCCAAATAAAATGCGTATCGATAAATCCAGGAGTCTGCTAAAACGTGAGAACGACTAAAAAAGAAAAATTGGAACCAATTTTATTTTCCGAGGCGGCAAAACTTCCCGAAAGAAAAATTCATGATTATTTGCCCGCTTGCCCGATATATTTCTTCAGTACTTTTCGCGTAAAAGTATTACGTATATCCAAAAATTTATTACAACTAAAAAAAAAACAAAAAAAAAAAACAAAAAAAACACGAAAGGTTAGAGCGTGAGAAGGGAGAGAAAGCAAATACTGCAATATAATATACAAAGCAACAAACCATTGCTTTTTTTTGTTTTTTTTCCTTCATTAGCGACCATGTTGTTGTCTCCTGTCATCGCCTATCGGGCTTCCAGTGTTTGTTTAACAAAGGAGCATTAGTTAACGAGGGGGCTATAAATACCTGCGGCGATTGTAAACTAAGCACTGTTTGGAGCACTACTGGAGTAGACGGGACTACACGGAGCAACTAAACCCCTATGCCTGCAATCCTCATGTAAAAAAGGAAAAAAAAGAAAAAAAAAATTACAAAAACAATCCTATAAAACTGCAAACGCAAAAAAAAAAAAAAAAAAAAAAAAGCTCCGAAGTTTTGGGAAGGGTGGTGGCGCCATCTCATTTCATAACAAAAAACTAAATTGATTTTATTCCAAAACGAAACCAAGTGCTGCTTGCGTTGCTTGCGTACTCAGGCACAAGTCGTGCCTAAATTTTCGCTATCTCAGGGAGGACAAAAGAGTTTCACAATGACGTTAGAACCAATCGTAGGCGAATGAATAGCGCCGTATACTGCACGCTTGATGGATGCTGGCTAAGGCCGGAAACCAAGAATTAAGTTTATTTCGGCATATGTTGATATATCGGTGGAGGCGTTTCTCTCTTTTTGGATAAGGGACTGCATTATTTTTACCGCCAAGGCGACATCCGGGACAAGTGCTGAGCTAAGCTCTTGCATGCAGCGCGTCCTCGCTTAAAAATAAGTTTGCGTCGACTGTCGGCGACGGCTGCTTGACCTCGGCGGACATGAAGTGCGCAAGGTGCTTACAAGAGTCATTAGTTGCCATTAGCTGAGGGCAGCCGCAAGAACGCGCCCTCGCCTTCAGTCGAGACGACAAGTCGGTGCGCAACAAAGTGGCGTGCCAAACGCTGGCGTTCTGCCGTGTTTACAGTATACGGTACGTACTCGTTGACAGGCAGCTGTGTAAGTGCACACCCCTCTACTCACTTACCAACAAGCTTCCGTCGTTTACGCTTGTCCGGATCTGGCATGCAGCTGAACGTCGGATATAAACTGTGTCGTTGAAGTGCGACATCACAATGCTCAAAGAAGCTGGACAAGCTGGTGATACGCATTCCTTTTTATGTGTCTCCTTATTTGCTTCATTTTATTGCGTCAGGTTTTAATTATGCTCGTTCTACAATGCACGCCATATAAAACAAGATAAAAACTAATAAAAAAAATTTCCGAGATGTTGGGTAAAAAAAGAATCTTTAATTTTTTTTTATTAGTCTCTGGTACTTGTAAAGAAAGTGTAAAAACACAGTGGACACTGGACAAGTGCACATAACTAGCCGACACTGGGCAGCAGGGACTTTTAGCAGGCCGTATTCTACAGCTAGTGTGGAGCTCGTGCCTACAGGGTTTTTCTTTTTTTCACCGCAAAAATAAACTACGCATCTCCGAACGCTCATTCTCCTCCCAAAGGTAGCGGTAGAGGTCCGAAACAGGTGCCAAAGTTTCAGTCCGAACCGATAGCTTATTCAAAAGTTGTAAGTGATTTCCTGAAATTTTCAATGAGAAAATGATGGCCGACAGCTCTCGAGATCTGATTGCAAGTGAGCTGGTCAAGAGTAACGAAAATAATCCCTGGAGAAGGGAACAAGAGCACAACCCGGGACTTCTAATCTCCAGTGGAGCGCTCTTCCAACTGAGCTAATCACTGGGGTTAGACTTTAGTTAGAGCTAACGAGTTTTATCAGCTGCCACCAGTCTAATACCAACAAGGGTGAAGCTTGGTTGTTGTAGTAAATCTCGTCGCCAAAATGTTGAATAAAAGGAAAGCGGTCACCCGAGAAAACACAACGCGTGAAACAGGCTTCGCCTTGCGCGTTACCCAAACAGCGCAGGAAGCGAGTTGACAAGCCGTAGGGTCCAAGATCTGCACTAATCTGCGCGGCTTGGGCAGCTTGTCCCAGTCTGTCCTACCCGTGACGTCACAAACGATGATGAGGATAGCTAGAGAATCACCTCCTGTAGTTCGCGCGCGCCGCCAATGGCGCCAGAAAACGAAAACTGGCGAAAATGGGCCTCCGTTTTCCTTTTGAATAAGATATCAGTTCGGGCTGAAACTTTGCAATTTGGTTCGAACCCCTAGCGCTACCTTATTTGGCGGAGAATGAGCGTTGGACGACACAGTTTATTTTTGCGGTGAGAAAACCCTGCAAATGTTTTTCGGTGAGCCCGCGCCCGATGGGCCCGCTTTCCGCAGCGTAGGATCGTGTAAAGAACAAGGACGTTGGTAAATAATGAACAGTCACCACCTTCATCGTTTTTTTTATATAAATATTTTTTTAAAGCTTTCCAAGACATCTTTGAATTATGAACTTCAAGTTACAATAATAATGCCACAACAAAGACACACAGAAGACGAAAACGAAAGTTGAACTTTTCATAAAGTAGGATACTTTAATTTAGTGCCTTCCTAACGATATTTTTACTTGGCTTTAATATAAAACGTATTGTTCATCTCGGCTATCTTTTTTTTTTTTTTTTTTGAACATATATTATGTTTGGTGTGCTCTGTGTGTGTTGTGAAGTTGTGAACATAGGTCACTGACATAGGTTGTGAACCGCGCGATAGATTTCATTCGGCATTCGCAACGCAATACGCATCGCGAAACGCCCGCGCGCCCGCACCGCCTCTGGTGTCAAGCAGCCGTATCAATCCTTGTGCGACCGACTCTCGTTTCGAAATTCGCGTGGAGTGAATAGAAATTGCTAAGTTTTGACGTGATCTACGGAATTATCATGTGAATCAGTGGGTCATAATGACCAAACTAACTCCACCCAAGACTGTTCCCAAGGCAGTGAGCCGCTGCTGCGCCCCGACTTGTGCAAACAGCTCGGACAACACCGACGGCGTGTGCTTTTTCCGATTCCCCAAAGACGAAGAAAGGTGAGGTTCAAGAGAAAAAAAGTCGGAAATCTCTTCTTCGCAAACATATAGAGCCCAAACAAAGGACGTAAAAAAAACCGTCGCCGTCTTCTCTTCAGAGCGTCAGCATTTCTCTCTTCGGTCGAGCGGCTGCGGCGCGTCTTTGCGGCCAGAAACTGGCAACGCAGCGCTAGGTTCTGGTTTTGTCTTCGCTAGGCCTAATTCGCGCCTTTTCAAGGCTAGTCGATTACGGTTTCATTTTCGGCCCATGCGACTCGTGGCTGCGAGTATCTCTCAAAACAAACTTTTACGGCTACGCAGATGTCGTCTGTCGCCCTTTGTGATTGAGTTTTCGGCAGGATCCATGCCGGAACGCGCACTGCTATCATCCGGATGGATTTCCTTTTCCAGCTCGTAAACAGCCGAGAACTCGGTGCGGCGTACCGAAACTGAACCCTGCGTACGCGTTTGCGCCATTTGCAGATGGTTCCGTTTTTAACTTTTGCGCGTCTCTACAGCAGCTCTTCCCCGTTAAACTTCGAACCATCTGTGAACCGCAAGTTTCGCAGAAAGCGCTTTTAGTTTTTAGCAGTTCATAATCTTTTGAAGCTTTCCTTTCTTAGTTTTTGTTTGATATCTGTTTATCAACGTCGTTAGCCGGGGAGATAGCGTCTTTCGACTTCAATGAAGTTTTAAAGGTTACTTCATCGATTTGTTTGACAGTACAGCTTTGTGGTGCTGTAGTGTGTCGAAAATAGACCGAGTTGGTTGTTTTAGGTTTCATGCGTGTTCTGCACAAACCGTTGAACTGCCTGTAAGTTGACGCCGAATGCTCGCTCCAATTCTTTTGGTACACGCTAATATAAATATTTCGCGAGCTTCAATTTATTCAATTATTAGAATCCATAGGCCACAGCACTTATTATTCCTTCTTGTGAATATCTTCTAGGGTGTGGCATAAGATTATATCATCATCGTCCACATGCATCAGCCCTTGTTGGTTGGCATTGATGAGCCGTATCTTCCAACTGCATGATGTGTGAGGACTATAAGCGTGAACATATACTTCAATTTATAAATCAGCGAGTCCAACAGAACTCTGCATTTCGCAAGTTGGTTTGAATGGCTTTTCTGGTGTGTTTTATTGGTTTTTTTTTCACGTGAACAGGAGACCCCTGAAGTGACGTGCCATTGCAATTGCTATGCCGTGGTTAACTGTGTACCTCACGCTGCGTAAATGCAGTGCTGGCTGTATCGTCTCTGCACTTTTCAACCGACACACCTCCTACCCCGTGATAAAGAGACGAAAAGTTTGGTGGCAGAACAAAACTTTTGGGCGAACTATCCACTTCGTTTCACCGTTACTTGGCGAAAAGGGAACTCGGAGTGACAAAAGCAAGGCATGTGTCAGCCCTTACCAAACGTGCGGGGCGAGAGCATAACCCAAGCAGTTAGAAAAGAGAGGTAGGAGGAACTTCCCTCCTACCCCAATCCTCTTATGTGCATTCCAGAAGTTTTTCTACCCTTAGAACAGGGGCCTCAAACACGCTGGCCATGTGAGGCCTGCCACTCGCTGGGACGCGGCCCCCAAGCGGCTGCGAACCCCTGTTCTTGTGTTCGAGCTCTATATGAGGGCTGTCTAACTTCTGGCTGTACAAACATAGCACACAATTATCATTATAGTATTGGTCCGTTTAAGCTCGAAATGTAGCTCTGCTCTTATAACGTCCTCACATATTTTTTCTTTTCCATTTTCTTTTACGCTGTTTTGTCTTAATTTTTGCCTCTCAGCCCTTCCGCAGGTCACTTACCTGCACGACAATCCCACTGCTATGCGACATGCACAATCTCTTTAGGGTGCACCTTGGCTGCTCAAACTCTTGCTCAGCAGGAGCGAGAACTAGAGGAAACCCCCCACCAAGCGTGTGCCCAGACATCGGCACCCAAGGCTTGCCACAATAAAGTTTATTCCTCCTTCTCCTCCTTCTAAAGATAAAGCTGTGAGCTCGAGTTTCTAGCAGTCAAGCATTGCATTTAAGGGACAATTTTCTTTTTGTAATGCTGCTATAAAACCTATTAGGCAAGTAAAAAAAAATTGTTTGAAGAGTTCTTTTCTCGCTTTAGACATGTTGAACTTGTTTAATTTCTAAGGGAACTGAGCGACACGGCAACAACAATCTGCTTGGTGTCTTGTTCTATTGAAAAGTGAAAGTATGTTAGTGACACTGTGTCATTTTAAACCTCGTTATCGCAGGAATGGGCCCAAAGCAGTCTCATAAAGAAATCAAAGCTGAACATGTTGCCGCTAAAATGGGGAGTTTACGAAAAGCAGCTAAGAACACGAGATCCTCTCTAGGAAGCCTCAAGTGTGCCGCTGAGAAATTCGGCTACTTTGTAGCGTAAAATACACTGCTTTATCTTTTCTAAAACATAATTCCTCCCCTCACACCGTCCCCGCGTTGGCCCTAAATTTTTCAGTGGCATGCTATCTGGCCCCCCCATCTGAAAGATTAGCCCGTTACTCAAAATTCGTACGAAAGCTGTTTTTCTCTCTCTCCCAGCCTCGTGTCTCCTTCCGACACGCTGATTGACTCATTGGAACCGTAGCCTTCGCCGTTTGCCAAGTTACGGCGAGGCGGAGTTTAGAAATAGTTCATTGCTTGTTTACACATGTTTCGGTCCTTGTGTCATTCATCTTGATCGCTTGGGAGATTGGATCAGGCCGTAGTGGCTTAATACTTCGTAAAAAAAACATTCTCAGTTTAAGAAAAAAAAAAAAAGAAAAAAAATGTCTGCTCTGTCAAGGTTGCTTGGTTTCAAGTTTCCGTTTCCCTTTTTTCTGTCCCAGGTGCAAGAAATGGGTGGCCAACTGTGGTCGTGCGGACTTGGAGGGCAAGCCGGCGGAGAAGCTGTTTTCCAGCTACTACCTCTGTTCGGCTCACTTCCGCAAGGGCTGTTTCAGCAGCAGATACCGCAATCGGCTCGTCTGGAATGCCGTCCCCACCGTCTTCAAGCACACCGCCAAGGAGGAGCCTCCTCCGGCAGCCAAAGCCACGGCCAAAGCTTCAGCCAACTTGGCCAAGCCGACGCGGGCAGTCACATCCGTGAGCCAACGTGAGTGTTTATTTGGCTGTGCGTGTGCCATTTTGTGGCAAACTCTAGGGGGTTGTAACTTGATGTTTAGTGCCTGTGGGTACTCTCGTAGATCACAAGTAGCAATGAGCAGACATGACCACAGAAACAGACGTCCACATTCACGTCGCCTTGTCATCGAAGCTGGTTATTGTCATGTACTTTTTCGTGAAGATTGGTGTATTTTGCTGTACCATTAGTGTCCACCCTGCTAAAACCTTAATGAGGTTGCAGTATTGAATAAATCAATAAATCAGACAGATGTGGCGGATAACAGATGCACTCTGTCTGTTAAAATTAATATATCGATAGATCACTATTATTTTGATGGATGCATACTAGCCAACTCGCTTTGGGTTCACCTGCCTCTTCAATAACTTGTACAAGTCTTCATAAAAACTGGTCATTTGAGCAGATGAACTCCGTCCAAAGGCTAGATTTTTGCTTCCAACATTTTGCTTCGTTAGTGGTAGAATCCGGAGTAGGGCGCGGAGCTTTCACCGATGCATAGCTCAATTTTGCGAAGTGGGGAACCAGCATTCTTCTTTGCAGAGCTTGCTGTACTCTCGTGCGATGGGCGTGTGCCAACGTCTCGGAGTGCGTTTTCTTGGATTTGCAGAGAGGTTCCGACGGTTCTTCGGGTTCGCCAGCAAGCGTCGCACGTCCGTGCAGCTGCGTCCGGGGGCGCCACTGCTCTCGTCGGCGCCGAGCCCCCCCCAGCTAAAAGGAGCCGCCACGAAGGACATCCCACAGGTAACTCTGCCCCCCGTCCTCCCCCTAGTTCGTCTTCACCGATACGGCTATGGTAACACCGCGGCCTGTTGGCAGAACTGTCAAGTAGCTGCTGAAAAGCGCTTGAGTTTCTGTAATTTATTACATTTCTTGTAAATGAACGCCTCCCAAGCTTTGATGAAACTACAGTCACACCACGAGGTGAGGACAGCAAGGCGTCTCTTTCGAACGTCCGGCCTCCTGCACATGCTCGTTGCGTTCCACTGTGCTTTGCTGCACATGCATGCTCTAAGTTCACGAGACACCAAAGCGTTGAAGGTACGGAACATGCGCCGGACGCAGTATGACCGAACGTCTTCCCTGGCATTTTCTCATCCAGTTGGCAACTGCATCTTGGGAGTAATTTTTGATCTTGAATCGATTACAGTGATTTTTCAAACAGGACGTTGAACCCGACGGATGCGTACCGATTCATGTTGATTGAGTCCCGGCGTCAGCGCCCCGTGCCGCTACTGTTTCGGGCTTTCTTGCGAGCGGAGCTCTGAATCGAGACGGAACTGCTCCGGTATTCCTCTTCCGCGTCAGAAACCGAACCGCTAATGGCCGTTCGGAGCTCAGCTCGACGTTGCGACGCACCTCCGAAGGTAATTGGAACGGCGCTCTGTCACTTTTTGTGAGCCACCGAACCTGTAAGAAAGATGTTTCCCTAAAGACATAACCGTTTTTGGAGGATGATGCATGCGAACAGGACGGCTCGGGCACTCTTTGTGAGCCGTACCTGTAACCAAATGCATCCCTAAAGCAACCGTATTGGGAGGATGAAAACATAGTTTCGTTGTAATCTAAACTGTGAGACTAAGAGGACCGAAACGACGGACGACCTGACACAAAGTCCTAGTTCAGATTCTGTTGCGTCGTCCGATTGCTTTATTTTTTTCTATAGTCACTCGAGAGGTGATGACGGCAGAGAGGAGGTTCGGTTGTCCCCTTCTGCGAGCTTCCTACATTCGACAAAGCTTCAACGCCTCGAGCGCACACGCTTAGCGAAGGCCTGGCGTTTGAAAGCCGTGCCCCGCTGCCACTCTCATTCTGCCCCTGACTGTAGCCTCGCCATTTAAATTATGACGTCTCCCGACCAGCTTGCCCGCATACTTCCTCTTTTTGCATTTAGTTGTTAGTTTTTAAAATACTTAAGGTTGACGTCTGTAGCTCCGGCCTTCACGGCCGTTTGACGTCGATCCCGACGCTTTCAGGTGGTAAAGGCAGAGGCGGCAGAGGCTGAAAATCCCCGACTGCCGGTGTACATCGAGGACCACCTGTATGCTGCCCAAACGGCCGCCCACACGGCTGCCTGCGCAGCCGTCCAGCCAGTCTTTAGCACGCGGTTCAGCATGCCCTCTCCGTCGCAGGTAGGGGAGCGCATCGCGTCGACGCCTCCCAGACGACGCACTCTTAGCTCTCGATTTCTCGCGTGCCGGAGATTAGTGCAGGCTGCAGACTGGGCACGATGCGGCAGAGGACGGGGCTATCGTGGCGTGTCCCAGAATGAAATGTGCAGTTTTTGTTTTTTTTGCCATAAAAACAAACGACGCATTGCTGAACGCTCGGCCATCGCACAAACCTAACGCTATACTCTCTTTCAACTTATGATGTACCGCAGTAAAAGGTGCAAGCGCGAGCATCATCTTGCTCTGGGACACATCTCACCGGCACAAGCTCTCGTGCGTTAAGAGCAGCTCCCAACGGTATGAGCTCGCGCTTCTAGCCTTTTCTGCGGTACAGCATAAGGTGAAACGGAGTATAGCAGTACGAAACAGGTGCCAAAGTTTTGAAACTGACTGTCATCTTATTTGATGGTCATAGGAGATTTTCTGAAGGTTTCAATGGGAAAATGGGGCCTAATCTTGGTAACTGGCATCGTTCAGCTTTGCGTATTCGGGGGCTCCGTCGACCACAATTTTGCCATTGAAAATTTTCGGAAAATCGCTTGTATGTCTTTAATAAGGTAACAGTTCTGATACTTTGGCATCAAGTTGGATCCTTAGTGCTACACTTGGGCAAAGAGTGAGCATACAACACTGCATAGGTGGTTTTTATCTATAAAAAATGGCTTTTTATCACGATCAAAAATTTATGTGCAGTTATTGACATTTTGTTAGTGAAGCATCTCGATTCCGCGACCTTCTCGGCTCAGCAGTAGAATCAGGCGGCTTTATGACATGCCCCGAGAATGCTCGTAAGGGAAAGTTTATTGCACGAATGATATCAGAGTGGAAATTAGTGACTCTCGAAACTTGGCAAGCCGTGGCACTGCTGTAGAGCAGAAATTTGATCGGCGCAGCACGACTGCAACCCCGGACACAGGCATTTATCGCGCATACAGCGTTCCCACTTGGGTATGACGACACCCGTGCACATCTAAGAAATTCAGTGTTTCTTTACCTTTTTTTCTTAACAGTGGTGGGGATATTGGAAAAAAAAACTGCACGTACAGCTTGACGACAGAAAGTACAAAATGCAGGAGCGTTTTGCACTTTTATTACGCGAACGAACCGGGTCACGCGTTAAATTTGTGACGTGCTCGCTCCGTTCTCATTGTTTCCCGAACTCACCTTGGTAAGAGAGAAGAAATTGAGCTACTTCAGGGACGTGACGGAGCGTACGAGCCGGCCCGACTGTACGTCGAGGCAACCTTAGAGTTCCCCGCTCCGTGTGGTGCGGCGTTGGGTTGACGAGAGGCCTCAACATCGCGCACATCCACAGAGGGATGTGCGTGACGTAGACGGAAAATTCCTTCTCGTCTTCATTAATCACACCGACGAAGTGCCGGGGGGGAGAGGATATCAGCGTTTGCAGTCCAATTTTGTGTTTTTCACTCTCGACGTCCCCTACATGTGATGGCAAAGCGCTAACGGCAAACTATCATTAAAACAATCTGATCCGCCACCAAACCAGGGCTTTTTGTATTGTCCGTGCACCCCTCGCTCCCCCCGCCGCAGAGCCGATATCGGAGTTCCGCGTTGCAAAAGCCTACCATCTTCGTCGCACGACGTGCGCTTGGGGGAGAAATCCCCGGTATTTCTTCTCCTTGTGCATACCGCTTAAATCGTGTTGAGTAGCTTTTGTTTGTTCTTTCTCTCTGTCCAGTCCAACGTGAACAGGGTGCACGAGATCATAGTGGACCACTTGGATGGAGACAGGCTGGTCATGGACGTCGTCGAGGGGGGCAGCATCATGGACGAGAAGGTGGGGCGCCGCTCGGCAAATCCTTCCCTCCAATCGCGTTCGGTGCCATCTGTCGGCGAGCCAGGGAGCAGTTCTTGCGGCCTTCTAAAATATTGTGGCTGGTTGCTGCACCTGTGTCGTCGTAAACAAAGGTGGACCAAGATTACGGCGTGCTGCTATCGAAATGCCAGTCTACCCCCGTCTACACACCGGCACCGCCGCATAAGTACCGGCAAAAAGGGCGGACGTCTGCTCCTGCCACGGATATGCATAGGTAACGTCTTGTTTGGCGAAAAGTCGGTGAGCGCGCAGGCTAACTGTCGGTAGTTGATCGTATGCGCTCAAGACCCGAGACTGAAGGGGGGGGGGGGGGGGGGGGGGGGGGAGTGAGTGAGTGAGTGAGGGTGAGGGTGAGGAAAAGAAAACTTTAAACTCGAAGAAAGAAATGCTGGAGGGAAACGGCTTTCCATATGTCTTGCTTCATGATCCCAACGTCCAGTGTTTGTTCCCTCCATTTTTTTTTAATTTTTTTTGACACGTTTGAATTTTTTTTTTTTGGTATGCAAATTTAATACTTTTGCGTTTGCTGCAGGGGGGTGGGCCAGTAGGTAACGATTCCCGGTTCCTTGCTCTCGTTTCCCGCTAATGAACTTTGGCAACATCCGGGACTCCACACACTTAGTCTTACACAGTTATGCGCACTTCGACATCACGCAACGCAGTGACGTCGCTTGGCACCACGACGTCATGCGATGCCTGATTCCCGCGAAATTTGGCAGAGAAATTCTAAGCTACTGTTAGCAGAAGAATTGTGAAACGACATTGCATGACATTGATGTCACAATAGAGAGTTCTAGAATAGGGGGCCCCGACACTTGGGATCCCCCAAGCAGCTCGGGGCATTGCATTGCAATGCGCAGTGCAATGCCCCAAGTTGTTACAGTGACCCAGGGTGTCAGGTGCCCCTGCTCCTATTCTATGACTCCCCAATACCACGACACTGCAACTTCCTGATAAATATAGCGGGAAAATTTCCCGCTATATCTAGCGGGCCACGACATATGTTTACGCAACACACGGGATCCCCCGTGAAACCTTGCCGGTAACGACCATCGCCAAAAAAACACAGCGAACGTATGCATAAACGTGCGCAGGACGCGGAGGCGTTCAAGGCGGCGGTGGAGGCGGCCCTCCCGCTGCTGCAGCTGAGCCAGCAGGTGCCCCTGGGGCCGCCCCCGCGGCAGACGGTGGTGGTGACCACATCGACCGCGCCCCCCACATATGCCCGGCCGAAGGAGGACCCCAGCGGGGAGGAGGCGGAGGGCGGCTCGCCGAGGGTCAGGGCCTCCCGCAAGGGCCCCCGCATGATGCAGGATTTCCTGCTGCCCCACCTGGACAGGGGCACCTTTGGGGAGCGCCTGCAGTGGCTCGACCGGGCCAACGGCGTCTTCCAGATCGGCTGGTACCACAAGAACGCAGCGCAGTGGACCAAGGATGACTGCGTTGTGTTCTTGGTAAGTCTCTCGGCCCTTGCGACACTTTTTTTGCGTCAATCCGATGGAAGCGTGGCGGGGCACGATTGTAACCGCTGGGTTGGATGGTTTGCGACTGCTGAATCTGTAACCGAAGACTTTCTATGATAACTGCTGGAACTGAAATGGGACCCTTTAACTGCTGAGACTGAAACAGGAGGAGACTTTTCACTGACAAAGTGAGAATGACGGGGAGGGGTTTCAGTTTTCAGCCTCGAACTTGCACTCGCTTCCATCCATAACGACTCGTTGTCTCGTGAGCCTCGAGCGGGCAAGCGCAGCCAGAGTGCAAAGAAAGGCAACGAATGCTCATTGGAGGTCGGGCGTTCGAAAGAGGCTCCCTGCCGTTCTTATCCTGCCAGTTACCCTATAGCACGTAAACGGGTCACAACCTCTATGTACAACTCTGGGAATGCACAGGCGTGTAGGCGGCGCACCTGGGCTTGGAGGTGGCGGAGTGACCGTAGGGCGCATCCAACCCTCTCCCTAACAGGAATGGGACAGACTGAAGAAGCGTCCCGTGGCCCAGAATCCCCACTACTGGATGGAGGCCAAGCAACGCTTCCGGGCTGCCCTGGGTAAAGTCACGTTTGGGTGGACGCAGCCCCGCTGCAAGGCCACGGGGGGCGAGCTGAAGAATGTCAAGGTGCGCAAGATCAAGTGGACCAGAGGTGAGAGATCGGGGCCCACTCCTCTTCGCGACGGCAATCTCGATCTCGGTGGCCGCTTTGGGTTCGCCGAAACTGCCTGAAACCGAGGCCATGAGCTAACCTTAAACCCGAACGCCGCACATACAGATTCTCTTGCCAGTAGCTATGAGACACGGGTACAGTGCCACCTGCTTATAACGATAAGGAGGAAACCCCAAATTTCAATCGTTATAACTGATTATCGTCTTATCTGGACTAGAAAGTGATTATTTCCAGTCTAGAATCTCTAGAAACTAATCGTTATGAGCAGTACATCGTTATATGTGGTATCGTTATAAGTGGATTGCACTGTTGTCTTGTCTGGGAAGCACTTGCTCAAAGAAGCGGTAACTAAAAGTTTTGCTCTTGTGCCAGGCGAAGGAGTTTGTACAGAATTTGGGTGTCGGAAGAAACAATACTTTTGACAGTTGAAACGTGTGCTATGTCTTGGTAAAATAACGTGAAGCTAATCTAAGGTGCATCTGCATATATATCGATTCAACGCATGAAAGAGGAAATTGGTAACATTCCACGAGGAGTCAGAATTTTTTTTATTACGGTTCTCGAGGTGAATGCAAGTATCCATTTCTGTTAACCTGACAATCGACTGTGAGTTTCGTATGCCACATTGGTATTGTTCTTGCCCGTGTTTCGCGTTCATTCCTTTCGCCTCCTGTCATCTGTAATGGCCTCTGGGCTTCGAGGATGGCGACACGAGTCAATATCCTCGGGATTAGGAATAACCAAAACATCATCCTTACCTCTTCGTTTCGTTGAGGGATGGGGCACTCTCTAGTCGGGGAAAAAAAAATGGAGAGTTGAGTGGGAAGAGGAATTCGAGCTTCGTATGTGCACCACCTAGCTCGTGTGAACGGGTGTGCACGAGTGCAAGACTGATTACTGTCCTATGGTGTGCGAACGCGAGGGGCCTATTCTGGGCGCGGGCCAGTCGGAGTGCAGTTCCTGGAACGCGTCTCCAACCAGCGTGGTTACTGCATCCTCATCTGTGGTCCCTCGACCACAAACGAGGACGCGACGACGTCACGCACGTGCCGCGTTGCCTGCCGCGATCCTGGCAGTGGCACGGTGGCGGAGTTCTAGCTGAAGAATGACAAATGGCAGACGCCCGTTCTGCCATAGGTGGCTCTCCTGTTAGATAGTTTGCGGGGGCTTCGTTAGCCAGGTGAAAAGAATGGTGACTACGGCGATGCAGTGGAAGCTCGTTGATACAATCCCGCAAAATGCATTTTTTGGTATAATGTGTTTTTCTTCTTATGCCTGGCCAGTTGCATAGCTAGGCCATCCGGCACCTGGGGCCCTTCTTACAGGAGTTGAATAGGCGCGGAAGGGAAGGGAAATCCGGTTCAGCCAGTTCAGAGTGACGTCACGACGTTTGGTCATTTCCTTTTAAATAATGTTTTTGTGTTTTTCGAGCAAAACATCGGTGTCTCCTCCGCGTTGTGGCCAGAACGTGGTTGACATTTGGACGATACAATAGGCGCTAGAATTTTGTTGCAGCGCGCATACCGTATTTAAAAAAGTAATCTCGATTGATGCTCGCCATCCCCACGCAGACATGCGGCCTCCGCTGGGCGACAACTGGCAGCCCCGGGACCCAAACTGGGCCTGCATGACCCACGGCAGGGTCCATCGCCCGACCATCAGCCGCGTGCGCCGGCAGTCGCCCCCTCCTCAGCTGCCCTACGGCGAAGCCAACGGGGGACGCTGGAACGAGGCTGAGGAGGAGGAGGACTCGTGGGGCGCCCCGGGGGACCCCTGCGTGTGCCACCGCTGCGGCTACACGACCCGCAACCGGCGGGTGTTCCTGCGGCACCGCATGATGCACCGGGACGTGCGGGCCTTCTGCTGCCGCTACTGCACCCAGCGCTTTTGCCTGCCGGAGAGCCTCTTCCTGCACCTCCAGGTGAGGGCCGGAGGGGGACGCCCTCTCGCCATATATGAGAACCCATTGTATGAGAACCCGTGGACCTTGCTTTGCTCTTGTTGGTCCCACTGTGGCGGGCGGAGTGTTCACAACGGAGGGCAACCCTTGGTTTGAGGTCGTTGCATCTGCTCTTTAAAGTGAAGAATCGTGCGACATTGTAATGTCACGTGACGTAACGTCACAATTTCCTCTCTAAATTCCGGTAGGAAGTGGTGCACCTTCGTCGCATCTCACAGAATGTCTAAGCCAGAGTGCCCAAATACGCCACAAAATAAGTTCCCTCCCCCCCCACTTACTCACCTACCTCTCTAAAAAAAAAAAAAAAAAATTGATACTTGGATGTCTTGACGGTAAAGCTAGTTTAGGATTAGCTCGTAATTCAAGCTGTGCCTCGCAACAAAAGTTTTTTTCCTAATTTTTGTAAAAGGGGGGAAACTTTTTTTTTTTTTTTTTTTTTTGTTATTTATACATTTTTTATGCATAGCCAGGGGGCCCAAACTTTTTTTTTTGAGGGGGTAGTTCGGTATTTCTTTAAAGGGCAAGTTAAATCAATTCCATAAATTTCAGAAGAACAGACGATTTGAGAGCGAGCGGCATCGGCATCTCGTCGACTTTGCATACAACCATTGTTTGTTCTAATATCACATCTAAAGCAAAAAAAGAAAAATCTGAGACGCTCTTTGGTCTACATTGGAACGTCTTGTATGCTGAATGCATTAGCAACAATAGTGGAACATTTTTTTCTAAATCTAATTTTAAACACGAGCAGAAAACAAAACTTCGGCTCTGTTCGGCAACATTCGCCTCGGGCCTCCAAGTACATGGCTATCGCATGGTACGAGATGCCACGTGATCCTCTACGCAAGGACGGGCAAAATTGGGGCGGGTGTGTGCCAGGTGCAAGTGTCGTCTGCACCGCACTCTTCACCACATTTTGGTGTCTGCTGCATTCAGAGACGTGTGCACAACTGTGGCATAAGAGTGTGCACATAGTATCCATAGTGTGGATGAAACTCAGAGAGGCAATAATCGCAAACAGTGAGATGCCAACGGCGACGGAGACGTGGGAGACAGCGGAGCCACGGCGGGGCGGCCAAACGGCTTCCAAGAAGAGCCCTGCGCAGGCACGTTACGCCAATCATGTGGACACCGCTGAGTGCCCAGAGGAAGCATTGCTGACGTCACCCCTTACGCTTGCCGAGAGAATTAAAAGCAAGCAAAAGATGGCAATGGGGATGACGTTTAGCTCAACGTTGGTTTCGCCCACGCCATGCCTTGACTGCACTGTTGGTTGCGCCTCAACTCGCCCGCTCGAGTGAGCCGATTTTGGGAACCATTTAGACAGAACTACGTCGTAACATTTGATGTGTGGCCTTCCTAGGCATTACTAAAAAAGACTGCATTGTTTTTTCAAAAATAAAAATGAAGCGGAGTTGCTTCTAAAGTGGCAAGTCCCACTCACGTTACCAGATCTAAGATCGTCGTCGACACTGCGACGTCGTGTGACGCTACGACTACGGACCGTGACGCCATGATCTCTTGGTGCCCGACACATATCACATGGTCACGGGACCCACAGTGGCGACCCACCAAATTTAGCGGGACGGTGGCCAGCCAGATTTAGCCATTGACGGCACAGCAATAAAAACACAATAAAAAGACTTAAAAAAAAAAAAAAAAATTGAAAGGCAAAAAAATTTTTATTTGGTTAGGGAGGCATGTCTCAAATTAAATTTTAGTCAGAAAAAAAAAATTTTTTTTTCTAATATTAAAGGGATACTACAACGAAATTTCAGCGCTTATTTCTTTGTCTATACATGTTCAAGGGAGCAGTATCACATTGGACACACCAATATATCTTGTTGAAAAAGACACAAAAAGGAATTTTAACACAAATTGGACGATTAGCGAAGGGCACTTGGCTGAATCTTTGTTTGTAATGCCATCAGGCTCAAAGTATGAATGTGCAGTGTCATTTATGGATATTGTGGATTATATTCAGCCTGTTTTTGAGCATGACGGGTATATTTCAAATTCCGTTGAAGTATCCCTTTAATGCTACAATACAAATTTTTTTATTTGTAGGAGACACCGAAAGTGCACCCCTGTGAGGGGATGATAGCGTTTGTACTAAACTAGTGTGCGCTCTGAGATCCAGCCAACTCCGGAGCGCACACAAGTTGGGTACAAGCACTCATCATTATCATCATCCCACAAAGGTGCAGTTTCGGTTTTGCCCGTAAATCGGAAAATTTGTATGGCAACATCCATTGAGTAAAAAAAAAATTTTTTTTTTTTTTTTACAAACATTTACTTTTTAGGTTTGTCTTTTCTAAGCAGGTTGAGAAAAAAAAAATGTTTCCTAGAAACAGTGCCCGTTTAAGTAAGGGTTCAAAGGTTCTCCATTCTTTGGTGCAACGGTATGTCCTTTGGTACAATTGGTGTCCGTTTTGACCATACCGACCTCACCTGACCGGCCGTCTTGTGCAGGTGCACTCGGAGACGTTCCCGTACTCCTGCTCGAGCTGCGGCGTGAAGACCCGTCTTCTGCTGCAGCTGTGGCGCCACGAGCTTCGGCGCCTGGCGCAGCGGCTCTGCCTGTGCCACCGGTGCGGCCTCGTGTGCCACGTGCGCGAGAACCTCCGCTACCACCTGGCCAAGGCCCACGGCCAGAACCACGTGCCGGCACCCGACCCCAACCGGAAGCTGGCCCCCGTGTGCGCCGGGGAGTTTGGCCGGCCGGCCGCGCCCAAGCCGAAGGGAGGCCGAGCCAAGCCGACCGGCGGCCAGAAGTCGGGGGTCCGCAAGCCGAAGTTGACCGAGCCCAAGTCCACCAAGCCGACTAAGCCAAGAGTGGGCAGGCCGAAAGCTGCGGAGAAGTCGACGGCCGGTAGGCCGAAGGCAAACAAAATCGGAGGTGCCAAGGGGGCGGCCAGGAAGCCGGCGGCCGCCAAGACTGGTGCCAACAAGTCGGCTCTCGGCAGAGCAACTGCCAAGAAATCGGTGGCCATCAAGTCGGAACCCGACGCTGAAGAAGCCGGCAATACGGAGACGAGCACGCTGGCAGCGAGTAAAGCGGCAGCCGACGCACCGGCCGCCGGAAAACCGAAACCCAAGGAGCTTGAAATGGGTGCGCAGGAGGACACCGAGGAAGCGGACTCCGGCCAGTGCGAAACCATCGAGCTGATAATCGACGAACTCAGGCGCAGCGAGCCGGGGGCCAAGAAACAGGAGTCGGACGATGCTCCCGCCACGCAGGAGAGGCCGAAGAAGAAGGCGAAAGCGACCGCCCCGCCGGTCGTGCCGCCGCCCGTGGTGCTGAAGGTGCCGACACAGACGAACCACGCAGGTGTGGTGCTGGCGGGTATGGTGACGGAGGAGGGGCTTCGCAGGACACAGCGCATCAGGACGCCCAAGCGCAAGATCTCGGCGTGACCCGTGCACGCGCGTCGTCCAACTCGAATGGTTTTTGCCACGAGAAGGTTCGGTGTCGTAGACCTCCCGCGTCGGGTGGAATGGGGCACTAAACGCACCGGTCAGAGACTGCAACCGTAATTGCGCGCTGTCGTCGCCTTTTTTTTTTTACAAAAAAAAAAAAGTTTCTAACCTCAACTTTTTTTTTTTTTTTTTCTCGTGTGGAGGTGTGGCGAGGTTTTTCGCAGTCTCGCCAGCACTTTTCAACGATAAGGATTGTGCTAATTTTTGCATTAGTGTCTTTTTTTTTTTTTTTGTCGCGCGAAGCTTTTTGGATTGACGTTCTGGTGGCAGTCTTGCAAATGCTGAGCACCGTCGAAGTGTCGAGATTGGAAGTCGTCGTTCGGATGCCTTTGGTCATATGAAACAAAACAAATATCCGTTTGTGTTCTACCTGGTAATGAAGTGAGCGTTTTTGACTGTTTGGCACGCTTTCCGGTTCGATGTAATGGGCTACCGGTCGCAGTTGATTGGAAATGACGGCTTCAAAACAAATAGGAGCTTATGTTAAGGCTCGAGCACTTGGAGAGGTTTTAGGAGTCTGATGTTGTTCTGCGTTTTTTAGTTGTTGCGGTTTGTTGGTGCATACGATGCATTGACACCCGAAAATTTCTCGCTCGCGATACGGTAATACCGTGCTCTTTGTGAAGGTGAAGTTTGTGCCGAAGCATTTTCTGAGGCACACGGGATTGTTACTGACATCATGGTTTTTATTGCTGTGCCTGCCATAAGAGGATTACCTTGGTGTTCTGTAGAATTTTTGCAACACTAGGCCTAACCAGGGACTCTGTGTCTGCTAATGTTCTTGTTTTCCCCCAAACATTTTTTGTACGAATTGTAGCACTTTGTTCTTAAGTATTCTGGTCAGTGTCATGGCTCAAGCTTGCGGGGAAAGTATCCATTATGTCGAAGCACCGATTATGTATATCCTGTTTCGTTGGAGTAAATAAACTTGCATAGGATGGATGCGCTACAAATGTGCAGCCAGTATGCAAGCTACATATACTCGCACGTGTGAATGAGCATGTTTAGTATCTGCATGAAAAAAAATAGCATCTTCGGTCAACTTGCACCGGAACTGCCCTGAAATCGGGACAGTGCACAGCACTCGGTCGGGTGGTGCGAAGTCGGTGCAACATCGAGGATAAACTGCGCCACGTCGATGCACTGCAGCGACTGCAACCATGCGTCCCCTCGCGTTATGTTTGTTTTTTCTTGCGTACGTTTGCCCGCGGTGCCCGTCTGCTGTCAATTTCTCCTGTTTTTTTACTCGCGGATTATGCGGTCACATACAAATGAACATTGTGGACGTGATTGTCGATGGGGTCACGAAAGTGGGTGACAATTCCACAGGTCTCTTTTGCCCATCATTGTTGGATCAGAAAATAGTACCACCGGATAATAGCTTAGGTGTCATCGAAATGCTTCACAACGCTTTCCACAAAGTTCATAACTTTATTGGCACCCCTTGCCAATGCAGCAATCACTGGTAATCGTGGCAATGGTAAGAAGTTTGTCGTCTTCGCTGTCAGAAGAGCTGAGGTGTCGCTGCGAAGCGTGTTCGTTTTCGCAAGGTCACCATCTTGATAGATTGCGCGTCTCCCTCTCCTCGATTCCCGCTCCTGGCCGCAATGCGCCTGGGGGGACTGCACCCTGGCACACCGTTGATTTTCTTGGTGCGCGTTGGGGCAACAAAAAGTAGCACTGGGGAGGTGTGCTTTGTTGATCGGGGACGTCTGGTGTGCACCGGTGCACTTAATAATAATATTTATTTGCTCAAGAGAGCCACGGCACCCCAGAAAGGCAACAGCCGTATTATGGAGACCCGCAATGTCATGTCTAGCGATGGTGATGATGTAATATACAAGATGAAAGTGAAGACTTTTATCTTGTATATATGATTCCGCGTCACTTTCTTGTCTTGTATGTTGCATTACAAGATGAAAGTGAGGCGACTCTCATCTTGTGATTGCTGCCTCAAACACCCGGACTGGCGCACCTCGATGCCTCGTAAACTTCACGGTGTAGGACTAACCACAAATCCGTAATTCTTAACAAGGCAAAAAAAAAAAAATGTGTGTATGAACCCACTCTCTACATATTTTTTCTTGACCAAACAAAGAAGCCTTGCCATATTTTTTGCGTCATAAATTAAAGCAGGTAAATCTAGACACCCTTTAGTCAAACAAATGAACAAAGCCCAAACAAGCTGAATATTGTGACTTGTTAGGCGACTGCTTGCTGAGTTTGCTCTGTTCCACGGGCGCCGCCACGTTCGTTATTTTGCTGACAGTTTTGTGAGGGGAAAGCAAAGGGGGGGGGGGGGGGGGGGGGGGGGGGGGGGGGGGAGGCTCGACGCAAAGCCAGCAAAGCCGTAAGCTCAACAAGGTTTGGGGGAGGGGGTGGGGGGTGGGCGGACTGTATTTTTTTTGCGAGACACCGTTGACTCCGTTTTTAGAAACCGTCGCACAAGTAGTGCAAGTACGTCAGACATTTTATTCTCTCGAAGCTCCAAGAACAACACCGATGTCAATAGTGCTCTAAAAAGGACTTTCTAAGCCAGGTGGCGCAAGCTACCGCCCTATACATGCTCTGGGCTGGGTCCTTGCAGAGCCCAGAGCCGTATATGTAGAGAGTTTGGCCATTCGTTGGGAAGTATAGGAGACAAATGAAGCGGCGCCATTGGCCGAAAGCGAGCTGGGCGTGTTCCAGGGCGTCTTCAGAAATTCGAATGTGACCAACCAGAAGCCGGAAATAATACCCTGGCGGTGGTCGCGAAAAACAAACCTGATAACTGCATTAGAGTAACTCTTGATGGCTGAAAATATGGTACACGTGATATTTCAATCACACTCATCTAAAATGATGGTGGAAGAGTGCGACTAGCGGAAAGATCGACATAATCCTTACGCCAAACGCCGAGCGCCGGGAATCTGCCGTCAGAGCGGTCACACTCTGTCCGCGCAAAACAGAGTTGAGCGGCGCATTCGTTTCTTACATCTTTCTGCATGATCATGATGAAACAAGACGTGACCCTATTTTCAACCACAAAGAGTTACTACACTTCACTCTTACGCACTTATTAAGACCATATACGAACAGAGACCTTCGATGATCGATCGGCTCAGAATTGTTTCTCGCTACCACCGCTAGGGGATTTTTTTCGGCTTCTGGTTGGTCAAGAGAGCATGCCAAGCCCTCTTTCCGAGTCTGCCGCACGCCCTGGCTCTGCCCGCGCCTCCCATTGACCGAACTCTCTACATATACGGCTCTGGCAGAGCCCAGCAGAGCTCGTGGGATGGAACCGCTGGAAGGCTGAAATGCGTCGGTGGTGGTGTGTTTGATATGGTAGCGGTGTGGTAGTTGGTGTAGTTTTGTTTTGGTACGTGGGATGTAATGCTCGGTGTATCTCTGTGTACTCGCTTAATCGCTTAATTTCAGCAGAGGGAACATTATGGACATATTAAACTGCGAATTGCTTTGGATTGACGGTCGCTGCTACCGCAAACTGTCGTCCACGGCTAGCATAGCGCGCTCCGAAAGTAACGTCCAGCCAGAGAGAAAACCTTGCGGTACGTATTTTTGAACTTATTGCTCTTGCGATCACTTGGCCCAGCTGTATCTACACATAAATGCCAAAACAAAGCGTGGTTTTGATGAACTGTGCCTGTACGCCGAAGGCCCTTGATAAAACTCGTGCTTCGCGATACCACGCTTGTAGATCGTACGCCACTGGGCTTTGCTTTGCTAGCGGTAGCTCTTGCCGTCACTTTCCTCAGCGTACGATCTACTAAAACTCTTTTGGTACACCGTATTTTAGAGCTTCGCTTTGCAAGACGGAGGTCGTGCCGTCACTTTGAATTTTGAAGCATGAATTAAGCCCTTCACGTTTTTTCCGCCGAGTGGCGTTGCGCATGGGGTCGTCGCGCTAGTGTTTTATTCCTACTTATTGCTTCGCAGCGCCAATTCAATGGTGTGACGTTGCCACAATAAAGACAATGCTCGTGGTAGAATATAGATTGTGCCAAAACGTACGGGGCAGCCTGCTCAGTTTTACTGCCTCATCTCGTAGACCACTTGATTGACATACTTCAACTATGTATGAAACCGACAGCAGGAATCAGCACATACCCCTCAGCGCTTAAAATAGCGCCGACATTGCTGATTCAGTGCTCTTTTTGCGTTATATATTTATTAATACAGAACTAATATGGTGCTGCATCGATGCTAAGTTATGTTCAAGTCAGTGTTGTGTCAGTACTGATTCTGTGCTGCACTGTATGTGAACCATTGATGCACGCTCCGACGGTTTCAGGGTACGAAGATGAGCCCGGATGCGTGCTGCCGAAGGCCGCTGCGTTGCGCTCCGGCAGCAATGAGAGCATCTCCGGTCAGGCGAAAGGTTTCTTCCGGATCAGTCTTCACGTGCCGCAGAAGTTTCTGCCGTAAGTCAAAGAGTTCCCCGGCGGCTTGTGCCGGAACTGCCTTGGTATCTCGCTCATAGCTTTCCATGTTTTCAATGGACACCGGTACACCCAAAAGTGAACCCCGATACGGTTTTCTCAAAACTGGGGAAAACAGAAAAACCACGAATCGAAGTCGTCCTGTGATGAGAGAAACCCAAGCTCCATGGGGAAAAATCTTGAACTACGAGTCTGTTTTGCGTTCACCTCGAATACGGCCTCATTGAACTGACTGTGAGGCCACTTTTTTTTTTTATTAGGGAACGGGAGTCCTTATCTTGTCTACTTCTTTATTTGGTACGTGAATACGTTCCCAACGTTCGGGTTTCGCACACGTTTTCCGGAGATCGGGGATGCCCATGCCAGTGTCTTGACACCGAAAAACAGAGAATCTGCGAGAAAAATTAAACCCCCCAAAACACGAAACCTTACTCAGAACCCACTCCTTCCAACCGAGGTTGGCCTTGTTAGACGCTTATAGTCGCCGAAAGGACAAGAGTAAGTCACTAGTCACATGCCGCACGCCAACTCGACGCTGGTGTCGCACCACCGTGGCAACGCCGCTGTCGGCACTGCACAGAAGCTTTGCCTCGTGCAAACTTCCCCGCCGTTTTAAACGAATCTGCGACTCAAAGAGTGACAATGCATTGCTCTTTTTGGACTTAATTCAAATTGAGTATCTTCCCCAACGAGCAAACAGGTGCAGGGGGTGACAAATATTTCGAGGAAAAATAGTTGTTAGATTGTAACAGGCAACTTGCATGGCTGAATTCGTTAACACAATCATTTAAGCGAGCCATGCGTGATTCATTGTTTTTAAACAAATGAATTCAGGAAAACATTGGTTCCCATTCTTCAGTCCGCCGCTTGTTTTCATACACCGGTTCGATAAAGCAGAAACTTTTTTTAATCTATATTTCTCATGCAGGGAGCGATTCAGCATCACATAAACGGATTTTGTGCAACAAATTCACCTGTTTGTCGTGCTAGTGATGCGGCAGTTTATGTTCAGAGGAGGCTTAGAAATTGGTTTTGTCCCTACCCCGGCGAAAATTTTCAACTGGGACCAATCAGTCCCAGTTGCAACTGGTTTATGGAACAATTCCCAGTTGCAACTGGTCGCAGTTGGAGTTGTCCAATTGGTCCCAGTTGGAGTTGGTCCCAGCTGGAATTGGTCCCAGTTGGGCTTGGTACCGCTGGTACCAAGTCCAGCAACAATGAAACACAGCACAAAATGGAAGGTTGACAAGACTTTATTGTCAAAAACTTGGAGAATGAAACTAAATAATAGGTTCGGTGACGTGCACGCTCCGGGTTTAGCCACTTGCTTGCGACGGTTGAATCGCTTTTTCAGAAGTAGTATTCGTGAGATGAAGGAAGATCGGCCGCTGCCGTCTGTTAGTGAAGACGTCCTCAGCTTCTCCCCTCATCGCGTGAAGAAAGGTGCTCACCCGTGATCCCGCGTTGCACAGGTGAAGTCCTGATAGGATGTGGTAGCGCTCCCACCTTCCAATCTCTGTCACAACAGTTGAACATTTTCGAGGTAGACCTCCCGCCATTTTTGCCATTGTGCTCACTGCGGCGTTTTCTCTTCCGTCCGGCCTATGTGCGTCCGGTCTTTCCTGGGCGCCCTCCGATCGCTGAACTGCATCTTTCCATCCTCGAAGTTCACCACCGCCACCATGGTGTGTGTACAATTAGGTCCAAAGAAGCGCAGCTGTAGTTTTGACATTTTCATGACGACGTCAACTTGGACGACGCCAACTTGGGCGATGGCCGCGGCCGTCTGACTCCGGCGTCAGCATAGGCAGCGCCATCTGTCGACAGCGCGTACCACCTGGTACCACTAATCACGGCTGGTCTCGACGCACGCGATACCGGCCGTGCACTAATCTGCACCCGCGTCCCGCGTGCCACGGCGGCCGGCTAGCTCTAATTGGCCAAAAGATAAATTTATTTATTAAAAGAAAAAAAAAATACTGTAGGTATTTAAATAAATGTTTTAATATATTTTAATAATGCACTAAATGTTCATTTAGGTGAACAGATTTTGTCACTAATTATATTTTCCAATTAAAAAAAAATATTTAGTTAATTAAAATTTTTATATTATTTTTATAAATATATGAATGTACCCAGTAATTAAACATTTCCCTATTTGTATAAATCTAAAAATGTGTTTTTAGCTTTCTTCGTTAGCAAAGGTCAATGCACCCCCAACTTGTCCAAATTGTTGCCCAATGTGAACTGGGAACGGGAAAGGCATTTGAAGTCCGACTGGGAATCTGGTCCCGGTTCGCTCCAACCAGTTCCTTCCCTAACTGGTCCCAGTTCCCTCCATTCCCAACTGGGAGTCAAACCAGTTCACATTGGTTGAAACCAGTTGACCCCTCAGCTGGTCCCAGTTGGACTCCTATTGGTCCCAGTTGATTCCCAGTTGGGACCAGTTAGTCCCAGTTGAAACCAGTTGAGGTGCCAACTGGTCCCAGTTAGAAATATTTGCCTGGGTAGCGTAATGTTTTCTTCCTTCCTTTTTTTTTTTTTTCCTCCGACCGTGCACTGCTTTTCAAAGATGCGTTGTTGGTAGAACCTGGAAAATTAAAGCTAAACTCTTTGGAGGTTCCGCCACGTCTTTTTCGGCGCTTTGCGCAATCGGCAGACGACCGCGAAATGGCAACGCTCTCTTGGTGAGCTGCAAGACTTGCAAATATCCGGTTCTTTTTTTTCTTTTTTTTCTCTTTCGAAAAAAAAAAGGGTCATCTGCGGGGCGAAGCACGCCACACGAATGAAGATGGAGCAGGAAACCAGCACTGCAATCAGGATCCCTCCGGCCGACTCGACCGACGACATCGGTGAGGCTCGTCTGCTCGTCTAAGCGTGCCGAAACTTCTTCATTTCTCCTGAAAGAATTTGGAGAGCAAGTCATCTGCTTCTAGTGCAGAAGTTGCGGCGACGTCAAAACAACGCCGAGCTCTTATTGTCTGATTGAGAAAATTTGGGTAGACCTCAAGGCATCTAGCATTGAGGTCTACCCACTATCCTTTCAGTCAAAGCCAGTCGGAGCTCCGCGTCGTTCTGACGTCACCGCAACTCCTGCGCAAAAAGCAGACGACTTGCTCTCCACATAGACAGACACCAGAGTATGGAGCCAAGGTTTCGTGCTCTGGGGCCCTAAGTTGGATGCTTCTGTGAAGAAGTCGGTGAGATCACCGACCATCGCGATTGACCAGTGCCGTGTCGCGATTGGCCAATGTCAGGGTCAGGCGCAGCGCTGGCCAATCATGGCTGTTGGCGATCTCGCCGACCTTCTCGCCGAGTGATTACATTAGAGCCTCCTGTCTTTAAAAGCTGACCTGCATTGCATCTCCAGACCTCTCGAGCAAGATTCTAAACTCGGTAACCTTAATCTAAGTTAGTTTTGATGAGGACAGCTTCACAGAGTAAGCTATACCCGGGCACTGCTTTACTGCAAATTGAAGGTTCTTGCGTCAGCGTCTTCGACCCTTAGAAGAGTCCGTGTGCGAGGTGTCTTTTATTATTGCTGAAAAAGTTGGGAGTGACAAAGTGTGGTACAGTGAAATACTTTGGGAGTGACGAAGCGTGTTAGAGATAGTTACTTTGGGAGTAACTAAGCATTCGACAATAATAATATAACATTGTCTCAGCTGAGCGTAACACTCCCAGGGCAACACACCATCATGTTGTATCTCTGTGCCGGGTTGAGATACTTCATGCTGTGTTTCAGGGTTAAGACGGTTGATCGTGGGCTTTCGTGGCTGTTCTTACGTTAACTTAAACTTAATCATAAACGTTAATTCCAGTCAATAGCTCCAGTAAGCTCCTAAAATGTTCTTGCATACTGTGGCAACATATTTTAGTGGACTGCTTTCATACATGAATACAGGACACAGCAGTTTATGCAACCCCTGAACAGACGTGACAAGTCCCCGCTGGTGAAAGTTGTCTGCAAGTGTGTGCCCACGTGAAACCGTTGCCAACGTGTCGGTTGCAGAGATCACCGGCACGACGGAGGGGAGCATAGAGTCCGCCTGCCTGCGCATCCGCAGCATCATGTCACGCTTGAGGCAGCGGGAGTGCTTCACCCACTTCATCTGTCTTCCGTTCAACATGCAGCCGCTGGCCAACTATGTCGAAGAGTTCAAGGAGACCGTCCTCAAGACCTGCTCCGTGAGTCGAGTAGTGTGCCCAGATCTGAGAGCGGTTACAACTGCCCGATCGAGGACACCATGCGGTTATTGGCCGCGTTTGCAATAGACCTTTTCCGAAATTCGGTCTGGCCACTTTGATCACTCTCAATAATTTCTAGGTTATGTGGCACAAGCTACTACCTGTTATAAAGGGTACGGCTGTTAGCATTCATCTATTTGGAGGAATGGCATATGTGTCATACTGATGGCGGCCTTCTGATTACTGGTAGAGGCAGAAGTTGAAGATGCTTCTAAGCAGATGACGTGTGAGGTCTATATGTTTCAGACATTAGTATGATGCGATGCAGGTATTGAAGAACTGCGTAAGTGTTTACTTTTTACTCTGATCCAATTTGCTGGAGGCACACAATTGCCTCTAAAGCCCCTTTTTCTATAGAATTCTATCGAGGCATTTATACGAGTTGCCGCTTTGTCTCGACCGATTGTGTCTTCGTCACCATTGAAACTGAAGGAGATGGAGGATGAACTGTACAGTAAGGAGTCTATTCTCGTCTGCCGTTGACTTACGAAGGCAACGGTGCCGAGTGAAGCACTACGGACTTCAGCTTCATTATTAGTATGGAAAAACTTGTTATTTGAGCCACCGGATTACACTGAATTCCTAAAAGGGTCTATACAACATAAGAGGAGGTGGCAAAAGCTTTGATCGTCTGCAAGCGTCTGGGCCTTGCTCAGCCCCTCTGCCCGTTATCCTCTTCGCCACGCGGCAACAGAAGCACGAGTGCGCGCACCAAATTTGCGCAGGAGGTGTCCGCCATTAGATTGAAAGAGCTCTCCATTGTTTAGAGTGGTACTCTTTCTTAAATCGTCCGAAGGACACGGGCTGTGGCTTTGGATGTGCCTGCAGGGTTGTATTTCTGGTCTGAATGACACCGGCTGCGGATTTGGATGGGGCTGCAGGGCAGGGGCTTGGAGGCCTCGCTGTTCCAGTCGCGGCAGAAGCTGCACCTGACTGTTGGCATGCTGGTCTTGCTTGACAACAAGGAGTGCAGCGAGGCCAAGAAGGTCCTCGACAGCTGCGGAGACATTGTCAGGTGGGTGACCCTTCAGTGTGCGTGCCTATTGTCAGTAGTGTCGGAGGTCTACGTAGCATGCAGTGACGTTAAGGTGCTTGGAGCACATCCTTGATTCCTGTATGCATTGAGTGTCGCAACAATCCAACGAATAGATGCACAAATGTCATGTGACACCACTATAGTCTGTTGCGAGTTAAAGGAGCGATGCAACAATTTTTGTACTTTGCGCAAATACCGCTTAAAACGGATCCCTAACGTTAATGACCTATGAAACACGCCTTCGTTCTTCACCCCACGCAATAGAAGTTCCAGAAAAAAATTTAAGAAAAACGAGCAGCGTTCACCCCCTCAACTTGCAGCCAGAACAAGCGGCCACGTGATCTGGAACCGATTATATGCCGCCAGTGTTGATCATAGCCACGCACTGGGGTTGGCAAAGCGCAGGACACGCGCTGAGTTCCAGACATTGTTATGGCTCGGCTTTTGTCGTCGTTGCAGCGATTGGACACGGGTCACTACCCGAATGCTTCTCGAGCTAGCAATTATCACGAGCCCAAGTCGAGTGCCTACGCAATGCTCGGGTCCAATCTATGAACCGCATTCAAATATCGTCACTTGGGTGTACTGCGATCCCCACGTTACGTCATCAAATTTTGCAAAGGAGAGATTGAATGAAAATGATCGCTTTTGTCTTTGAATTTACACCGCAACAAAAGAGTTTCTTGGCCAGTGGCGTTGCGTGTGAGTATCCTTGAGTCCCAGGTGTGCCAGTAACCTCGTGTAGAGTGAAAAATATTCCAATTGAATATCGTTGCATCGCTCCTTTAAGAAGAGTTGGACAGGCTCCTCCCAGAAAGTTATCCACACTTTACACTTTACCAGTGGAAACGCTACAGAGGAGGCAAGTGGAGAGGTGGAAACCCCGCCAGTCATGACGAGCAAAGAGCTTCGTAAGAGGGTCTTGTCTTGCTTTTCTTGACCTGTAACAGCTGGACCAGTGGTTCTTGTATAGTGGTCTGCGATCCCTTTGGTGTCCCTGAAGACCTCCTTAGGGTCCCTGAAGTCATTAACAACAGAATCAAGTTGAGCAATAAAACTTTTTTTTTTTATTGATGCTGGCCCTTCTACAATGCCGTATACCAGATCAAGCCATGCGTGTGAAGTGAGTAGGGTTGAATATTTTTCGTTTCAGAATTTCAAAGTGGTTCCAAATTGGACTTTTGTCATTGTAGTCATCTAGTAACGCCCTTTACCCCAGTGGATGGGATCCCCCATCAGATCGGCTGATCCTGAAGGGGTCCCAAACCATCAGTGGTTGAGAACCGTTGAGCTAGACTATAAGCGGAAGTTCGACGGAAAAAAAGTACAAGTGCAGTGAACATGCCATTCAGAGAGGAACCGTAATGATGCATCCGATGGACCAGGAGAACCACCCATTCAGTAATTTAATGTTATGCACCTACAGGATTACTTAGTAGTCCGGTGATAAGTTGAGTCTCCTCATTGTACTCATTATAAAAACATGACAAACAAGCGCTTACTCGCAAACATTTCAAACCAGCCGTGTTTTTGGCAGCTCTCAGTCTCTTCGATCAACTTTTGGTTTGGCGCGCTATTCACGATTTTATGCTCGCGTATATTTTTGCATTTGCAGACGGAGTCGCGGCTGTTCTACCGACCTTGCCCGCGAGCAACTCGTAAGATTGTGTTTGCCGTTTCTTCACAGGGAAATTTTAGGTGGCCAGTCGCTGTACGTGCGCGTGAGCGGACTCGAGTTCATGAACGACGATGCCACTGAGGTGGACGTACTGTATGCCAAGGTGACCACCTTCGACAGCAATAGCCGGCCTAACGACAAGTGAGTCGCGTGGATTCGTTTTCGAATGCGGCGTCGTGAAGGTCCGCCCCCGTACAATGACCAGAGCATCTCAAGGGGAGAGACAAACACTTTGCACCTATTTATTTATTTATTTATTGAACATGCCCTGGGCACCCAAAGAGATGGGGAGTAAAACTGTAGCAATTAAACTAACAATATTAATAGTATAACAACAAAATTAACAAACAGGTCATAAATTATTAAGAAATAACGATGTGTGATAGCATTTTGGAGCAGGTTAGGGCTCGTTCACACATTTACGTTTGACTGCGTTAGGACCGCTTGCGTCCAGCTGTTGCCATGGCGACCCTTACGACCAACCACTGGGGAGGCGCTTTGCTTCTCAACGCAGTGCAATGCAGTCGGTGCAGCTGTGTGGATGAGCCCTTAGGGTCAGTGATGGTAACAATCAATCCTGGGGGGTCGCGTTGTGGCGTGCTGCTTTCGGCTTCGACCATACACTCGGCGTCTGCTTCCTTGCGAGACGTCGACGAGGCTGCCGTATTTTCCGCAGCCGCTTGCACGAGCGCAAGGCTTCGTGGGGCCGTCTGCTTCGCACGATGCTGCGTGTGAATGATACGTACGTTGTCAAGGCTAGCTACGCTAGCCTTGCTACGCTAGCCTTGACAATGTTGCGCTGGAAAGTTGATGCCGAGGGCGTGAGCGCTATTGCTGAAGTGTGCTTGCAGTAGTGCCAGGATGACCACATTGTTGCACAACCAACGCGCAGTCTCTTCTTTCTTCCCGCTGCGGGTTCGGAACACAGAGAGAACAGAATGGAGAGAACAGGCAACTACGACAAGAGAACGGGCTCTGCATATACATTCCTCATTTTGTTGTTGTTTTGCCTTCTTTGCAATCTCAAATAGCGAAATGCTAACCCAACATGAACTGCTGTGTCTATCTCTGGGCAGCGTATTTTCTGGACCATACATGTCTAAAAGCTGAAATTTTACGTGGTGTGAACTGTCTGCGAGTGTGAGCTATAAAAAGCTTTGTTTTTAAAGATTGTTTAAGGTGCATTAAACCTTGCGTTTGTTTTAGGTGCATTCATTCCAAAATGATCCGTCAAAGCATCCTCCTCATGTGGTACCTAGGTCAGCTTGATAGAATCAACATCTCGGCTAAGTGTGAAAGAAATTTAAGTACCGGCAAAGCTGGCACACAAGCATAGTGGCACGTGATGTTTCGTCGGAGCATCCTGCTCATGCGGTACGGTGGTGGACGTGCAGGCTGCAGCAACTGGTGGATCAGGTGGCCCGGCGCTTTGCGCAGTCGGGGCTGATGCTGGAGCAGCCGCACAACGTCAAGCTGCACATCACCCTCATGAACACCAAGTTCCGAGAGGTGCGCTTCGCCACCGAGAATACGGCAGAGCCGCCCGCCCGCACCCCTCGCGTCTCCTTCGATGCCAGCAACATCCTCAAGGCAGGTGCCCCCCCCGTCCATACCGTCCTTGCCCTTTGGCACTTGCATTGCCACAAGCATCCCCTCTAACGGAAGTTCTCGAAACTTTTGGATCTTTAAGAATCCCTGTCTAGCTAAATTTCTCATCTACAGTGGTAGGCACCGGATGCTTGTCGGGGCCGAGCGACTTCCCGCCGTCTCAACAAGCGTGCAACACGGTTCCTATTTGGCTCGACCGAAATCCGAGGAATCTCCACCAGTCTCGGCATTGGGACAGTAAAGCGATGCAGAAGTCTATGGCCGCCGTAATAAGTAATGCGCATATTCTAGTGACTGGTTAGAGCGAGAACCAATGGGCGTGTCCCTTGAATGCCTGGCCTCTGGCGCGCGCTCCATGCCTTCCGCCATGCTTTGCTCCACACGTGCACTCGAGGCGAGCGAGGCGCTGAGCAGTTGTCGATCAACAGGTAGCTCGCGCTGGGGGGGCGACAAACAAACCTCCCCCCTGCCGTTTTCAGCTTGTCGGGGGCTACGAAAGTAATCGTTTCCCGCCTCTTTGTGTGCAGCGCAATCGGGACTTCCACTTCGGCAAGGTGACCGTACCGTCCATCAACATTGTGGTTCCGCACACTTGCAACAAGGAGGGATTCTACGAGAGTCTGGCCACTCTACCCCTGCCGAAGCACAACTACAACAACAATGCCAGCAACGACGGCAACGTGAACTGAACAGCAACTATGCCACCGTCGTGATATTGTGATAAGAGAGCCGACGGCTCGTCGGCGAGCTGTACGGACTTGTACTGTTTTCAGGATACTTTTGTTTGTTTGCATAAAAAAAAAAGAATATAGATGTGTGTACAATGACAATGCTGGATATTAGTTTCGTCAAGAGCTTATGGTGCAAAAGGTGCAGCTGATTTTTCTTGCAAAGTGGCCTGGTACAAGCTTTATGAATTACTCATTTGAATGTACCAGTTGCGCGTGAATTGTTGGTAATATATTTGTAGTCCGAGGTAGAAGAACCAGAGGAACATTTGAGGACTCTAGTCCCAATAACATAACAAGAATTTACTTCTTTTTTTTTTTTTTTTGGGGGGGGGGGGGGGGGAGAGGGGGCGGTACATAAAAAATTGTTTTATTGAACATCCGTTAAAAAAAACGCATTTTATATTTTATAAATGCTTAAAACAAATGGTAGGAATGTGTAACACAATCAATTTTCTCATTGCAAAAGGAAAAAAAAAAAAAAAAAAAGTCGCGCTAATGTGTAAAATATATTTACAAATTGCAAGCCCAAAATCTCGAAAACTAAAAATGTTTTTTTCTTTTTTTTGCTTGCTTGCTTGTTTCAAAACTTTGGAGCATAGAGTTATTACAATATGCTTTGGAGGATGTTATAAGCTATAAATGATTTTTTTTTTTTTTTTTTTTAATTTTTAGTGGGAAAGTAGGGCTCATTTTTGCCAGTTTTCGGTTTCTGGTGCCATGCCGCAATTTTTCCATTGAATTTTTTTTTTTTTTTTTTTTTGGAAATCGCTTGTAACTTTTGAAGCTTCTGAACAAGAAACTTTGGCATCTGGTTCGAACGGCCGGGGCTACGTTCTGACGGAGTTTCAGTGGTTTCAGCTCTCCGCGACGTCTAGTTTATGTTTGCGGTGCGAAAAGCCGGGTTCAGATTTCTCCCAAACACCCTATAATAAATGTATTACGTGCTATATTTTAAGCTGAGACTGCAGCCAAATCTATAAGCCCGAGCTAGCATGCGCTGCTGGCTTGGAGGCGTGGATTTCTAGCGCGAGCGCTCGTTCTGCAAAAAAAAAAAAAAAAAAACGCTTTACAGAAAAAAAAAAAAAAAAAATAGAAACCATGTTTTACAATTTATTTGCTTATGCGAAATCTGATTTAAATGCCCGAGTCTTGGTGTTCCAAAACGCATCCCCGTTTGACGCGCGTTAAAAAAAAAAAAAAAAAAAAAAAAAAAAAATTGATGCAGGAGCTACCCGGTTAGTACCGGTTCATACCGGTTCGTGGTCCAAATGCCTCCGGCGCCCACCTTTGTTATTTTTTAACTGAAGATCGGTTTGTGTGACCTTTTGTTACTTTTGGACGGAGAGCATGTTTGTAACGTTGCAGTGCGCTTTAACTGCGCGCACGAATAATTATCTTGAAAGGCATGTTATCTTTCCGTTTTCATTATCATCGGTCGGATTACGGTTAGCACCCGCAGCCACAGCTTCCGGATTCGCTGGAAGGGTTCGAAGCAAAAATCGTTGGTTCGAAGCTACCTGCCACGACTAGGGGTATCGCGAACCGGCCGAGGTTCGAGATCGACCAGGTTCGACTTTTTCGACCTTTTAGTGGAAAATTCGACGAACCTTGTATTGAGGTTCGACTCGTGTGCGCATGCGCCACAGGCTGGCCAGTTGGCTTCGGATTGGATGGTGATGGCTAAGGAATGAATTAAGGGCAGCGCTGATTGGTTATTTCAGTTAATACAGTACAAAAAATTCAGTTATTAACTTCTTTAGTGATTAGAATTGGTTCCTTTTAATTGCAACTGTTTATAAAATAAAAATAAAATATTTTGCATAAAATTTGTTTTTCCAAACTTAGACATGCTTGCATCAAGGCCTGGCCACACTGTCCAGAACAAACAAAGTCGAACCGGTCGAATCCGGTCGAATCTGATGAAAAGTCGAAGGTCCGTCGAACCTGTTCGATTCAGTCGAACCCCGAAAGTTCGACCTAAAAATCTGGTCCGCCAAAAGTTCGCGACACCCCTAGCCACGCCAGAGATTTCGCATCACACCATAGTTCCAGTGCGAGTGCGAGTACTGCATTTCATTCGCCCACAACGAACTGTTTCCAAACAAAAGATAAGAAGCATAAAAATACAAAGCAGAAGTAAACCATAGAGTTATTACAAGAAACGCTAGAGGCTCAGCTGGCGCTAGTGTGCTGTTGCATTTTGAAGCAGACAGCAAGCTGCAGCAAGCCAACGAGGTTGCAGCAAGGAGTCTGAAATTGACTTCCGGTAATGCATTTCTATGGGAAAAAGCGAGTGCATTTTCTCTCTGCGCTCGATTATAAGAGCAAACATCACGAATAATTTGTAAATACTAGGCACATTGGAACATTTCCCAGTCACGCAGACGAAATAATTGGTCAGTTACAGCGCAGACATACGTGCCAAACGAACGAAGGGCATGTGGAAAACCAAAAGAGAAGGCAAGAACTACGCAGTAACACTGGATAAGTAACTCCTTGTGCACGCAGATGATCAAAATAAATGGAAAGCTACGTAATAGTCCGATTTGCAATAAATAGGTACTGCTTTATTCTTTCTGCTCATGAATATGTGTGAAGATGCTTGTTCTGGGTTCAAATCATCACCCGCACGCTCCAAATTTTTGCAAATAGGTTGAGCCAGAGAGCAGGTGCCCGATAAAACTGCCCGCCATAGGAAGTAATAAAAACACACACCTTTCGTAGCTCACGTCCTTTATTTGTTTGCGTTCGAATGTTTCTTTAATCGATCGCAAAGATGCACGACGGGGTCATTTTCATCCAATGACAGGACGAGCATATTAGCAATATATAAGCACCACCGAATTGCTAGCAAACCTTTAATACACTCTACATTCCTTTCGATCGTTCGTTTGTTTAGAATCGTTGCTCGGTTTCACATACCTTCCTCGAAACATCGTTCAGTGGTAAAGAAAAATGCTGTAACTAAAGCAATTACACTTTCACAATACCAATAAAGGTACATATTGTCCGGTACAACCAAAATGACAAAAGTTATCGATGTTATTTTCCGGCGGAGGGACAAAATTCAGGCGCGTTTTCCCATAGGAATACACAGGGAGGCTGGAAATGTAGACTGCATGCTGTCTGCTTCAATTTGCAACCGGAAGTCCCGTAGACACTAGCGCCAGCTGAGCCTCTAGCGTTTCTTGTAATAAATGTCAACAACACAAGGGGAGCGCACTGTGGCCGGAACCCTTTTTAGTGACGCCTCAGATTTTCCCGGCTTCGCCGAAGCACCTACTATTTTTTTCCGGGCTTATTTAAAAATGCGAAAAATTTATAAAATAATTCCGGCCTTTTCTGACTCCTAAAAAACCTCTGGTGACCGTTGGACAGAAGCGCGGTTTTTCTGCTCGCCTTCCCCCCTCTCCTTCATTTACTTTGTGAAGGCAAGCGCAGCATTGGTGGCAGCATTGGCAGCATCGGCAGCATCCCTTCAGTTGATCCTTGGCATCGGGGCTTCGTGCACGTAAGTGACGTCTCTTTGCAGATCCGCGTCAGTAGACATTTCTCGAATCTTATCTCGAGTCGGGGATTTTGGATTTAATATCGCAAAGGTGGAAAAACTTCCTTAATTTCGCGACGCATCTCTTAAAATTGGAGGTTCGAGATCGCGCGCAGTTTGTGGAGCGGCGCTACCGGCTTGCCGGGTACCTAAAGCCGCCATGAGCGGTCGCCGAAGGACAAATTTATTTCTCGGCTTTATCGTTGACGGGGGCTAACGTTTATTGCTCGTAAAATTGGTCCAATGTGTGAACCGTCTTCACGGCCTCTACGGTTTCGGGAAAAAATTCTCGCGAGTCGCTAAAAATCGAGGTGTTGATGTCGCTGGCCTGTAATAAGGCGGAGCCTCCTGAGGGGGCGGTTCACCGAATGATACTTTAGCGAATAGTTGGGCGCCGCGAAGCGGCGTTTACGTGTGGGCCAATACACACACACATGTGGGTTCACATTTTTTGTAATGAGCCGCCTCAGACTGTCGCCGCGAAGCGGCGTAAAGCGCAGCGCGGCGGATGGGTTAACGCGCGCCCCCGTTGTTGCCCCGGAGGCTCCGCCTTATTACAGGCCAGCGACATCAATACCAAAATCGACCGAGTTGGCCTCTCGACTCACTGGGGAAGCCGGACGTCAATGGTGGCAGCCGCGAATATTTTTTGTCCGCGTCGGCACTCCGTCTAGGGAGCGCCCGATTTTCCGGGTGTTTGGCTGGTCGGCGTTGATTAAATCGGCGCGATTTTTGCAGATTTTCAGAAATGGCTGACGACGGAGCTGATAAGAAGCGCGGCAGGCCGAAGAAGTCCGAGACTGGCGAAAAGCGCGCCAAGGAGGTGAACCTCGTTTTTTTTTTTTTTTCTTCGTCGCTTACGTCGCGTTGCACTAATGCTCCACATTTAAGTGCCGACATGCTTGCTTTTTCGACGTTCCCAATGACGCTGCAATGTCGGGCGTCGATATTTTGCATAGTTTTGCCCCTATATTGCATTTGTTACGCGCGCCATATTGGATTTCCACTTTGGCGGCAAAACGTAATCGATATGCTGCGCGCTCATTGGCTGGCAGATCGGGGGGAGGGCTCATCTTGTATTTATTGTCCATTGTTACTTCGCGAAATTTTCTTTCATCCTTTTTGGCGATCTGGTGGTGGAAAACGAATAGAAGAGAAGGCGGATCGTGTCTTCGCTTGGTATTTTACTCTGCGTTGGCCCTTTGGTCTGTTATAGATTCTCGTAGATGTGGCAGGGCTGCAAACGAGGGAACAAAAGCCTTTGTCTTGCGCCATCTGCTCAACCCAACTGGTTGACGCTACGGGTTTACAAAACCAACTCTTAAAAAAAAAAAAATCGAAAAAGAAAGCAGTTCGCAGACTTTGATATCGGTGGTATTTGTCCACCGCCTTGAAGTATCCATCCGTCTGGCAGGTGGCGCGATCAAAATGGCGGTCAATTTCGAATCCCGGAGAAAAGCTCACCGCAAAACGGGCGGATGCGGAGAAAAGCTCACCAACCATTGAGCGGATGCGGAGAAAAGCTCACCGATTTTTTTTCTTCTATTTATATGGAGGCTGTTGGATCATGCATAACATATATCAATTTATTATTTTAAAATTCGTCAGTTTTGTAAAAAAGAAAATCTCCTTTGTAATATTTGCTAAGCTTATTGGGTACAATGCTTCCAAATTTATAACTGCGGGCCAGTGTTTTCTGTGGTTTACTCTCCAGGGAACGAAAGCCTAACTGAAAAGTTTATGAACTTGAAGAACAGGAAAAAGTTCAAAAACTTAATAATGTCCGCCTAAAACACCATACTGTAAATGCCGAATATCCGAAGGTGCATGCGCAACAACGCGGTGCCTGAAAATCTCTTTGGACCTTTTGGTAACTTTTGAAAACAGTCGGTAGGATATCGACGTTTCCTTCTTCCACAGACATGCACGCTTTCTAGCCTCTCGTGCTGGCAATCCACGCGTTGCCTTTGTGTGATAGTACCCCTTCTACGGCGAGCCCCCCATGGCCCTCAGAGCCGCACAATGGCACCGTTGTTACTCGTGACCTATTATATAAAAAGTAGTATTCTGTAAGGTAGCGAATAAGGCAAGTTGGTAAACGTTATACATGGTGAAAACCGCTCAAATGACGACGACTGAGTGAAGACAACAAACACGACAGGACGAAGCTGCTCTCGCAACTAAGGTTTTGTTTGTGGAATGAACAGAAAGAAAACAGCGTAGCGGACATTGATTACATCAACAAACACCTACTAATCTATTAGGCAGTGCACAATATTCGGAGCTGAAAAGGTTCGCACACCGCTCTTCATATTAGCTCGCAAAGAAAACAGCTCTTCATCTGACAGAGCTACCGACGGCGCACTGTCAGCTGTCAATAAATTGCGGTCTTTTTTACCGGTGTAAGATGTTCTGATTTTATACTTGTGGCTTCATTTAAATACAGAATGGGTGATTACAAATTTTTAAGGAGTTAGTAAATATGCCCAATGAACTTCAAGAATATTACAAAACGTGGGACATATGTTTAAGGAAGTGACGAATGGGAATTGTGTTAAATTGCCACCTTTGACGCGAAATCCGCCAAGTTTAAAAAAAAAAAAAATCTGAGCTTTTTCCCGCATCCGCTCAATGGGCGGTGAGCTTTTCTCCGCATCTGCCGGTTTTGCGGTGAGCTTTTCTCCGCCGCCCGCCCATTTCAGGGCGGGAAGATTAATTTTGCTAAGCCTAATTGCGGTCTCGTGACGACCCTCGCTGCCAAGGGTTTTATTTTGTTTTTAGACTGCTCGCACACTACTATATTAAGGTATAAGAAAATAATATAAGATGTTTATTCTCGTTGGTTGGCGTTTGGCTCAAGTGTTATACTGCTTTCGACTTTGTGAAATAATCTTTTTTTCATTGTTTGTGACAGGAACCCTCCAACGACGAGCCGAAAGCAAAGAGGGGGCGTGGTCGCCCCAAGGGCAGCATCAAAAAGAAGAAGGTGGGTGTTGTTTTTTTTTTGTCCAGTTCAGTAATTACCTCAGTTTGCAGTTTTTTTTTTTTTCATTAATAGACCAAGTGTTTTGTGACTTGGCAGAGAAGTTGTTTTGGGGGAAAAAAAGAAAAGTTGCAAGGATGCGGGCCAGACATGAGATCTTCCGTCCTCTTCATCCTTGTCACATTCACCTTATCCTTGCAACTTAGTAGCACACAGCTGTTCTTCATTGTTACAAGTCCTTGGTTACGGGAATGTGCACAATGTGCTTTCTGGTTGCCGTAACATAATCAGTGGCAGATGCAAGTTAGTGTATGCTAACAGCTGTCTTGCCACAAATCAAAATGCTGTCAAGGGATTCATTCTATCCTCTTATCATGTGGAAACAAGTATATAGGTCAGACAGGTAGGTGTGTTAATGATAGGCTGAGGGAACACAAAAGTAGGAAATTATCGGGACGGTCATCTGTCTGATCATTGTCAAAGTTGCAAGTGTGTGCCGTTGTTTTCCGAGAGCAAGATTCTGGCACGGCACAAGGAAAAAACTGTCAGGGAGATAGTCGAGGCAGATGAGATTAAGCAGGATGCTGCAGCATGTTTCAGCGTGGCCTCAATTGATTTACTGGACAAGGAGCGTGCGTTCCTCAATGATGCGGCCTGGCATCGGGGGTTGGCTAGTGGTGGAGCGAAATCAGAAACTGGGATGGTATAAATCAGTGTGTCGAACCGAAAAAAATACGGGTTCGGTTCAGGTTCAGGTAAATTTATTTTGTTCCGGTTCAGTTAAGGTTCGATTAATTCGATCCGCGAACCGGTTCGGAAATTATAAATGACAAATTGCAACATCAAAATAAATTACAAATAAAACATCTGAAATCAGCACCTACGAATTGGGATACATCGTAGTGTAAGGCTCAGGGATTTCTACCAGGAATGGTTTCTTTATGTGCACTCAAAGGTTACTTCACCGACGTTTACGCATTCGAACTTCATCTAATTGGGTCCGACGCAGTAGCTGTAAAATCCGCGACCTCCTTACAAACCAACTTACAGCTAGAACTCGCTAACTATCCCGCCACCTCGGCGTGTAAGCAATTGAAGGAACAGTGGGGAGAAAATACAGCTTTCTTTATTTGAACTAGCCTTCGGTAACTCAAATTAGACCCTTAAAGAAGTCATTTTCATTAAACAAGATACGGAATATGAAAAACACTTCACCGAACGCAACGCCAGAAGGACGTAATAGGATAAATATTAAAATAGAAGAGTTCGGTGTCTCACAAATATGTTAGCTTCTAAGTTCCTATACGAAACCGGATGCATTATTATCAAACTCCACAGCCTTTTCTTTTCTCATTCCAATGGAAGCAAGCTTCAAGAACTCGCGCGTTCTAGAAACGTGTTATGAACTGAGCACACAGCAGCATTTAGGATTTACGAGATTGTAGGAAAATGAAATCCCGTGACGCAATTTTTTTTTTTTTTGCTCAGCCTTTCAATTTTCTTTCTTCCGTGCAAGCTGCGACCAGCGCATTACTGGTTCCTATGTCAAGATTCATGGATGCAGCGTTTGTCAAGATTCATGGATGCAGCGTTTATATTCCTAAGACTGAGTGGAGAAGAAAAATATGTAAGCGAGGTGTGTGTCAGTTGACGGCACTCAAAAAACAAAGGGCATTGATAGCACATTCATTGTCAACAGCACGTGGCCGAACCGTTTTGACATGAGCCGGTAACCGTTATTTTTTTTTCAGGTTCGGGTTCATCGCGATAACAATATAACGGTTCGGGTTCAGTTCCGGAAAAAATACCGGTTCGGTTCCGGTTTTTGGTTCGGTTCCGGTTCGACACCCTGGTATAAATGTGTCGTTTCATGTAATGAAATCGGTTAGTAGCGCACTGTGCTGTCTGTTTCTCGCCTCTTTGTCCCTGTTTTTGAGCGCTAAAATGTATTCCAAATTCTAAAACCATGTAGCCCAACAATCTGCCCTGCTGTCAAGGGCAGATTGTTGGGGAAATGCACAATGCAAGTCTGCCTTTTTTTTTTTTTTTTTTTCCAGCTGTTAATTTATGAGCGGTCAGTTATGAATGGGCATGGTACTGTTCATCTTAACACGAGGTTCTTGCAAATGCCCGACAGGCTGCTGCCAAGACTGCTGCCAGCCCCAAGAAGACCCCCAGCCGTGGACGGCACCGAAAGGCGGCAGCCGACAAGGACACTGGTTCCGATGATGCCGGAGGAGACCAGTCCGACTGAGTGGTTCTAGCAGATTGTCCTCATTACTCGCTGGAGTTTTCGTGGGTGGGTTTTGCCTCTTCTGCCATCCTCAGTGACGCTGTGTCTGTCTTGTGGCATGCTTTTTAGTTCCCTGGGCCTTCTCATGGATGCGGCTCAATGTAGATGGAGGTGATTCTCTTGCTCCACCAAACAGAAGCAATGTATTCTGCTCTTTCATTTGGAGAGTCTTTCATTTGCCTCGCATTTTGCGAGGCAGAGGTGACAGTTCTGTCTGCTCATTTTGCAATACTCCCGCTGCCTTCCAGCAGAGCAGCTAAACTTTTGTGGAAGCCCTCTTGTCCTTTGGCTGGTTCAGCAGATGCAGTCTGGCCCCTCTGCTTTTCAGTTTAGCCGTGTGTTGTCGTCTGTTACACTTGGGATCCATTTTTTTATGCCTCATCAAGCAACTCTGGTGTTTGCTATTTTTGGGTACGGTGTGCGATTGGATCAGTCCTCCCCGAATGTTGACGTAGCCCTTGTGTTCAATGCCTGCTCAGGGTGCGTGCCCAAACGCAGCTACTATACTCGGTTTCACCTTATGTTGTACCACAGCGAAGGCTAGAAGTGCGAGCTCGTAGTACGAGAGCATGTGCCGCCGAGATACGCCATAAAGCAAGGACCTGGCGCTCGTAGCCTTTCCTGCGGTATATCATAAGGGGAAATAGAGTATAGACTGCACCGCTTTTGGTTAAGGGCCCGTTGTGTCATCCAGGTGGCTGTGGTTTAGGGGGTCTGATCGTGCGGTTTGGTTTTCTCCTTGCAGATGACATCAACACGGCGAATCATTGCAAGGCTCATCACATTCTTCTGTTTCCACTCGTGTTGGTTCATCTCAAGTTTTAGCCAGCATCGTATATCACTGCTCCACGGCATTTGCTCTCCCATGTGTGGTGCTCCCATTCCAACCAAATAAAATGATCCGTCTTTTGACGATGGGGTCGTCTGCCTCCCGTCCTTGTGTGAATGCTTCCTGGCATAGCTTGTATGCATCACTATACATTTGTGAGAAGGTAAATATGGTTTTCGGTCTGCAAATATAAGCTGCATCGTAGAAGGCTCCGCGAGAGTGGCAGAACTTGGACCCAAAGGTAATGGACTTGTTCCAGAACTAGTGCCTTTGTTGCGGAAATCCACATGCAGTCTGCTCCTGTCCTACGGGTAATACTTCGTAAAAAAACATTCTCGGTTTAAGAGAAAAAAAAATCTGCACTGTCAAGGTTGCTTGGTTTCAGGTTTTCGTTTCCCTCCTCTGTCCCAGGTGCAGGCTGTAAGATACACTCTAGGTGAGGACACGGCGGGGCTGAACGTGCGGCGCGAGGAATCGGATAGTGTTCGTTCGACGGGCATCCGAAAGGCTGCATTATTCCACGGCCACCATGCCCGCGGCTGACAGAGTCGCCGGCGGCCAAACGGCGAAACTGTGAGAGCGAAAGAAATTATCTCGTTACCATGACACCCCGGTACACCGTGGTCTTTCTGCACGAGCGACAACCTCGCTGGAGCTCTGCGCGTGTGGAGCACGAGGCGGCATGAGCCGTCTTTGCCGTGCCCACGGGTCGACGAGTCATCTGCCGGCACCACTGGAAACCATAGTGAGAGGGGGTGAAAAGCGAACTTCATCTGCACTGCGTGAAAAGCGCGCTGTCCTCACCTGAAGAGTATTATCTTACACCGTGCCCACGTGCAAAAAATGGGTGGCCAACTGTAGTCGTGCGGACTTGGAGGGCAAGCCGGCGGAGAAGCTGTTTTCCAGCTACTACCTCTGTTCGGCCCACTTACGCAAGGGCTGTTTCAGCAGCCGATACCGCAATCGGCTCGTCTGGAATGCCGTCCCCACCGTCTTCAAGCACACTGCCAAGGAGGAGCCTCCTCCGGCAGCCAAAGCCACGGCCAAAGCTTCAGCCAACTTGGCCAAGCCAACGCGGGCAGGCACATCCGTGAACCAACGTGAGTGTTTATTCGGCTGTGCGTGAGCCATTTTGTGGCGAACTCTGGGGGGGGTTGTAACTTGATGTTTAGTGCCTGTACTTACGTGCGATGGGCGTGTGCCAACGTCTCGGAGTGCGTTTTCTTGGGTTTGCAGAGAGGTTCCGACTGTTCTTCGGGTTCGCCAGCAAGCGTCGCACGTCCGTGCAGCTGCGTCCGGGGGCGCCACTGCTCTCGTCGGCGCCGAGCCCCCCCCAGCTAAAAGGAGCAGACACGAAGGACATCCCACAGGTAACTCTGCCCCCCGTCCTCCCCCTAGTTCATCTTCACCGATACGGCTATGGTAACACTGCGGCCTGTTGGCAGAACTGTCAAGTAGCTGCTGAAAAGCGCTTCAGCTTCTGGAATTTATTACATTTTCTGTAAATGAATAACTCCCAAGTTTCGAAGGAACTAGTCACACCACGAGGTGAGGACAGCAAGGCGTCTCTTTCGAACGTCCGGCCTCCTGCACATGCTCGTTGCCTTCCACTGTGCTTTGCTGCACATGCATGCTCAAAGTTCACGAGACACCAAAGCGTTTGTTGTCGAAGGTACGGAACTTGCGCCGGACGCGGTATGACCGAAAGTCTTCAATGCCATTTTCTCATCCAGTCAGTGACCGCATCTTTGGGGTAATTTTTTTATCTTGAATCGATTACAGTGACTTTTCAAACAGGACGTTGAACCCGACGGGTACGTTCCGATTCATGTTGACTGAGTCGCGGCGTCAGCGTCCCCTGTTGCCGCTGTTTCGGGCTTTCTTGCAAGCGGAGCTCTGAATCGAGATGAACTGCTCCGGTATTCCTCTTCCGCATCAGAAACCGAACTGCTGATGGCCGTTCGGAGCTCAGCGCGACGTTGCGACGCATCTCCGAAAGTAATTGGAACGGCGCTCTGTCACTTTTTGTGAGCCACCGAACATGTAACAAAGATGCTCCCCTAAAGACGTAACCGTATTTGGAGGATGATGCATCGAAACGGGACAGCTCGGTCGCTCTTTGTGAGCTGTACCTGTAACCAGATGCGTCCCTAAAGCAACCGTATTGGGAGGATAAAAACATAGTTTCGTTGTAATCTAAACTCTGAGACTAACAGGACTGAAATGACGGACGACCTGACATAAAGTCCTAGTTCAGATTCTGTTGCGTCGTCCGATTGTTTTATTTTTTCCTATAGTCACTCGAGAGGTGGTGACGGTGGAGAGGAGGTTCGGTCGTCCCCTTCTGCGAGTTTCCTACATTCGACAGTGCTTCAACGCCTTGAGCGCACACGCTTAGCGAAAGCCTGGCATTTGAAAGCCGCGCTCCGCCGCCACTCTCATTCTGCCCCCGACTGTAGCCTCACCATTTAAATTATGACGTCTCCCGACCAGCTTGCCCACACGCTTCCTCTTTTTGCATTTAGTTGGTCGTTTTTAAAATACTTCTTAAGGTTGACGTCTGTAGCTCCGGCGTTCACGTACCGTTTGACGTCGATCCCGACGCTTTCTGGTGGTAGAGGCAGAGGCGGCGGAGGATGAAAGTCCCCGGCTGTTGGTGTAGATCGAGGACCACCTGTATGCTGCCCAAACGGCCGCCCACACGGCTGCCTGCGCGGCCATCCAGCCAGTCTTTAGCACGCGGTTCAGCATGCCCTCTCCGTCGCAGGTAGGGGAGCGCATCGCGTCGACGCCTTCCAGACGCACCCTTAGTGCTCGATTTCCTGCGTGCCGGGGGCCAGCACGGGCCGCGGACTAGGCACGATGCGGCAGGGGACGGGGCTTTTGTGGCGCGTTCCAGAATGAAAGGTGCAGTTTTTTTGTTTTTTTTTCTATAAAAACAAAACGACGCATTGCTGAACGCTCGGCTGCACACAAATCTAACGCTAGCAGTCTGAATCAGATGCCGAAGTTTCGGAACTGACCGTCACCTTATTCGATAATCATAGGAGATTTTCTGAAAGTTTCAATCGGAAAATGGGGCCTGTTCTTGGGTAACTTGCCAGGTACGTAGCCAGGATTTTGTTTCGGGAAGGGGGTTGCCGTTATGGCAAAATGCTGTATGAGGGGGAGGGGGAAAAGGAGGCCCCAGCAAAATGGAAGATTTTCGGGGGGGGGGGGGGGGGGGGGGGGGAGTGGACCAAGGATGACTGGGTTGTGTTCTTGGTAAGTCTCTAGGCCCTTGCAACACTTTGTTTTTCGTCAATCCGATGGAAGCGTGGCAGGGCTCGATTGTAACCGCTGGGGCGGATGGTTTGCGACTGCTGAATCTGGAACCGAAGACTTTCTATGATGACTGCTGGAACTGAAACCAGGACCCTTTAACTGCTGAAACTGAAACAGGAGGAGACTTTTCACTGACAAAGTGAGAACGACGGGGAGCGGTTTCAGTTTTCGGCCTCGGACTTGCACTCGCTTCCATCCATAACGACTCGTTAGGTCTGTTTGATTCGCCTGAACTAGCTGAACTAGTTCAGCAGTGCAGGACTGGTGCATTCGTTTCAACCGGAAGTTGCACGGCCGCTGCACCGGCACGTTCGATTCATCCCAGTTCTGAACAAGTTCAGACCCAGTTCCTCAAAATCTTGCACCGGCTCCGGAGTCAGTTCAGCGTCGGTGCAGAAGCAGACGACAAGAGCAGACCGCGATAGCAGACGACATTCCTCGTCCGTCTCTGCTCGCGGTACCATTTTTCGCAGCTCTTGCTCAAATGTCCGCGATGTTTAACAATAACACCGATACGGAGGTTGCATTTCCTCTCATTCCTGATAATAACGTACCCTCGGTGGACGTGGAATTGAGATCATAACCAAGGGTAGGAATTTGCTTGATTATGATATTCCAAAAGCGTTTCAGGCACCTGCTCACGTAGGTTTGGCTCCCTGCGGTAAGTGTCGAAATATTGGCTCACGCAAATTGTTTCTCTTTGATGTTATGTGGAGCTACACAGTGTTGATATTCTTCCTTGCAGACACGGAGAAAGGTATTGCACTCTTGATAGTCCCCGCCTTCAGTTGCTCTTGGATGCATACTGACGACCCCGATACATCGCAGAGGTCTGGGATTTAGTACACTGGCCTTCGCATGCCCCGTAGCTGAGAATAATACTGCATGCTTTGTCCGTTGGTATCTGTGGACACCCACTCAGCTGGCCTGGGGAAGGCGCCGAGAATCGGCATTGGCTTGGTATAGTCAGTTACAGGTTAAGAAGGTAGCGGCAAATGCCCCTCAAAGGGAATCAGATATCCCTCCGCCACCTTTGCATCCAATAGCGTCCCACCGTTTCCGTGACGTCGCGGACAACGCGCGAGGAGGGTGTTGCCTTTCTGTACATATTTGCTTTATCTTTCGACTTTGACTTAGCATTGTGGAAGCCACGAGAGGGAGATTAGAGTTCTCCCCCACCGACGGAAACAAATACGACTTTCGGGGATTAGCTTCCCCCCCGATGGATACAAAGGCTGCTTTCAGGGGCTCGGTTCCCTCTCCGATGGATACAAAGGTCGATTTCTTAAAAAGTGGGATCGGAGACAAGTGGGAATCCACTGAAGCGGAACAAGGAGCGTTTCCAGTGAACTCTTCTTTCGACTGCGGAGAGATTTGAAACGGGCGCATCACACTTGTGGGAGGAGCTTCTCCTACCTTCTTGACTTGTAACCGACTATAGTTACACGCAGGTCTTTCTTGGGAATCAAAATAAACGCTTCAGCTTGACGCCAAAGTTACGGTCGATAACTGTCTTGGCCAAAACACTCTCGTTTGGCCTTCGTCTTCGAGGTGATCGCTAACGACCGCGCGCTGCCGCCAGTGACTCCCGACACAAAATCATCCTGATACCGCGAACCTATCGTTGAAATGCGAAACTCGAAAGACTTGGGATGAATCTACTATTGCTAAATGAATGTGAAGAACGCGAACGCTTACGAAAACGGCAGGAACCGAACGGCCGTTAAAATGCAGACAGAAACAAATTTCGTACAGAAAACGTTTTTAGTACCTTCGAATAAAATATATTCACAGAAAAGATTCCTTTACTATACTTTAAAACTAAGGAAACACGAATGGTCTCATCAAACCGCGACTAATTAAATGTAGCATACGACGTGGCGTGGAGAAACAAGAGCAAACAGAATGCAGACGACACCCTGCGCTTCCGCTCGGAAAGCCGATCACAGCGCCAGTCCTAGCGCGGCGGCTGCACTGGTTCTGCGCCGCCGCTGCACGACTCCTGCACTCGTCTGAACTTGGACAGAACTAGTTCAGAAGTTTCTGGCCGAATCGAACAGACCTGTTGTCTCGTGAGCCTCGAGCGGGCAAGCGCAGCCAGAGTGCAGAGAAAGGCAATGAATGCTCATTGGAGGTCGGGCGTTCGAAAGAGGCTCCCTGCCGTTCTTATCCTGCCAGTTACCCTAAAGCACATAAACAGGTCACGACCTCTATGTACGGCTCCAAGAATGCACAGGCGTGTAGGCGGTGCACCTGGGCTTGGAGGTGGCGGAGTGACCGTAGGGCGCATCCAACCCTCTCCCTAACAGGAATGGGACAGACTGAGGAAGCGTCCCATGGCCCAGAATCCCCACTACTGGATGGAGGCCAAGAAACGCTTCCGGGCTGCCCTGGGTAAAGTCACGTTTGGGTGGACGCAGCCCCGCTGCAAGGCCAGGGGGGCGAGCTCAAGAATGTCAAGGTGCGCAAGATCAAGTGGACCAGAGGTGAGAGATTGGGGCCCACTACTCCTCGCGACGGCAATCTCGATCTCGGTGGCCGCTTTGGGTTCGCCGAAACTGCCCGAACCGAGGCCACGAGCTAACATTAGTATACCCGAACGCCGTACATACAGATTCTCTTGCCAGTAGCTATGAGACACGGGTACAGTGCCACCTGCTTATAACGATAAGGGGGAAACCCCAAATTTGACTTGTTATAACTGATTATCGTTGCCCTAACGAAAATTCCCATAGAGAAAACCGATAGCCCATTGGTTTATTGACACCAATAGGTGACCGTGACAGACCGTGACGCCACGATCACTTGGTGCCCGACACACGTCACATGGTCACGAGACCCACAGTGGCGAGCCACCAAATTTAGCGGGACGGTGGCCACCCAGATTTAGCCATCAATGGCACAGCAATAACAACACAATAAAAAGACCTAAAAAAAAAAAAAAAACTTGGAGGAAAAAGAAAATCCTGCCTGGTTAGGGAGTCATGTCTCAAATTAAATTTGTCGGAAAATTTTTGTTTTATTTTTTCTAATATTAAAGGGATACTACAACGAAATTTCAGCGCTTATTTCTTTGTCTATACATGTTCAAGGGAGCTGTATCACATTGGACACACCAATATCTTGTTGAAAAAGACACAAAAAGGAATTTTAACACAAATTTGACGATTAGCGAAAGGCACCTAGTGGATGTCGCTAAATCTTTGCAATGCCGTCAGGCTCAAAGTATGAATGTGCGGTGTCATTTATGGATATTGTGGATTATATTTCAGCCTGTTTCTGAGCACGACGGGTATATTTCAAATTTCGTTGAAGCCTTTAATGCTACAATATGAATTTTTTATTTGTTGGAGGCACCGAAGGTGGTACCCCTGTGAGGTGATGATAGCGTTTGTACCAAACTGGTGTGCACTCTGAGATCCAGCCAACTTGGGAGCGCACAGAAGTTGGGTACAAACACTCATCATCATCATCCCACAAGAGTACAGTTTCGATTTCGCCCGCAAATCGGAAAATTTCTATTGTAACTAACATTGGGCCAAAAAAAATAATTTTTTTTTTACAAAACCGTTTACTTTTTAGATTTGCCTTTCCTAAGCAGGTAGAGAAAAAAAAAAGTGCTTCCTAGGAACAGTGCCCGTTTAAGTAAGGTTTCAAAGGTTCTCCATTCTCCGGTGCAATGGTATGTCCTTTGGTGCAATTGGTGTCCGTTTTGACCGTACCGACCTCACGTGACCGGCCGTCTTGTGCAGGTGCACTCAAAGATGTTCCCGTACTCCTGCTCGAGCTGCAGCGTGAAGACCCGTCTGCTGCTACAGCTATGGCACCACGAGCTTCGGCGCCTGGCGCAGCGGCTCTGCAGGTGCCACCGGTGTGGCCTCATGTGCCATGTGCGCGAGAACCTCCGCTACCACCTGGCCAAGGCCCACGGCCAGAACCACGTGCCGGCACCCGACCCCGACCGAAAGCTGGTCCCCGTGTGCACCGGGGAGTTTGGCTGGCCGGCCGCGCCCAAGCCGAAAGCAGGCCGAGCCAAGCCGACCGGCGGCCAAAAGTCTGGCGTCCGCAAGCCGAAGCCGACCGAGGCCAAGTACACCTTAGTGCCAAAAGTGTTTGTTAGCATGACTGCACGTGGCGCGGTTTCAAGTATAACTTCGCCAAGTAAAAACAATGCACAAAACGGGCTGTGCTTCGCGATACAGCGCATAACGCTGACTGACGAGCCGAAGGTTCCAAGATCTGCGCAGTCTGTCCCAGTGTGCCCTACCCGTGACGTCAAAAACGACGATGATGATAGCTAGAGAAGCACCGCCTGTAGTTTGCGCACGCCGCCAGAGGAGCCGTAAGCTGTGGACGTTCCGTCCGGAGTTGTCTGTCTTCGAGCCTGCTCATTCCGTATCATGTAGGGGAGAGTATGCCATCCTGCTGGCCTACTCTCGCACACTGCCAGTGTTGTTAAACTTTCAGAACTCTATGAGCCGAGAAATTGATGGAGAGGAGGAGACGAGAGTGCAGGGACATTAGAATGCAGAGGCACCTAAACCTAGGTGTCTTTGCTTCACTGCACTCGTCAAAGACGTTCGAATGCGAGAGCCAAACGCTGGTGTCCGGCGTTTGGCGTTTGCAAAAACAAAGGCAGCCTTTGTTTTTGCTGCACTCGTCGAACACATTCGAATGCAGAACGCCGGTATCCAGCGTTTGGCTCTCGCATTCGAACGTCTTTGACGAGTGCAGTGAAGACAGAGGCACCTACCTAGCTTTAGGTGTACCCACTAATCATTCGAACCAGAGCTCGGGTGTCCTGACATCCACACCTGCTCTCTTCCTCTCTTCTCCCTCAGTTTCTTGGTGCATGCATCAGGGGCAGATTTAAGGGGAAAGTGTGGGGGAGGGAGGGCAGAGGCCCCCGAGGGCAACTTTTTCTCAAAACTTCGACATACGCCGGCTTTTGTTAGGAAGAAATTAAGTTTTTGGCAATGTGACTAGTACACTCAGTTGGAAAACTGCTATAGGAGCCTCCTTTCCTTTCTCCCGCAGTGGCCACTCCGTGAACTACACTGCTGCACTTACTGGTTCCGTAGAGTCTCGGAAGGGCCACTGGTGCCATCTCGCAGGGCCTTCTTGCAGTAGCTACGTAAGGCAACTTTCATGTTTTGACTCGTTGCTAAAGAGTGGCACTGTTATCATATTTAGTTTGGTCTCGGTCAAGGAGAATAGAAGGGTAGGAGAGGGCATGGGACGTCGGCCGCATAGCCTCCACAAGCCATGCTTCCTTGACGCCTCGCCTCTTTCTCATTTTCCTCCTTACTCTCCTCACTTACCATGCCAACATGACCACATCACGTGACCGTAGTACTAGAATGGTACTAGAATACACCACAGTCTAGCCTTCGATCTGATAAAACCTACCGGACGGAGTGTGCGCAAGCCTGCAAGGAATCCTTCTACAATCAACCATCCATCTCGCACGTGACATGTCACGCGCACCAATCGCCAGAGAGATCTGCGGTCACGCTGGGCACAATCATTTAAATTTTTTATGACGGCTTTACAAATATTGCAACGTGCCCCCTCCTAGTACTTCTAACCTCCCGGGGGGGTATGTTGCAGGTTTTGGACTCCCAGGAGACTAGGGAGAGGGAAGTGACGTCAACAACGCTCTTTGGATGTTGATTTGCGGAGTCGCTGATGACGCGTTGCGTGGTGCTGCTAAGATACTTCATTCACACCTACGTCACTTCCTTCTCCCTTGTCGCCTGGGAGTCCAAAACGTGCAACATAGCCCCCCTGGTCTCGGTGGACGCCAGCAGTCCAGGGGTGCTATGTTGCGCTTTTTGCACTCCCAGGAGACTTGGAAGAGGGAAGTGACGTCAACGACACAGCAAATGCAGATTGGATGTTGACAGAAGAAAACAAAATCAACATCCAATCTGCATTTGCTGCGTTGTTGACGTCACTTCCCTCTCCCTAGTCTCCTGGGAGTGCAAAAAGCGCAACATAGCCCTCCAGGTTCCAAGGTTGAGTTTCCTAGCTGAGTGTTTTAGTAACGTTGGTTTTTGGTGGCATAGCAAATGTTAGGTCAACAAAACGGATCTTGCCCTGCATGTTAGGGTCAGATATTAGTTACTGTTCACCTGATGGACTCCTTTCTCTGCATTCATCATAGGTTTCAAATCGTCCTGAGTCATGGGCCAAGCCTTTCAAGACTGCACCCTTAGGCCCAGTCCTTTTTGGTGGATCGGATCTTGCCATCTTCCCCTATCGTGGCTTCCTGTTGTAATTAAATAAATTGGCATATTATTTTCTGATGGTGGTGCATACGTTTTGCCACACTTCACAAAAACAGTGTGGTGAATCCATACCGCAGATTACTGTGAAACGTGCAAGAAGGGTAAGCTCCAAAAAGACTGATGGGAAGAAGGTAGACATCTCCGATTAAATTTTTCTGGCCACTCTAAGCATGCTAACAAACACCGGCCGAAATTCAAAAATCACGTAACGAAAAAAAAAAAAGTAAAAGACAAACAAAAAAAGTACTTTTTATATATTTTTACTTTAAAACGTCATCTAAAAATCAACAAAATAACAAAACCGGAAGTGACGTCATTTTTTTTTTTAGCCAATCGGCGTTTTCCAGCTTTTCTACTCCGAAACCATGACCTCCTCTGAGGAGGTCGTGCCCGAAACGCTTGTTTTTGAACAAGAGGTCAAAGAGGTTGGGTTGGTGCTGAAACTTTGGCATCTGGTTCTAACGGCCGGGGCTACGTTCTGACGGAGTTTGAGTGGTTTCAGCTCTCCGCGACGTCTAGTTTATGTTTGCGGTGCGAAAAGCCGGGTTCAGATTTCTCCCAAACACCCGGTATAATAAATGTATTACGTGACAAGTGCTCGTTCTGCAGTCTCAGTTATATTTTTTGCTATATTTTAAGCTGAGACTGCAGCCAAAGCTACAAGCTCGAGCTAGCCCGCGCTCCTGGCTTGGAGGCGTGGATTTCTAGCGCGAGCGCTCGTTCTGCAGAAAAACGCTTTACGCCATTCAAAAAAAAAAAAAAAAAAAAATATAGAAAGCATGTTTTACAATTTATTTGCTTATGCGAAATCTGATTTAAATGCCCGACTCTTGGTGTGCCAAAACGCATCCCCGTTTGACGCGCGTAAAAAAAAAAAAAAAAAAAAAAAAAGGAAAAAGACATTTGATGCAGGAGTGGCAGGAGCTTGGAGCTACCGGTTAGTACCGGTTCATACCGGTTCGTGGTCCAAATGCCTCCGGCGCCCACCTTTGTTATTTTTTAACTGAAGATCGGTTTGTGTGACCTTTTGTTACTTTTGGACGGAGAGCATGTTTTCAACGTTGCAGTGCGCTTTAACTGCGCACACGAATAAATATTTTGAAAGGCATGTTATCTTTCCGTTTTCATTATCATCGGTCGGGTTACGGTTAGCACCCGCAGTCACAGCTTCCGGATTCACTGAAAGGGTTCGAAGCTACCTGCCACGACAGAGATTACTAAATTCATCGCACCGTAACAACGAGTGCAGAAAACGAAGTTTTTCCAGTGCAAGTGCGAGTACTGCATCACAGTACAGGTTCATTCACCCACAACGAACTGTTTCCAAACAAAAGATAAGAAGCATAAAAATACAAAGCAGAAGTAAACTTGGCAATACTCTCGTCAACAACACAAGGGGAGTGCAGGCGCCGCCGGAACGTTTTTAACGACGCCTCAGATTTTCCCGGCTTCGCCGAAGCACCTACTATTTTTTTCCGGGCTTATTTAAAAATGCGAAAAATTAATAAAATAATTCCGGCCTTTTCTGACTCCTAAAAAACCTCTGGTGACCGTTGGACAGAAGCGCGGTTTTCTGCTCGCCTTCCCCTCTCCTTCATTTACTTTGTGAAGGCAAGCGCAGCATCCCTTCAGTTGATCCTTGGCATCGGGGCTTCGTGCACGTAAGAGACGTCTCTCTGCACATTCGCGTCAGTAGACATCTCTCGAATCTTATCTCGAGTCGGGGATTTTGGATTTAATATCGCAAAGGTGGAAAAATTACCTTAATTTTGCGACGCATCTCCTAAAATTGGCGGTCCGAGATCGCGCGCAGTTTGTGGAGCGGCGCTACCGGCTTGCCGGGTACCTAAGCCTAAATTTGCGCGACGTATTTTTCAGCCGCCATGAGCGGTCGCCAAAGAACAAATTTATTTCTCGGCTTTACCGTTGACGGCGGCTAACGTTTATTGCTCGTAAAATTGGTCCAATGTGTGAACCGTCTTCACGGCCTGCACGGTTTCGGGAAAAAATTCTCGCGAGTCGCTAAAAATCGACCGAGTTGGCCTCTCGGCTCACTGGGGAGGCCGGACGTCAATGGTGGCAGCCGCAAATATTTTTTGTCCGCGTCGGCACTCCGTCTAGGGAGCGCCCGATTTTCCCGGTGTTTGGCTGGTCGGCGTTGATTAAATCGGCGCGATTTTTGCAGATTTTCAGAAATGGCTGACGACGGAGCTGATAAGAAGCGCGGCAGGCCGAAGAAGTCCGAGACTGGCGAAAAGCGCGCCAAGGAGGTGAACTTCGTTTTGTTTTTTCGTCGCTTGCATTGCACTAATGCTCCACGTTTAAGTGCCGACATGCTTGCTTTTTCGACGTTCCCAATGACGCTGCAATGTCGGGCGTCGATATTTTGCATAGTTTTGCCCCTATATTGCATTTGTTACGCGCGCCATATTGGATTTTCACTTTGGCGGCGAAACGTAATCGATATGCTGCGCGCTCATTGGCTCGCAGATCGAGGGGAGGGCTCATCTTGTATTTATTGTCCATTGTTACCTCGCGAAATTTTCTTTCATCCTTTTTGGCTACCTGGTGGTGGAAAACGAATAGAAGAGAAGGCGGATCGTGTCTTCGCTTGGTATTTTACTCTGCGTTGGCCCTTTGGTTTGTTATTAGATTTTCGTAAATGTAACTTGAACAGGGCTGCCAACGAGGGAACAAAAGCCTTTGTCTTGCGCCATCTGCTCAACCCAACTGGTTGACATTACGGGTTTACAAAACCAACTCTTTACTAAAAAAAAGCAAATCGAAAAAGAAAGCAATTCGCAGACTTTGATATCGGTGATATTTGTCCACCGCCTTGAAGTATCCATCCGCCTGGCAGGTGGCGCGATCAAAATGGCGGCCCATTTCATGGCGGGAAGATTAATTTCGCTAGGCCTAATCGCGGTCTCGTGACGACCCTCGCTGCCAAGGGTTTCATTTTGTTTTTAGACTGCTCGCACACGACTATATTAAGGTATAAGAAAATAATATAAGATGTTTATTTTCGTTGGTCGGCGTTTGGCTCAATTGTTGTCCTGCTTTCGACGTTGTGAAGTAATCTTTTGTTTGTTTGTGACAGGAATCCTCCAACGACGAGCCGAAAGCAAAGAGGGGGCGTGGTCGCCCCAAGGGCAGCAGCAAAAAGGCAAAGAGGGTGAGTGTTTTTTTGTTTTTGTCCAGTTCAGCAATTACCTCAGTTTGCAGGTCTTTTTTTTTTTTTCATTAATAGACAAACTGTTTTGTGACTTGGCAGAGAAGCTGTTTTGGGGAAAAAAAAAGTTGCAAGGATGCGGGCCAGACATGAGATCTTCCGTCCTCTTCATCCTTGTCACATTCACCTTAAGGCCCGTTCACACTCTTGCAACCGAGAGAGACCAAACCGGTTTTTAAGCCTCTTGCGATCTCTTAGGACCAGCTCCACTCAGTGCATCCGGTCCCAAGAAGTCTTTCTCGGTCGTACTCGGTTGCAAGAGTGTGAACGCGCCTTTATCCTTGCAACTTAATAGCACACAGCTGTTTTTCATTGTTACTAGTCCTTGGTTACGGGAATGTGCACAATGTGCTTTCTGGTTGCCCTAACCTAATCGGTGGCAGACGCAAGTTAGTGTATGCTAACAGCTGTCTTGCCACAAATCGAAAGGCTGTCGAGGGCTCAGATATGGGGAAACACAAAATGCAAATCTTTGCCTTTCTTTTTCTTTTTTTTTTTTTTTCCAGCTGTTTTTAATTTACCGGCAGTCAGTTATATGAATGGGCATGGTATTGGTCATCTTAACACGAGGTTCTTGCAAATGCCTGACACAGGCTGCTGCCAAGGCTGCCGCCACCAGCCCCAAGAAGTCCCCCGGACGTGGACGCCCCCGAAAGGCGGAGGCCGACAAGGACTCTGGGTCCGATGACGCCGGAGGAGACCAGTCCGACTGAGTGGTTCTAGCGGTTTGTCCTCATTACTCGCTGGAGTTTTCGTAGGTGGGTTTTTCCTCTTCTGCCATCCTCGGTGACGCTGTGTCTGTCTTGTGGCATGCTTTTTAGTTCCCTGGGCCTTCTCATGGGTGCGGCTCTATGTAGATGGAGGTGATTCTCTTGCTCAAACAAACAGAAACAATGTATTCTGCTCTTTCATTTGGAGAGTCTTTCATTTGCCTCGCATTTTGCGACGCAGAGGTGACAGTTCTGTCTGCTCATTTTGCAATACTTCCGCTGCCCTTCCAGCAGAGCAGCTAAACTTTTGTGGAAGCCATCTTGTCCATTTGGCTGGTTCAGCAGATGCACTCTGGCCCCTCTGCTTTTCAGTTTAGCTGTTTGTTGTCGTCTGTTACACTTGGAATCCATTTTTTTTAAGCCCCATCAAGCAACTCTGGTGTTTGCTATTTCTTGGGTACGGTTTGTGGTTGGATCAGTCCTCGCCGAATGTTGACGTAGCCCTTGTGTTCAATGCCTGCTCAGGGCACGTGCCCAAACGCACCTACTACACTGTCTCACCTTACGTTGTACCGCAGCGAAGGCTAGAAGTGCGAGCTCGTAGCACGAGCAAGGAGCTGGCGCTCGTAGCCTTTCCTGCGGTATATCATAAGGGGAAATAGAGTATAGATTGCATCGCTTTTGTTAAGGGTCCGTTGTGCCATCCAGGTGGCTGTGGTTTAGGGGGTCTGATCGTGCAGTTTGGTTTTCTCCTTGCAGTTGACGTCAACACGCCGAATCATTGCAAGGCTCATCACGTTCTTCTGTTTCCACTCCCTCGTGTTGGTTCATCTTAAGTTTTAGCCAGCATCGTATATCACTGCTCCACGGCATTTGCTCCCCCATGTGTGTCCCCTCTGTACCATTGTGCTCCGTTTCCAACCAAATAAAATGATCTGTCTTTCGACGATGGGGTCGTCTGCCTCCTGTCCTTGTGCGGTTGCATACTGGCATAGCTTGTATGCATCATTATGCATTTGTGAGAAGATAAATATGGTTTTTGGCCTGCATATATAAGCTGCATTGTAGAAAGCTCCGTGAGAGCGGCACAACTTGGATCCAAAGGTAATGGACTTGTTCCAAAACTAGTGCCTTTGTTGCGGAAATCCACATGCAGTCTGCTGTCCTACGGGTTCCCAGGATGCAATTTGCACAGTGGAATGTATGGTGGTCTAGCGAGAATTGTTGCCTGAAGTCTACCTAAGCCTAATGTGAAGATTGGTGAGAAGATTCTTGTCAGCAAGGAGGTTAGAAGTAATAGGAGGGGACACGTTGCAATATTGGTGAAGCCTAGTCATAAAAAGTTTGTGGCCAACGTGACCGTAGGTCTCTGGCGATTGGTGCATGTGACATGTCGTGTGAGATGGATGGTTGATTGTAGAAGGATTCCTTGCAGGCTTGCGCGTGCTCCGTCCGGTAGGTTTTAACCCTTTCGGCCCTAGCGGTGTCAATTGACGCCACAAGTTAAAATTCGTCCTGGCACTTTAAAAACGAAACCAGAACTGTCAATTTTTTTCCCGAGCCAGTCTTTAGGAATGCCTCCTGCCATCGACATCAGTACTCACGTGATGATATCGCGCTGGCGGCAAGAAAGAAAAAGAATCTCCATCGAAAGCATGGCGAGCCGCGCGCCAGGTGAGCTTGTTTTTTTATTTATTATAACTAAATAAATCCTAGAATAGATGCGTTCCAATTTATATATAGCACTTTTCATGTTTACCTGAGCGTACCAGCGCTTGAACTGGTGTGATGTTGCGCGTAGTTTTTTCCTAGTGCCTTTTTTTCACCATGTGCGATTTTGACGCCATCAGGGCTCAGTGGTTGCAGATGGCTGCCACTAAGTTCACGACGGGCGCGGAGTTTCTGGTTAGCTGTTTCTTTTTTCTCGCAGGTGCGCCCATACCAACGCCGTTGTTTTACTCGCACCAGCGGCTCCAAGCAGCCACAGACGCGCTTTTTGAGGACCTTGATAATGGAAATTTGTCCGATGTAGAGGGCGAATGCGATGAAGAAGGCGATGCTGTCGAGCTTCATGGGACCGATCCAGCACAACCGGACAGTGAGAGCGAGAGCTCTGATGATGAGTGCGGACTCGGAACATCCGGTGGATGGAAAAGGAGACCATTCCAGAAACCAGACTCAACATTTCAAGGAGGCTTCCATGAAGTGCCCGAATTGGAAGAGGAAATACCGTCCCCGTATCAATATTTTAGACGTTATGTTCCAAAAAGTGTGTTCCTTGAACTCGTGGATAAAACAAACCAGTACTCGGGGCTACAGGAGGGAAGCTCAGTCAAAACCGATGAAGAAGAAATGAGGCGTCTTGTAGCACTTCACCTCACCATGGGTGTTCTGCGCTATCCGAGGTTGAGGCTGTACTGGAGGCCAAGCATGAAATCGGCTCTTGTAGCGTCAACTGGACTGTCACGCAACCGCTTTGAGAAGCTGCGGAACAACCTGCACATCGTTGATGTCAATAACCCCAGCACGACTGACCGCCTTTGGAAGGTTAGGCCGCTAATGGATGCTTTTCAAAAACGGTGCAATGAGCTCGATGTAGAGGAGCGCCTTTCCCTTGATGAGCAGATTGTGCCATTCAAAGGCCGTCTTGACATCAAACAATATATCAGGGGAAAGCCAAACCCATGGGGCGTGAAAATATTTATGCTTTGTGGCGAATCTGGCCTTATCTACGACTTCCTTCCATACCAAGGATCGACAACTAGCTTAGCTGAGGACCTAAAGTGCAACTTTGGTATCACAGGTGCAATAGTTCTGCAACTGGCTCAGCGCATTCCATCTGGTTTGGGACATAAGCTGTTCTTTGACAACTATTTTACGTCTGTGCCTTTGCTTCGTGAAATGCTGAAGAAGAAAATATTTGCTGCCGGAACAGTAAGGTCCAACCGATGTGAAAAATGTCCCTTGATGAGCGAAAAGGACCTCAAGAAGAAAGGACGTGGCTCATCTGATTGCCTCGTGAGTGGGGATGGACAGGTGGTCGTGACGAGGTGGATGGACAACAGGGTGGTGACCTTGGCATCCAACTTTGTTGCTGTGGAGAACGAAGACACCGCTCGCCGGTGGAGCAAAGCAGACAAGTGTTTTCTCGACATCAAACGACCAGCTGTAGTCGGTGCATACAACCGCAGCGTGGGTGGCGTCGACAAAGTGGATTTTCTTGTAGCTCTTTATCGCACGACCATCCGGTCGAGGAAGTGGACACTCAGGATGATATTTCATTTCATGAACCTGGCAGTTGTGAACGCCTGGCTCGAGTACAGGAAAGACGCTGACAGGCAGCTTATCTTGCCCACTAAACAGCTCGACCTACTTGACTTTACCTTAGGTGTCATTGAGGCACTTTCAGCAGCTGAGAGCAAACCTGTGTCGCGGAAGAGAGGGAGGCCCTCGGATTCTCCTCTGCAGCCTTCCAAGCAACTGAGGTTCGCAGAAAACAGGCCTGTTCAAGATGTCAGGTTCGATCAAATGGGTCATTGGCCTGTTCACGAAGACTCAAGGGAGCAACGATGCAAGATGGAGCGCTGCACTGGGAAAACTCGAGTCATGTGTGACAAATGCAACGTTCACTTGTGCTTGACCAAGTCCAGAAACTGCTTTAAGGCGTTTCACCTGCGGAACTAAGACAATTTCTGCCTCGTTAGCTCTCCTGCGTACTTTGTAAATAAAGCGCCGACAACTTTCATTTTACAACCCTTGAGTCCTGATGTCCTGTTTTGACGCCATATCGCTAACTCGGTTATTAGATCGACTACAAGGCTCAAATTTTGGGTGGGTATTATTCGACCCATAAAAACATAATAAAACAGACTAACAAAAATCTGCACTCAAAATAAAAAATTCAGGGCCGAAAGGGTTAATAGGTCGAAGGCTATACTTCGTTTCAGCTTAGGTCCGAGCACAGCCGATGTTATGAGCCGAAAGGCCAATCAAACGGCGAAAGAGGCACAGCGTCGTGGCGTGCTCTGCAGCTGATAGGACCAGCCCATATTCACCGTCTCTCTCTGTGCGTGCTCCTCCGCCGGCTAGTCCTATCAAGTGCAGAGAGCACGCAATGACGTTGCCCTTTTTATGCTGTTTGATTGGCCCTTTGGTTCGCAACAACTCCTACCCTTCAATCCTCCTTGCTTGTCAGCGTTAAGATGTGCAATCTGGCAAACGTAAGTTAACAATTAGCTAATAAAATGGATGCTAGAATTTCATTGCAGTAGCCCTGAAACTAATTTCATAAACGTTTCTGGCACAAAAAAAAATGCCTGTTTGTGCAGAGCTTCGCGACAGGCTGTCAAAATGCAATAGCGTTGCTTAGTCTTTTACTGGTTATGTTGCGACTAATCCTATAGCAAGTAAATAAGTCTCGTCTGTGGCATGTTCTGATGGCAAGCTTCCAGTTCCTTTGCAACGTGTATTCCACACCACCAAGACTGCAGCGGGGCTCGTCCCGAGCATGCAATCTAAATGTTTCCCTCAAATGTGGTGTCCAGTGCATACTTCCTATGTCTCCTCTCGAGCACAGCGGTTGAGCATTGGGCTAAAAATATCTGGTTCGACTCTCCTTGGGGGACATTTGAAGATTTGTTCATCTATTCACTCCTCGCTCTTGTGCATGCACATGTGCTTTGTGTTGCAGATCAAAGTTTTCATGGGGATCCTGCCCAAAGAAGCGCTGTTGCATTTAAAATGCAGCAAACTGTCAAACCATGTTACTTCTGGGCACATGAAAAGCCGTCTAATTCGCGCTGCTCCTAGCAAATGGTACCCCACACGCTTGGATCCACTAAATCTGCTGTCGCATGTTCATCTCACAGAAGATGGCACCAAGAACTATAAAGTTCTTGGTGCCATCTGAGTAGCAGTGTAAACGAGACACTGCAGTGTTACTCAGTATGGTTTTGTTTTCATTTTACTACTTTGGCATGGGAGGGACCACGGTTTCTGTTCCCCATTCTTTTCCCCACAAATTTAACACCACTGATCTCCTCTAGGGGGCTGGTTGGCACCAGGGGCTTCTGAGGGGGGGTCAGGTTTTGGTCAGCGTACCATTTGTTTAGGAACCCCCCTCCATTGTTTCACGCCCTAAATTTTGCACACGCAGAAATCAAGAGGGGGGTCAGGACATCCGGACCCCCCCTCTAAATCCGCCCCTGGGTGGCACATTGAGCAAACGAGCCATCGGATATTTGCGACTGCAGCGAACTATATGGGGTGCGTTGGTCAGGCAAAATGGCAGACGAAAGGAGCTCGTTTTCGTCGTTTACCATGCAGACCACCATAAATGTCTTGCACTACAGCATAAAATCGGTGTTACAAATGAAAGCAAAGTGATTTTTCGACGGTAGAAACCTAGTCAGTGCACAGGAATGACAGCGGAAGCATAAAAATAATTACTGGGAACAATGTTTGTTTTTATGCTGCCTACGAGAACCAAGCAGCGATTGCAGACGACAGAGTCGAAGCGACCTCCACTCCTAAGCTTCTCAGCGTTGCCCCTACGCGGCGTCAATTTCGCTGGAGTCTCCAATAAGTGGCTTGTCGCAGAATTAAGTGCTTGAGAGGCTTTTTAACTCTTCCGAGTGCTCGTTAGAATGGCGTTCAGAGCACTTGATTTTTTAAGCAGTGGTGGAGTGCAGGCGAGCATGGTAATGAATCAAGATCTTGTAGACCCTGAGACGGGGAACAATAAGAAACGGACGAAGGCAACAAAATCTCAAATGCAGCATTTGAGATTTTGTTGTCTTCGTCCGTTTCTTATTGTTCCCCATCTTGGGGTCAACAAGATGTTGATTTTGCGTCATTTTGAGAGCATGCCTCTATATGGAATCTCCTGGAAAGCCATTCAATTTGAGATTCTAGTTGATCAAACGCGCATACGTCCAACATCCAAATGGCTTATTCTCGGAATTTTATTAAAAACGGGGCAATTAAAACCCACTCGGACAAAAAAAAGCTTGGGCCAAGACGTTGATTGAGTGCACTAGAAAGCCCAACAGACACCCCAGTAGCCTCACTTACGCCTGATTCGGAGAGCAATTATGCGCCATCCATGCCCCCTAGTGTAGAGATCGGCGACCTACACTTACAAAGTTGGAATATAATAAATGCACCGCCTAAAGATACAGTTTTGAATAGTTCTGTTGCATTCCGTTCAATAGATTATACATTTTTTTTTTATTGCCGCATAGTGTTTGGGAACGCCCACTCCGTGCTTTGCAACTTCGCTGTTCTAAATGTGCGAACAATACACATTCAATTCAGATGGCAGAAATGCAAGTCAGAATAATGCAAAAATGCGTCGTGGAGCTCCAAATAACAGTGGTTCTAACCCCCCAAACATTTTCCCTCCATTGTGCACCCATTATGTGCAATGTTTTCCGGACCATAGCCTGCAGGTGCAAATTCCGACTGGGAAAGTTTTTTTCCTTAGACAGTTCCAACGAGGTAAAGGGGCTTACCGCGATAAACTGGTACACGGCTGCCGCCATGTACAATGTTGATCACTAGACGCGTGACCGTACCAAATCCCGAGGCATTTACGCAAAACTTAGCCAACATTTGTATTGCAATCGCTGTATTTTTCAATACTGTTAGCTCCAGAGGTCAGTGTCTAGCTCCGATAAAAACCCAAAATGCAGCACCACGGCTGACGGCATGTAGTGGAAACGATGGAGGGCTTTGTCGGACGAGCTTCCATCGTCCCTCTCTTGCTCCTGCTAAGTTCCCTGCCACTCCATGCTGACCAAATTAAACAATGTGTATATAAAGGCATCTTACTTTCATAGTTCTTATTAATGCGTTACCATTTTTCCTATGCCAGGGAAACGCTGACGGCTTCTGTCTGTGGACAAAACGGTGGAAAGGGGTGTGTGCCGCATAGAGAGGAGGATCGTAATGGTTTGTGCTACAAAATCTCCATGCTGACCTGTGAACCAAGTACTAGCATTGGTCTAGGTAGCTGGCAAAAAAATTAAGGAAGGTTTGTCAGATTGTTAGGGAATGCGTTGGCATGACCTTTGGAAACTCCGACACTGACCACGTAACGAAGCCAAAACAGAAAAGTAGAGGTCAGCGTTTCCCAATGGGGGACGTGTGCGGCATTTCCCTAGGGTTATGCTCACACATTCCCTAAGGATCCACCAATGGCTATTCCTTCGTCTATATAATTTATATTGTTTTAAAAGAAACGAAAATGAGCACTTCAGAAGTGATTTTCATTTCAGCAAGTCTGCAATAAGTTATTTGCCTGTAGTAATGAATTAGCAATTGCAAGCGGTTGGTGTTTGTGTCGAGGACAAGCTTGATCCGCTTGGGAGCAGCTGCCTTGCCCGTCGCCCTAGGCAGCATCAAGGCTGCAAGTAACGCACCGAAAGTCTCGGCATTTCTTTCCAACTGATGCCCAGGGTGAACAATGCGACCTCGAGAACAACAATGAAGAAAAACAAAATCTTTGTATAGTTTACACTTTTAGTGCACAGCATAGCATCAAAGACTTTAAAAAATTCCTACCTTTGCGGAGCGAAAGTTCGTTTGCTTCTTGCACAGGGGTTGTCAGAACGCCAAGCTCTTATTAGCTGATTGAAAAACAATAGTGGGTAGACCTTGAGGCATCTGGCATCGAGGTCCTTTCAATTAAAGCCATCGAGAGCTCAGTGTCGTTCTGTTGTCACTGCAACTCCTGTGCAAGGGCAGACTTGGTCACCACATAGGATGGTTGAGAAAAAAAAGAGGAACTTTTCGGGAACAAACTGCCAGCCACGGCAGATGCCAGGGATAGCGAAAAACATAATAATTAGCTGAATAAATAAGTAAAGCCTACTAATTAGATTTGTCGAGTTTAGATCAGTCAAGTTTAGGGAGGCTTGTGGCTAGTGTGAAGTGCGGGAATGCGCTAAAGTTTCTGCCCTTGCAGCAGGCACAAGGCTTGCGTTGCGAAAACGCGGATGATATTTCTGTCATTTACGTTTTCGCGTCGCCACTTGTTTGTTTTCACTAATTAGGAAAATAGTACAAATTGTGTTAATTATTTAGCTAATTAGCATGTTTTTTGCAACCTCTGACGTTCCCTGTGGCTGGCAGTTTGTTCCCAAAGAATTCCTTTTTTTTTTCTCAGCTACCCCATTGGTAGAAATTCTTAAGAGGAAATGTGGTGTTGTCTCCAATGCATGTTCACGACGAAGAAAAATGGCAGGCAGAATCCAGCTGGTAGTTCGCATCTTTATTAAGTCTTTGTGGCCTTGTAGGGGTTAGTGGTAGTACCAGCTTATCTTGAGTATTGCAGTAGGCGTGGCGAGATGAAACCTACCCGCAGAGTTCGTCTGCTGCTACGGCATATCCATGGAGACTAGAGAGGATGACTGCTAGGGCATTGTACACCTCTGCCGGCGTGACGCCGGGCAGAATAAACATTCAACTGGTCTGGTGAGATTCGGAGGTTAATAAATATAATCGCGTCTCGTGGTTGGGAGGTGGGACTTCTTCAGAGCACCGAACGGAATGCGAGCTTGGGAGGCTCGTGGAATTCCGGGTTCTGCAAATGAAGCAAGATGGTGCAATGCAGCTTAGGTGGCGTGCAGTAACATTGGATGGTGGCTTGCAGCATTGTGTGAAAGACTTCCTCCATAAAGTCTTTCACACAGTGCTCTGAAAGATCTACAAGAACAAATGCTTATGAAACAATACCACAACCAGACAAGAACACAGCGTTCTCGTCTGGTTATATTTGTGAGGAACGATCTTGCAGGAAGGCGTTGTGGAGATATTGTGTCAGCAGAAGCACTCACAATACTGCATGTGGAGAGGAGAAAGAGGCTTCAAAATGCAAGAAGTGTGCCAATTTTTGGGGACGATAGCTGTCAAGCTTACATCGACATATTTTTCTTAAGAAACACAGCACTTGTTATCGCCGAATGTCTTGGGACAAAGTGATTTACAATAAAGTTTGGGGGCACTGCAATCTAATCTGGTTCACTTCTTGGAATAAAAACGAAATCGGTTTTCTGTCGAGGCTAGATACCGGGATTATCAAAGTCTGAAAACCATGTCATGAGTGGCTAATTAGTTTAACTTCAATCGTAACACATTTCAGAATGAGGAACACAAAGCCCACAGCTGCTCTTACGTTTAATTTCTTTGAATGTCGACACATCTTTGATTCCCGTCCACAAGACTGATTTGGGGAAAGTCAAGCACCTTGATCAGTGAAACCGCAGTTAAGAGTATATATCGTATGCAGGTGCCGAACACACAAGACCCCTTTTCGCAACTTCATTTATGTGCAATGCACACTGCACCAGGAAGTAGTTCATTCATTACTGTGCCTCTTCTATGGACAGAGCCTTGCAACCATGTCCGCAACCGTGACATAACTGCAAGCCCCCAATCTCGAGTGATGGCACAATTGTAGTATGGAAATGAAGTAAACGAAGATGACCCAACCTTGTTTGCAGGGTTTGGTCTATGGGTGAGCCCCTCTTCCAGGAGTTCTGCCTCCCAGTCCTCTCCTTCATCCTGCGGGTCGAAGCTGTAGAACGGCATCAGGTGGTGCCTTAGCCGGTCCAGCCTGAAACAAACCACTGTCGTTCACTTTGGCCCACAACCCTCAAATGTGCTGACTAAGCGTGCAAGCAGTATGGCCACCTGAAACATGTCTTTTATTTTCTTCCCAAAGTTAAGCCAATCAGAATGGCAATGGAAGGCAAAAAAATCTTATCGCCTTTCCTCTTTTTTTCTTTTTTTCATAGCATGGCCAATCAAAATGGCAGAGGAGGACGGGGCGACAAGTGCTATTGCTGGACTCGGATTCGATTCTTCCAATTAGAGCTCGAATTTAGTTTCCGGCGGCCATATTTCTGAAAAATAGCAGACGCTGCGTAATTACAGACTTCCGAGACGCATACCTGCTTTTCCTGACCAGGAAAACGACCTGGTGGTGCAATCAAACAAGGAAAGAGACGCGGTTAAGTAACCACACCTTTTCAAGCTTTTCACAAGTAACCTGTGGCTGGATCCACTACATGAAAGACTTTTTGCATACCAGAGCTGCCGCGAGCCCCAAGCAGACGACCAGTCCCAGTGGCACAAAGACATAGGCCAGGCTGGTAGAGTTCCAGCCCGAGTCTAGGTGGATGGGAACCTCCTGTGTCGTGACGTTGTTCACGGACTCTAGCGGCTCTGTCGAGTTGTTCTGCCGCTGGACCAGCATGGGACTTCGTTGCGCCGTATCAGTGGCCTTGCATCTGAAGAACCAAACGCGAGTCTGACATAGGAAGCTTGGTTGTCTGCTTATTTTGAGTACAACGATCACGCCAGATTTAAAGACGATTTAGGGAGAGCGAGACGGGCTCAAGACATGACTGATGTTGCTGCGCAGTTTCTCAAGAATTTCTATTATTTTCTGCCGAGTTTAACGACGTTCCTGTCGTGTTTACGAGGATCGAGCTGTCATTTGCAGACATGCGCAGTCGATACGGAATTCGACATTTCAACTTTCAAGATGGGTTTTCGAAGAAATTTGCGCGGCTTTTGGTTGGTGCTTACAATTTTGTGACCTTGAGCAGGAGCCTTACGTGGTGCGGACAGATTTCATGAGATATGTTACCTCCGTAGAAGCTAAAATGGACTAGCAGTAATTTAGCAGACGACTCGTCGCCATTTTGTAACCTAAACAAACCAGGATAGCAGAGAATATTTGTGAGGCGCAGTGACGGACTGAGGTTGCAAATAAAACGCTGTATGATAACTTTAAAATTATTACATTCGTTCATGGTTTAGTCAATCATAAGTTTCGTTTCTACAGTCTCTGTAAACACGATTGCGTTTTTGTCTATTTGATTTACGCGATTTACGTTTCTGCGGGACAGTGATAAGCGAGAAACATGGCGGTGTTCTTGCGGAGATCGGCTCTGTACCGAGCTTTCAACCTGAACAAGTCCTTGCGGTTAAGTTGCGTTAACATATCAACGACCAAGAAGAACAAGGAGGTTCCTTCGACGACTATCTCCGATACCGGAGTATCGAAGCCGCCCGTCACCGCCGCGGATTTTGCCGACACGAAGCCGCGGGTGAGGCGCTCTTCGAGAAGGTCAAACCGCACGCAGATTGGTTTCGGAAGCGTTTACACGTTTTCGTCTGCTTTTCTTGCAGTACTGGATGTCCTATGGCTACTCGGAAACCGATTACACCATGGACAGGGATTACCACCACTTGGTCATGTTTTTCGGGGTCACATTTATGTTGGGCCTTGGCTTCATCATGATGTACATCCCGGACTTTCGGTGAGTTACCGGTGTTGTGGACCTCAAGCTGATCTGTTTCGGGACTTCTTGTGTAGCAGCATTGTTTTCGAGTCTTGCAGAATTGTTTTGTGACACGTGTTTCTGTCGCCGACTTGACGTGCGCGAGCAGTTCGCCCTCATATGAGCATAAATGAGAGAACCTGACACAGTGGTCAGGTTAATTTGAGAGACCCTGACACAGTGGTTATTCGGTTACCTGTAATACAACAATGTACAGTCCACAATGGCCCCGTGAAATTTTTCTATGGAAGCTTGACGTTGAAGACACTAACTAGCTTTACAGCTCTCCTTACAGCCCTGAACTTTCTACCACATTCATATGACCACAATATCAATTGTCGTATGGAAACTTAGAATCAAGTTGCACAGATAATTACATATATAAAAAAGAAAGATATTAGGAAAAGCAATTAACATGCGCTTTTTTTTTCTCCAAGCCTCCAAACATGTGACGGATAGGACTCATGACAAACTAACCACTGCAGTTAACATCTAAAAAAATTTACCATATTCTCTTGTGCATAGGGTGTGTCTTATACAATGGGGCGATTTATATGCATTTCCCTACGGTTATATTTCACGTTCGATTTATTCACGAGAATGTTGAAACTGACTCTCGCTTGTGTATATATCACGCTCATGATACAGACATGCAGGCTTATCAATGCAGTTCCGCTACGACTGTAAAAATACACATATAAGTGTGACTTATACAGAAGATGCAACTTATATACTAACCTTTTTTTTCTTCTTTGTGAGAACACCCATTTATAGCGGGGTGCGACTTATGGAGAGGAAAATGTTTCTCACCTCAACTTGATTGTTGGTGACCTATAGCCATAGGCGTGTGCAGAGGGGGGGGGGGGCAAGTGTGCTATAACCTACCCCAGTGACTCTAGAGAGGTGCAAATTAAGTAGGGTTCTATATTTGTTGTGTTACACAACAAAAAGAAACCTTTACTTAATTTGTGCCCCTCTGGAGTCATTAGCGGGGGCCATAGAGTGCTCGGCCCCCGCTGTGCATGCCTACGCCTATAGCTTTATAGTTCTGTTCATTTTAGAATACTACCAAGATGAAACAGTTGTTCGATGATGAAATGCGACCGAGACACACACTTTCAGAGCTGCAGTTTGTCGCAAAAATACACCATGTTACTTGGGGCCCTCATTTCTACACTATTCAGGTATCTTGTTAGCTCCAGTATGCAGTAGAGGTTTTTTCTGGCAGTTTCAAGAGGCTCTTCGAATGCAGACTTGACAGCTTGAAGTTACAGGGCAAAATTACTTCTTGCCTGCAGCGCTCGCAGACATCCGCCGGTTGTCGCAGCACCGACAGCCATAGGCCAATGTGGTCACTTCCTCTCTGAACGTCGTAGCACCAGTGGTGCTAAATGTGCATTGTCACGGTGCTTGTCGTCTTTACACGTCTGCTATCGCCGCGCGCAGAAAAATAAGTGCAGGATCATGCCACATTCAGTTTGCACGATTGGTTTATGCCGTGGCGCTCGAAGATGAGGAATGCCGCGCCGACACACTTTCGACGCCGCTCGAATGTCTGCATCCCGTTGTAGAGTTTGCCGCAGTCCGACTCGAGGCTGGTTGACAGAATTGCGACTGCTTACGACTAATGCCTCAAAGGCTGGTTCACACAGACCCGATTCCTTACGTTACGTTACGTAAGCTTGCGTACGAGCCACTGGGACATCTGTGCTTCAAATCAAGCGTGGCTACCAATTCGAGGAGATAGCCTGGCACGCAACGTTCGAGACAAGTGTTTCGGTGACTTAGATGCAACACAAGAAAACGGTGCTTTGTGAACCAGTCTTCAAAGGTAGAACAGAGTTTAACTCCTAACGTTACATTTTGACAAGACTTATGTCCTTGGTTGCCACTGTAACTCGCCATCATAGCTCGTCGTAACATAACGTAAGTAGACGTCTTTGTGCGAATGGGCCGTGAATGCGTTCTTTGTAACATAACATGACATAAGAAACGGTCCAGTGTGAAGCGGCCTTCTCTTGTGATCTCCTACGACGAGAGAGAACACTGGCGCCATCCATCGGGTAGCCGTGGGACTTTTTGCGTATATTTCCTATTTCTTCCTTGCAGCATCATTCTTTTTTGGCTCAAAAAACTTGGCGGCGTTATGAACAACCATTTCTCGTAGATAGTACATACGGTCTCTTGCAATGCGAAAGACCCACTGGAAGCATGCGGCCGAGACGGCGGGGGCGCCGCTCAGGCTCAGGGCGATTCCATTCCGTCTCGAGGGGAGGACGCTCACTCGGGCCTGGCAAGCCCGAATGCACTCAACAGTTTTTTTTTGGTTTCAGTTTAGCAGAAGTGCGTGCTTCATCGGCGTCACGCCCAGAGATATGATCACGAAGACTCGTAGCAAGCACAGTCATCCCTGTTGTTTTTATCAATGTTTGTGCTGTAAGATGTCGGAACAGGCGCTGCCGAATAAAAAGAGTGATACCAGAGTCCGATATTTAAAAGATAAAATGAGTCGGAGGGTGCATTAGTTCGTTCAGAGGATGGCACTGATATTGCGCTCTAACAGAGTCAGAACAATCGCCTTGGCTCAGGCCCGTTGCTGCATTATTAGGACACGGCTGTGGCATGACGCTGACGAACTGCTCTCTGCCGCTGAGCCAAGCCCCGAGCGAGTCCTTCCCTCGGGGTAAAATGGAACTGCCAGGAGCGCGCGTGGCGCCCCCGTCAGCCACCGTCTTAGCCTGCGCTCCCAGTGCGTCTTTCGTATTGCAGGAGACTGTACATTTCATCTCGCAAATAGTGCAAAACCTTTGTGCTAATGAAACGCAGTTCCAGGGCCATCTCATAGATGGCATAGCGTGCCAGCACATTCTTTAGTCGTAAGCAATCGCGAGAACTAGGTCGTAGCCAAATCCAAGTGTATGAACAGGCCGGGCCTTTAATTAATGTGAAACGGGCCTTCGATCGCGTTCAGAATTGCTGCCAGCAGTGGTTACAGCTCGGCTCGGTTCTATACATACCAGGGACCTGGACTGGACGGAGAGGGAGGCCTACTTGCGGTTGGAGAGGCGAGAGAAGTTGGGCCTCCCCAAGATTGACCGAAACCTTGTCGATCCCAGCAGACTCACCCTGCCCTCCGAGGAGGAGTTGGAGGGAGTGGAGATCATCTTGTAGACTAGTTTCTTGTCCCCCGTTTTCTTCCACAGTGACCCCACAATAAATATAACAAGAGTCGGAGCGCCTCCATTGTCTGTATTTAGTCGCCCACTGTTCTAAATAAAGCCCGGCTCTTAGGCACGTGTTTCTGGGTTTTGTGGTGTCGCCGTCGGTGTAACCGCGTTGAACGTAGCGGGAAAATTGATGTCACTTGACCGGAACACCAATTCAGTTTCCCCGCTAAATTTAGCGGAGAAAGTAATGTCATGAGACTTGTTGTCACGTCACCTATGAACAAATTTAGTTTTTCTGCGTTACAGAGGTTTTTGCATAACAAAGATTTGTAAACGTCTAATTTTTTTTTACTGCAAAAGTAACAAAAATAATCTATGCATTGCCGAGTGCTCAGTTATAATGGTTTTCTGAAAATTTTAATGAAAAAATGGGGCCCGTTCTCGGTAACTAGCGCCCATTTTGCTCCACATATTCGAAGACCTCCGTCGGCCGCCATTTTCCGGCGGAAAATTTCAGAAAATCACTTGCAAATTTTGAATAAGGTAACGGCTCTGAAACTTTGGCGTCTGGTTCTGACTGCTATCGCCACATTAGAATGGAGCAGCCGCATTCAAGGATGCATAGTTTATTTTTCTGGCGAAGACGAGGCTGTAAAATGATTCTGGGACTCCCCTTATTGTCCAGCTTTTGGGATTGTGGTTTCTTCTTTGCACTGTCGACAGGCCAAAGGAGATCGTAAACAAAGGTTAGGATTCTCAGACTTTGCTGGATTTAGGATGAGTGGAGGCACAGCCATTAGCATGTCATATGGGTGTATCTGTTGTGCGTAGGACATCGCTTCCTCGTGCTGATGGTGCTCGTGCTATTCCACGGGGTCGACACGATAGTGTCGAAGAAAGGCGATGGAAATTTTTATAAACGCTGAAAATCTGTTGATTTAAAGAAACTTTAAATACATAGTTGCACAGATACACCGGTCGTGTGGTTTCGGTTTGACTTGGGGTTGTGCGAATAGTGGATTTTGAGTTTGAATTGAATTCGAAGCGAATAGTGATTTTGCTCAAATATTTTCGAATCGAATATCGAATACTTGCCGTTCAAAAAACTTGGCCGTTTTTAAAGCGAAGTTTACAGAAATACTTTCAAACTGGATTTCTCACGCTGTCGCTAGTTCACCTTGCCAACCGACTTAGCTGCCGTCATTTTGACAATTTTCATGTCATCCACTCACCTTGTCGCTGTAATAATATAATATTCCTTCAAAATATTATAGTATATAAATGTTTTGAAACCGTGTTTATGAGTTTTATCGGAAATAAAAGTTTGAGCAATTATGCATGTTATGAGAAATTTCTAAAGGTATTTATTTTTATCCTAAACCTGTTTTTCTAAATTTATAGGCTTGTGCAAATATTCGAAATTTCGAATAATAGACTATTCGATATTTGCTTCGAGAAGAACTGCACTATTCGCGCTTTTCGAAGTGTTGAATGCGATGGGTCAGCTCCGTTGAGTGCGCTTCTTTCCGAGCACCGGTGCATAGCGGAGAAGCAACACCTGCGGAAGCGGGCTCCGTGGGTGTTGCTTCTCTGCATTAAATCGTTGCTCGGTAAGAAGCAGACTCAACGGAGTAACCCGCCACAATAAACACTTGGAAAAGTATGAATATCGCAATTGCATTCTTAGAAGAAAACATACATTCAAAGTGGGATGGTGCACGCGTGCCGGCTGTATTTGGGAATAAATGGAAATTTTTGAATGTGTTTATCTACACTGTAGTAAAAGTTCCAAAATTAAACTGACTGTTATGTAAGAGTATACTATATTAGGCAGAGATGCCCTTACAACCTGTGTTCAACATGTGCAATTATTTATTTTTCAACTCGAGATTAAAGAATGCATATTTTATATAGCAAACTTTGTATATTCACTTAATATAGGGTATAGTAGGCCATCTCTATAGGATTAATTTTATGCCAAATTCGTTGTTTTCTTATAAACGAACAAGTGCAACAACCTTCACAAGTTAGTTGGTTTTCGTCTAAGCATTACGCAATGGTAGTGAAAGGCATGGAAAAACTATTCGATATTCGAATTCGCTTCGAACTCAAAATCCACTGTTCGCACAAGACTAAAATTTATGTCTGGACGTGGCGGTGGTGAGAAAAGAGTGCTGGCAACCAGGGCACTAAATTGACTAAGATGGCTCCGGCGTCTCTAGAGTTTGTTGCTTGGTTTCTTTTGCCCGTTATTAAAAAAGTTGATGAAATAATTACAATGAATATATTTCAAAGTTCCCACGATAATGTTTATACCATTTTGCCGAACGTGTGAGTATATTCTTGATTTTAGATACTGTTTCTTTCTGGTCTTTAGACAGTAAACAAACTTGCGACCGTGAGTTTGCGAACACTTCGAAAAGCATGAATATTACAACTGCTCTCGAAGCGAATATCGAATGGAGTACTATTCGAATATTAGCACAACACTAGTTTGACTGCATGTTTTTCTTGGCAAATATGCAACTGAAAGAACGTTTGGGTGGCATCTTGACAGTATAATCTAGCGCGTTAGTGCAGAGAAAGTAATTATATTTTTGGGAGTGCAAGTGTGACCTTAGGCAGGAATGTGTGCGCCACGACCATCCATCACTACCGCCTATGCCAAGCATCGAGTTTGCTGCTTTGCATACGCGGCGCCGCTTCCACTGCAATCACTGTTCCACATTTCAATGCACAATCGGGGACTGGTGCGAAGAGGGACTTCTTTTATTGCGGCATCACGTCATGAGGTCTCTCCAACAAAAGCCACTTGGAGGCTCGGCCTAATTAATCGACCTTCGACGCTTGGAGAGCTGGAGGTTGAGAAAACGCAGACACGGGCCGAAACACGCAAAGGCCCTGAACCTAGCTCCGTTGACCATGTGCGCCCTTTCCCTCTACGTCGGCGCACCTCAGCAAGTGGCTGTTCGAGACCTTAGTGTGTTTCGCCCCATTTCTACGTTCGTTTGTTCTCGTGCTTTCGCAACAGCCGAGGCTAGTAGATTTGAGGACAAACGAAACCGCGGCACTTCTGTCCGAGACACGTCTCCCGACGCGAGCGCTTCGGCGACATCCGAGCTTGTTGCTGGACGTCGGTTAGAGTTACTCGAACTGAAATTTAAGATTAGCGTGTGAGGTGCCTAGCACCAGGAAAACGGGAAATACAAAATAAACAGCCCATTTGAGGTGCCTCGCTCGCTGAACTCGGGTAGTACCTTTTCTCGTAAATAATGGTTTTGTTTCCTCGATTGCCGGGTTCACAGTAAATACTAAGTTTTTTTGTTTCCTCCGCAGCAGTGCTGCCATTTGAAGTCGCCGGGTTTGCGAGTTTTCTTCCTCCAAAAGATAAATAAGCGGCGTTATACCCTCGCATTTAAATATTGACAAGTCTCGAAGAATGCTCGTAGTGTGTATTTACGGCGGGCGTTAAAATATTTTGAATTTTGTCGCCATTTCATTCCACGCCATAGACCATACACTAAAGAAAACAGCAGCGTATTTCTTTACCTATGCTTTGCATCGTCATTTCCCCTTCTTCGCGCAAGACGGCCGCAAGTGGCCATTTCAAGCACTCAGATCGCGGGCCAAACAAACCGTATATACACACAATTGATTAGAACCGCGGCCTCCGCCGACGGGTTGCGCAAAATACGACAGCTACCGACACACCGGGTCGCATCGGTGGCCATTCCTTCGCTCGTACCACGTACGATGCAATCGACGGGACTCTTGCGCGAGCAGATGGCCGTCAGTGGGGTGGTAGTGGCCGCTGGGAGTCAAGCTTCTCGATGAGCGCTTTGCAGAAGAAGCACTCCCGGTTGTTCACCAGGTGGGTCATGATGCAGAGCCTGGAAGGCAGAAGGAGAGGACAACGCGTGAGCCTCCGGGTCGGAGGAGTCGGTGCAGCCGTCGTCTGCCACCGTCGGAAGAACGAACGCGCCGGGAAGGGCAGGAGGTACAGTGCCCACGGTTGTCTCGACATTGCGACTGTGGGGACGGGGAATACGAGGGACTGTTTCGAGTACGAACGAATGGCGAAGGAGCACGGTGGCCCACGACACACTGCGCCACCTAGAGGCAATTAGGAACTGATAAATCTAAAAGGAGGGCTGCGAGGGTGCACGCCCACTCCGATCTGCATGCCCTTGTAGCCCCTCTCCACCCTGTAGCTTTTATCGGTTCCTAGTTGCTTCTAGGTTGCACAACACGTATTGAAGGCCACGCGCTCCACCGTTCGCGTTCCGTTCGTTGCCTGATAGTATGTTAGGTGACCAGGCATCCGAGCCGAGTTATCTCCGGTGCACACATGACGAAACGTTCCGCGTTCGAAGAGACGCCGCGAACGTGCGGAAATGCGAGGCATGGCCGTCGCGTCCACAGAGTTATGTGGCCTCTGCGAGACGTTGCCACGGTGCTCGGAACTCATGTCTGACCGAAAAATGAAGGTGCCAGAAACACACGTTTGTGGCACCTTCATTTTTGTCCCCTCAATTTCTGGCTGCTTGCACCATGATCGAGTAATCCTGGAGACGGCACGACGGCAAGCCAAAAGAGAAGCAAATGTGACGGACGCCTGTTCTACGGTACCTCGCTCTGCAGCCCACTTGTCGAATGGAATGCTAAAAACTATGGTTGGACGCCGCTTCGGGGACGCCACGATGCACGGGTGGGACAGGACGCTAAACGCACTGGCCGGTGACACATTCCGGGCAACGTGGATGTCGCTTTACCCGCTTCCAAGCAGACGTCTTTTTTTTCCCTCTGCGCACGAGGCCATCGGCCCGAGTGTCGCAACAAGAACCGTGCAGGAGCTTCGTGAACTTTGGGGCTCTCAGGCCAAGTCGCGGTGCCTCCTCGCAGCCGATGGAAAGAGAGAGAGCGTAGGCTGTTGCCCGGTGCACTCACTGGCAGGACTGGTGTCCGCAGGGAACGAAGCGCACCGAGTTTCCCTGGGCGTAGCAGATGGTGCAGAGCTGGTCCTCGTCCAGCGGCGTGGCCGGCACCTGGCGCCCCTGCACCAGCTGCACCAGCTGACGCACCTGCTCCACTTCCTCCTCCTTAACCTCGGCGTCTGCTCTCGCACGCGTGGGGAGAGAAGGAAAAAAGAAAAGGCGAAGAAAATGAGCGGACAACAGACATTTGTCCACCCGGGCCCACCATTCGCAGTCTGCGCTCTCGCAAACGCGAAAGAGACAAAAAACAACAAAAAAGAAACCGGAGAAAATGAGGGCGACGGCGTAAAACGAGGTAGGTCTTACTAGAATAGAAAGTTGGGCGAGTTGGTAAGAATTCATTTGAAAAACAGCGCGAAAGACACACGGACAAGAAGGAGAGAGACAGGACGAGGCACTGGTCTATTTCATCCACCTGGGCCCGCACATATTCCAATGTGTGCGTGCTAGTCAAGAAGTTGGAAAAGGAAGATCTGAATTGCAACTTCAATTAGCTCAAGCTAGACTCTGAAAACTCTAGTGCCTCTACTTTCCAGCAAAGCCGTTGGGAGAGCCAATAGCTGCAACCTGCGGAGGCGGCTGGGCAAATGAAGGGGCTGGAAATATGTCTAGACCCCAAAAAAGCTGTCTGTGTTGTGACACCCATGTAACCACGTGGAACATTGTGCCATGGTGCTGACTTTCTTAGGTCTAAACATGTTGTCAGCCTGCCGTAAAATCCCTAGAGATGCCCCACCCCCAAAAGATAGCCCACCCCTATTTTTGGCTCGATTTGATATATTTTTGTAAACACCGAAAAAGATAGCTCACTTCTAGTAATAGTGTTGAGATCAATGATGGCCTAGGCGTAAATGCGGCTAGTTCGTTGTGGCGGGATGTAAGCGAACGTTGCTGACTGGGAAGTACAGTCATCTTTGCTTCGTTGCACCTCGCCACCATAACAAGCTTGGAAGGGACACAACCTAAAAATAGCAACTTTTTTAAACTTTTCTTGATTGTGCCCTGAGAGTTAGCTTACCCCATATTTTCAGCCGATTTGCTCTTGATGTTAGGTGGTAGTGATGGGCCGAACGTTTGCCGAATCACAAATTCGGCGCCGAATCTTGGAATTCGGAACTTTTGCCAAACCTTTCTAAAGATTCGGAAAAGATACACTGTAACCAGACTTAACGTTGATATTCAGTTTTTTCTGGCGAAAAAAGGCTTCTTTTTTTTTTTCTTAGCTTAAATGCAACGTGCAATGCATGTTGACACAGGTATTACTAAATAAGGTGATATTCTACAAGACAATTGTATCGGTGTCATCTTTGTGTGTTTACTGGCAATTTTACAGTGACTTCTTGCAGAAGTGGCGTGACAGCGAGGTTGGGTAGTAGTGGGCATAGTTGTGAATCAAGCTACTAGAGTTTTGGTTTTGAGGCCTCATCAGTGGAAGCCTCCAAGTGTGTGTATATTGTTAAAATAAAGGCAATAACACCGCGTTTTTCCTTTGCTTGGGAGTCACCGTTTCGTGCGCAAAGACTAAGCCACGGTTGCTGAGCCTTTACCAAAAGAGATAATATTATTGTAAATATGCGTGTCTTTTTTTATCGGAGTCACTTGACGTCAGCGTGTGCGTCCCATATTCGCAACGTCTCATTTTTAACCTTTAAAATGCCCGTTTCTGGTGTTACAACACACAGACATTTAGGAAGATGGAAAGAGTTAGGAATGTCAGATGTGCAACATCCAGCATGATAGCTCTGTGTTTAGTTTTATGCAGATACATGAAAACTGTGAAATAACGCTAAAAGCAATATTATTTTGTTTTGGCACAAACTACTTGTGAGCCAAAAACAGGATTAATTATAAACAGGATTATATAACTGCGAGAAGTGCTTTAAAGTAATTGGCGGCCAATGCTTCAACTGCCTCAATCCATCACTAGAAAGGTAAAATGAAAATCATGTCATCCAGAATGTACCGCATCATTTGTCACTTGCGCAGTGGACTGAGAAAATTACTGGTCGTTATTCTGTTCTTGAGGCAGAAAATACTGAAGAGAACAACACTCGCAAAGGCTCACAAACGCACGGTTACCGTGTTGCCTACACACCTCACCGTAACCACTGGTTGTACTACACTATACGATGGTAACCACATGGCGTCTATTTGCAATCCATGGTCCCATTGCATTCACACACGTGCACAGACGTTTGCCGAATGTTTGCCAAACTTTTCTTCAAAACTTCGGCATGTGCTGAACTTTGCCGACTCTGAAGTTCGGCAGATTCGGCCCATCACTATTAGTTGGGCCATCTCTCAGGATTTTACAATAGTCATTCGCCGAGCAGGGACGTGGACGCCCCAAATTTCCTGCAGTATATTGCATGGCCTGTGCGTACTAATGAACACAGTTCAGGAATGTTTTTCCTATAGATTTTGTCAATCGCGAGCCTCCAATGTTCCCACGGTGGTAACATATTCGAGGTTCAAAGCTGCAGGCACGAGCGCCTGGCAGGTTGGAGATGGCAAGTGAGATCTTCATTGGTTCGGGAGAACTGTAGCATCGCAGGAGGGCACAAATCCATGGCACCTCTGAGCTCGAAACATGGTGTCAGGCAATTGAATCGCAAAGGTGCGAGCATATATAAAAAGTTTTAGAATAGCGCACGCTAAAGCTTCGCGTACGCAAAGAATAGCATCGTCGCCAGTGCGCATGCGCCAAACACTAACCATGTTTTGTGTTTTGCGTGCGCTATTTTAGTGCACGCTATTTCTCGGAAATTGCGTACGTATGCAAAGGGTCTTTGCACTTCTCCAAGGAGGATTCGTGATGAGAAGTTGGCTAAAGCCAAAACGAGCACAGTTAAAAAAATGGCGGCTCCAAGGACAATGGCTGCGACCGCTTTGGCGGTGTGTGAGCGCGATGTTGGCAACATCTTCCCGACTGCGATTTTCAGTACAGGACGACATTGCAGTTGGTTTGGAAAACTCAGTAAGGTGGGCAACGATCACCGGCAACTTAATGCTCGTGACGAGTGAACGTTTATCAGCGAAGGTCAGTACACTCTTCCCGAGGCGACGCATGCGGACACGACCGGTCGATTGCTCGCGTCGTAGTCTCATATTTAAACAAATGTAAAATGTTACTCTGAACCAAAAATCTTGTTTTTTCTCAAGTTCCAGCATTTCGTCTGTGAAATAAAAGTTTTGACTGTATCTTGGTGGCGTTGCAAGCGCGAGGTGCTTGGGCAAAAGCCCAAGCATCTCGCGCAAGCGCAAACGCAAGCATGCGTTAGCGCTTATGTGCACTAACGCGTGCGCTAAAATTGCGTACGTTATTCCAAAGCTCCCTTATGACGTGCCTTGAGAACCTGGCACCGAAACCTTCACAATGCTTCGCAAAAGTGTGGGTTTGGTCACAGCTTGAAGTGTGTCGAGCGACAGCTCTTGCTGCGGGCACGAGCACCGTACGATTGGTTCCTAATCTCGACAGTTCTGACGCCGGAGAAGCGGTCGTGCAACGAGTCGAAGGCGACGGTCCTTTCGAGCGTGCTCACAATTTGCCAGGGAGAAGAGCGGAGGGCTGGGAACGGCGGAGTCCTCCGCATCCAAGGAGGCCGCTCCGTTGCTTCCACCGCCCAGGAGGAACTCCAGGGATGACTGCTGGAAGCTCGGCTCGGCCAACAGGACCGACAGAGCATTCTCCCGACTGCAAAAGGAAAACCGCCGGCCCGGCTTCTGCACTAGTTTACTGGGATGAATGCCTCGCTGTCATCAGCTGCGAGTCTAATACGTAGTGCAAGTTTGTCTGCTTTTTGCACAGAGGTTGCGACGACATCAAAACGCCGAGCTTTCGTTGGCTCGCTGGAAAAAAATAGTGTGTAGACCTCGAGGCATCTAGCATTGAAGTCTACCCCGCTATCCTTTCAATCGAAGCCAATCGGAGCTCGGAGTCGTTCTGACGTCACCGCAACGCCTGCACAGAAGCAGACGACTTCCTCTTCGCATTGGTTTCAACCGGTTACGGCTCATGAGCCCACTGATCCCGTTGGCTCTTGGTGACCTGCATCAATCTAACATACATCTTTCTCGTGCACCTTCGTGTAGTAACGGGCAGTGAGGTATGGTCGCGGGTATGTAAGAGATGTTTATTTAAACTCTGACTGTAGAATATGTGGTACAGCAAAAAAGATGGAAAATGCCAAGTGAGGTGCATGGTTCAGAGTACAAGCACCCCTGCACGTTTCGATCTGGATGAGCATCGTACCGGCGTGCGTTCGTGTATCACTACTGCGTGGTGCAAGTTAAAGACCGCAGGCTAGCAGTCGTACTGCACTGGCAAAATTGCTCATCTACAGCGTGTGACTCGTTGCAACTTTAATGGCTGACCAACAACTTGCTGTATAAATATCCCCACAACCCAATTTTTTGTTCAGAGTACAAGCTACCTGGAATAGTGAAATTTCACAAGTTTTTTCATTAGGCTGACTGGGCACCTTCCGTGTTTGCCATAGGGGTCATAGCGCCCACTGGTCACGTTTACGTGACCAGTGGGCATTACGACCCCTAAGGCAAACATGACACCCACTGGTCATGTTTACTATACTTTAGTGCTCCACAACTTAAAAGACCCGCTCGCTAGAGGCGTCTACACGGTGTCTAGAGTCTCTCGGTGCCGTCCGGTTTAGGGTGTGTGCCGATTCGAGGTTACCGACGTCCCGGAGTGCCCACCTGTCGACGGAGCCCCTGAGCAAAAGCGCCACCAGGATCCCGGTGACCGCGGCCACGATGGGGAAGTGGTCGACGGCCTCCAGCCCGGCCACGTCCATGCCCACCACCAGGTCGAAGCAGCCGCACCGCGAGGTCACCCTGTTCAGCACCTGGCTCACGAGCTGAAAAAGGATGTTCACAAGCATCAAGGAGCACCCCTCGCACGCACGGGGGTGCTTCTCGCCGACAGGCGCGGCTCTTCAGCGCGACGTCCACAAGCTCCGCGGCGTCCCTGTGCCCGGCACCTCGGGAGGAAGCAGCGGGCACGCGTCTTCGACCGGTGTGTTTAGCGTCCTACATTGCCCATGCGTCGAAAATGATCCGCTGAATGGTCGCAAATGGCGTCGCGGGTGTCCGAACGTCACGCCGTCGGATGTCACGATCCTGGCAGTTGGGCGCAAAAGTTCCGGGAAAAAATTGCGCGAAGATCGCGCGCCGAGATGCATTTAGACAACGATGAGCGTGCTGCTTATTCGACGATGTAACGATGACGTTGCATCGATTTTAAGGTTTCAAGGTCATGATGTGTTTTCCCGCCAAAATTAGCGGGGAAATTAAACTGGCGCACGGGTCACCTGACGTAAATTTTTCTGCTAAATTTAGTGGGGAAACTGAATTGGTGCGTGGGTCACATGACTTAAATATTTTTGCTAAGTTTAGTGGGGAACTTGAATTTGTCCGTAGCTCCCGTGACGTGGGGTCACACCGCATCAATTTTACCGCCAAATTTTGCAGGGAAACTGAATTGGTGCACAGGTCATGTGAAATCAATTTTCCCGCTAAATTTACCGGGGCAACTGACGGCGTTTACGCTCACGCCATTGGAAAACCAGGGGAACGGGCCACTACCAGCTGTCGCCGTAAAACCACGAAATAGCGCCAGCAAGCGGAAATTGGGGGACCACTTTTGAGGACGCGATAGACTTTGCTTCAGGAGCCGTGGTGCCGTGTACCTGGCATATGCGGGCGAGGAGGAGGTCTGAGTGGGGCCTCCCGGGGTGGGTGACGAGGGAGGGTGCCACGTTGACCACCATCTCGACCACCCTGAGCAGTCCCAGGGAAAGGTCGAAGCAGGTGGCGCAGATCTTCAGCTGACGGGTGTCGACGAACACCCGCTCCGGACGGAAGTGCGCATTCTGGATCTGAAAACGCAACCGCCGACGCACGTGCGAAGCAATGTTTTGACGACTGATCTATTTTTGTTCTATTTATTTTACATCAAACACATTCGGCGATACATCACACGGGGGCGAAAGGAAGAAAGTGGGAGAAGATGCGACATAGATTTAAGCATTTAAGCAAAAATTATAACTGGCGTAGATGTGCTTACCTAGTTGTGGCAGATGGGGTGTGCAGCTTTGTTTTAAAAAGAAAGCTTCTAGCTTTATAGTTTCGGTGTGGATTTCATAATACGCAAGCATATTCCAGTTTAGGAAGGATAACTGTCTTATAAGCAAGGAAGTTTATAGTCTGAGGAGTGGAATGAATCCTACTAGTACAGGTTGCAGCTGAGCTAGTTGGTTGGTATCTTTGGGTGGTACTAGCTGAACACATATAAACACAGAAATAGTAGACGACCGCTGAACTATCAATTTTATTGAGGTCTTCTTCCTTCACTACTATCTGTATTTACAACCTCGATTTAAGCCATCTTCCTTACTTACAAACTGGATGAAAGTCTTCTTCCTCCACTCCTATTTTTATACGGAGCTCTTCCATGTCCTTCAGGACCTCCGCAGGAAGTTTTCCTTGCTGGTAAAGCGCCAGGGCTTTGACGCATTCACCCTTTCATCGATGGCCACTATTCCAAGGATTTCACGTGCAAGTTTTTCTTTGTTCTTTCCCAGGATCTTGATGTTTTGCGAACTTGCAGTGCACAGGCATTCTCGAAAATAAACTGTATATGCTGCTGCATTAAGGAAATATTCCTTAATGCAGCAGCCTGTCCTTTGACAAGCCACCGATGCAACGATCGGTTTGGCTCATGTAGCATCGACCGGATAATAATGGTATGTTACATATGGCTCCTTTTTCACACAACGCATAGTACATACTTTGTTCTGCGAGCAATGCCACAAACTTCTCCTTTCATCCCTCCCTCCTGGTTTACCCTGCGACACACAGAACATGCCTTATTCGGCACGGAGTGAACCGCAAGGACGCCCTGCCATTCGGCAGTCTCCTTCAATCGGCGAGTAATGCCGTGGATATAAGGAGCTAGCACTATAGGCTTTCACGTCTTCTTTGTTTGGTCATTTTCCCCAGGTTTCCGCCTAATATTGTTGCAGATTTTTTCGCATGTCGCTATGAATAATGTATTCGGGTGACCAGCAGCCCCCAGCCTTGATTGTCTAATTGTGTGTTTTTATCTGTTCCCCTGGCACCACCCAAAGCGGAATGAATGTTTCCTTTAAAGGAACACAGTTTCCTTCAGTCGTTCAACAGTTTAAGAGTTCAGGAAAAAACCCTCCCACCTCTCTCAACTTTAGCAGAGCGAACACTGGAGAGGAACTTGCGTCCTCTCCAGCGTTTGACCTGTACCTGTGAATATAATCGGTAGACATGCGAGACGAGCTTGCTACTGCCTGGTCCGTCCCTACCTCCTGCAGCATGCTGATGAACTGGGAGAAGGCCCAGTTGAGCTGGGTGAGGACACTGCCGAGGAAGGCGGCAGCACGGTCTGGGTGGTCCTCCAGCCAACGCCCAATGTGGTTTTGGAAGAACACCGATGGGCAGGGCGCTGCAAACCCCGAGAGCTTTGGGCTCGCCACCCGTGTGGAATACGGTGGGCTCGCAATAATTCGAACTCAAACATTGTATACTTGTGGTCAACTTATAAGCCACTGAATTCCAACGGCGTTTTCGTGTACAAATGCGCACTTATTGTCCTTGCAGCCCCGTGGAAAGTGCTTCTTTCTAAGCGCCGGTGCACTGCGGAGAAGCAACATCTGCGGGGCTCACTTCCGCGGGTGTTGCTTCTCGGCAGTGCACCCGTGCCGGGTAGGAAGCGAGCTCGACGAGGCTCTAAGTCGACAATAGACAACTGTTTTTGCTGGATGGACAGACTTAATTTTGTCTTGAGGTGTGATGTGCTGTCTAAACAGTCCACAATAGACAACATTTTTGAGGGATGAATAAACTGATCTCATACATTTCATTAATGTTTCGAGTGTGGCATATCTTTTTGATTAGTAGGCCTGTGTAGACGAAAATCATAATATCTCTGCTTTGTATATTCGTAGCCATCCATATACGAGGAAGGTTCATAACGTTTGTAGTATTGGCACAAAAAGCTTTAAAAAGCAGAACAAAACAGGCATCAACAAGAGCGCTCGTCCCTCTAGTTTCCGCACAGTGTACACGTCGCATGCTATAGTAGCGTGGAACGTCGCCAGGGAGTCGAAACCAAAAGGCACCACCTGTTGGTGCCAAACATGCAGTGATCCGTTTTTTTTTTTTTTTTTTTCATTTGAAGGGAAGTAATGCCAAGGATATTTATTTCAATTTGGGAGCGTTGCTCTGGGACAACGCCCAAGTTTATGCAACTGTGGTTAAATGGCGCCGACGCTTCCAGTGTAGCCAAAAAGAGGAAATCATTTCAAGGACCACGACCAAGTGATTGCTGAAGTGGAGCGATTCCTGAACAGTCAAAATGAGGAGTTCTAAAACAATGGCCTCCGGCATGTGGTCCATCGCTAACAAAAGTGGTTAACGTTTGATGGCGAACATGTAGAGAAAGTCTCGACTCCTACTCGAGTTTGATTGCTCAATCTCTATTCCTTCGTTAGAATAATACAAACTAAGCTAAAATCGTGCTTTTAGCTTGCATCATATTTAGAGGAATTTCTAATAATTCAAACTTCGGGTAATTCAAACAAAATCCGTGGCTTCTTGGAGTTTGAAGTAATGAAAGTCTACTGTAGATTTGAGGACTCCTCAAGAAAGAACACTACCCACTCAAGAAAGAACACTACCCATCGAGCTGAATGACCGTTGAGTACTGGTTGTCCTGTGCTTGTCCTCAGTGTTTTATTCTTTCGATTTTAAGCATTCATGTTCAACTCGCTCGCTTTTACCAAGACCGTTGAGAAGCAGTCAAATTTCGTTGGTTTGTTTCGTAGCAGCGCCGCCTCCTGCGAGGTACCACCGAGTAAGCAAAAGACGAGTTTCACAGACTGCTCACATTAAGGCCGCGTGCTACGCACGTTCATCCAAAGCAGAGAGGACGGTGTTTCGTGAATGGCGCCCGGCAGTTTAAAACTAAAAGGTGCGTTTCCCCCACCTGGATGACTTGGAAGTGCAGACTCCACTGGTTTGGAGGACATCCGCTGCACTAGGTGGGGAGCGATCGTGAAGCGGAATGCGAACCCGCAGCCCTGCGATCACGCCACACGGGAACCTCTTCAGTCGATGCTCACACAAGACGCCACAACATGCTGCGGCAAGCCTCACGATAAACAACACATCGTGGCTTAGTTCTTAAGTATCAAAAGCAACAGTGGAAAGCTGATTGTGCAAATACATTAATTAGCCTATAACCAGACATGGCTCGTAGCGACAACATGCACAGTGTGCACACTGTAACACTCGTCCTGCACATCTCAGCTCTTATTGTGTGGCATCTTTCTGAGTCTAAGGTGTCTGGGGGTTGTGCCCACCTTCCAGAGCCTCATAAGGATCCAGTTGGTCTGTGCCCACGGCCTGTTCTTGTACGGCTGAAGCAGCGCCTGTATCATGGCCATGGAGCTGCAAGTAAACGCGGCGTCGTTACGGCTGGATGCCTGCAGGCAAAGCCCGATATTGCTGGATAACATGTGCTCGGATAGAGATGCGAGGAACACCATAAAAAGATGAGCTGTGAAACATTGAGTAATGATTGCCCTACGCAAAAGACTAAATGGAAATGTCGCTTTATACACAGCCATATTTGTGACAACACAAATGCTTTTTCTTTTCCTGCTGGAAGCTGACGGGTAACCAAATAATATTTACGGAGAAATAACGACGAAAGGCAACTCTTCACCAGGCTGGCTATGGCTTACGGCCATAATGACCGGCTAGTGCGTAGTAGTCACTGTCTCCTATGGCTGAGAATGGTGTTGCCGTGGGCAAGCCTAGCGCTCACACTACCAAACTACTAGACCGACATAGTAAGAAGTGAGAGTATGCAGGCGAGCTGGTTAGGAAACATTGTAATCCAAACCCCAATACCCAAAGAAATACAATAATGGACTAAACCCCAATACACGGATAAATACAGTAATGGACAAGACGACACAAAATCTTAAGATTTTGTGTTGCCTCGTTCGTTGCTTTATTTCTCTCGGGATATTACTACACAGAGACTTAAGGCTCATTCGCACACTTACCACTGAGTGCAATACAATTTCTTGTGATATTTTTTTGGCGAGAGAATACGCTGGCGCCACCTCTGAGGCGGCTCTGACACTGCATTTCACTAGAGTCAAGGTTTCGCGGCATTTGCGAGATGAAACATACATACTATCTACGAGAAATGGTTGTTTGAAACATTGTCTAAAGTTTTTCGAGCCAAAAGTGAAAGCATGAAGCGCGCAAAAAATATAAATTACACATAAATCGCGAGTGTTGAACGACCACCCGACAGATGGCACCAGTGACTTCTCTCATCGTAAGAATAACAAGTCTTAACGAACTCGGGCGTAAGCAGTTGCAAGTGTGCGAGCGAGCCTTTATTATGGAAGTGTACCGAGCCGTTAGGAGCGATTAATTAATTATTTACCTTTCAGTGGGCATGCACTCCAGTGCCCTCACGGTGGACGGGGGACAGACGTGGGCCGCCAAAGCCCGCAGCAGCGCGTCCTTCATGTCTGTGTAACGGGAGTTTGCAACGCTGCGATCATCATGATGACGCTACAAACGCAACTTCGTGACAATTAACCAGACGAAAATCAGTCCACTTCGAGCTGGATTATGGAACTGGAAATGAGGCGTTCCAGCTGGATTCCAGCTGGAATCCAGCTGGAACGCCTCATTTCCAGTTCCATAATCCAGCTCGAAGTGGACTGATTTTCGTCTGGGAAAGAAACCGGTGTTCCCAACCCAGTGTCGGGAACTTGCATAACATAACCCCGAGTTGCAAGCAAAGTGGGTCCCCGTGCGGGGTCGGTGTATTCGTGGCTCGCGTTGCCCGGAGGTTGTGGCGTAAACTTACCGGGATTGGTGACCCTAGGGTCCGCGAAGTGCTGGGCCAGAAACGTGCTATACCGCACCAGGACGTTGTAGTGACCTGGGGATGACAGCAAACGTTGGCAACGATGATACTGACGATCGGCAAGGCGGACTCGGTTTCTGCGCGTCGGGAATTGGTTTGGTGTGCCGTGACTCTTGGTGCGGCTTTTTATGTCTTTTGGATGCGTCAATACGACGCAGTGCACTGCTAGCACAAACCCCCGAATTGGAACAGATGAGTAAATAAATTAGAAAATATTTAAGGCCTCACCCAAAGCAGTCTCCCAAAACTGGGAGACTAGATGAGGAACAGTGAAGCAAACTCGTCAATGCATCCGAGGTTTCTCAATTATTCATAAGAGTAGCGTATCAGATCTCTAGCTCCTTACTACCATGTCATTCCACACTATAGTTCATAGACTATACACATATAAAGTTGAAATTTTGCGCGGTGCAGACTACAGGTGCGCACCTTACAAGGATTTGTTTTTCCAAGATCATTCGTTACGACAAGATGAGACAGATTTCGTGAATGACGGATTATGTTAATGATGATCTCCGTGCCACATTCTTTGCGCGTTAATAAAGCCTTTTTTTCAAGTTCTGCTTTGTATAACAGTTTTTGATGTGCAGAGCATACACCAGGTGGGAACTACGCACTGGGTGCAGAATACCTAAGGAAAAACTGCCAATTTTCGGTCCAAGTTTGCCCTTGCACACTATACATTAATTGATTGACTTAGCTTTTCTAGCATTGTTTGGACCAGCATTTATTTGTCTCCTTGCTCCGAGCACCACAATTGGGATAACGGCAGAAACTGCAGCACAACCGCTTAGCGCATCCAAATAGTATGACACGGTTGATTGAGTATTAAGGCCCGTTCACACGCTTGCATTTGCTCGCGACTTGGCTCTTGCGATCTCTTACGACGAAGCAACTTGCTGACGTGGACTGCTCACGATTACCGTATGTTTCCCGTCTTTTTTTCACATATTTCTTTTTTTCTCGGCTCAAAATACCTTAGACAATGTTATAAGCGACCGTTTCTCGTAGTTTCTATGTATGCTCGATGTCGCAAAAACATGCAAAACCTTCGCTCTAGTGAGATGCAGTTATAGGGTATAGGGGAAACACACAGAAATCGCGAGCAGTCCACAGCTGGCTGACAGGTAGCGCTGGCGTTATCTCTCGTCGTAAGAGATCCTGGGAGGTTTCGAGGCACTCGAACGTCAGCGGTCGCAAGTGTGCGAACCGGCCTTTGAGGGAGGAGCAGAGGAAAGCAAAGCCACCTGGGATGTCGCTGAGGTTGCAGGTGGGCGGGAAGTAGAAGCTGAGCGACGTGAGCAGCTTGATGCACGACTCGACGTAGTAGTCCGGCACGAAGGCAAATGCGGCGCCCGAGTGGGAGGCCTCCTCCAGCGTCAGGAGCACCACCCGCAGCAGCCAGTACACGTCCGCCTGCTTCTCCTGTGGCGGGACAGGGTCGGGAGCGCCCCGACGGCGACTCAGATGCCAGATTTGTGTGCTGGCTGCGCAATGCCGATCGACGTCAACCGAGCTGATTCCAAGATACGAGGTGTTCCACGACGGATCTCGGCGCCGTAAATAAGCAGGCCGAAAAAATCGCCGCCGGCATGTAGAAAGCTTAAACTTTCGCCGAAAGTGCATTTGGGGCAGCGGACTTTGCCCGGCGGAATTTCGAAGCCTAGCTCCCCTCCCGCGAGAGACGAGACCGACAAACTCGCAGGGGTCGATGGCAGACGCGTTTACGGACGATCGGGCTGGCGACGGTTGTAACCTCTGGCACCGTCTCCCGATAGGTGTGGGGAGCGGAGGAAAGGGTGTGTCGTCCGGTGTGGATGCTCATTGTGGACACCCCATAGATAGGCACTGTTTTACTTGTGTGGGTTCAGGCAATCGCTCACAGACGATACAAATTATCTTATGGGTGTCCATAGGACAAACGTATGGTATCTAAAGGATGCCCAAAAAACAGCTACTGGACACTTATAATAAATCTATTGCAGTGGTTTTCAACCACTGATGTTTTGGGGTCCCTTCTGGATGAGCGGAAGTGGTGGGAGGCCCACTGACCGATGGTAATAACAATGTCAAAAGGGTAAATGAGGAAAACTGAATGAGTGCAAACTAACTTTGAAGCTTTCATACGAAGAAAAAATTAGCCCTTCTCATTTGGCACACATGGTTTGGTCCACTTAGCTTGTGGGATAGCCAGCTTTCATATAGAGATTCTACTGCTCAGTTTCACTTGTGCTCGAGGGCTTCGTGGCCCCTAAGAAGGCCCTCAGGGACCCCCACAAGGATCTGGGGACTGCCGTTTGAGAACCACCGCTCTACACATTATGACACTCTTCGGACATAACATCCACTGGACACCGATAGGACATCTGTTGGACATTACAACATCCTATGGACATCAAAGTCTGCCAAATATCTACAAGACATTTATTCAATGTCCGTGAGACATCCCTCGGACATCACGGTACCTTGGGTACGTCTACACGACCACGTGGGCTGTGGTGCACGTCGAGGGCTCGAACGCGCAGCGGGCACACACCTTTGAGAAGACGACGGCGGAGAGCCACGCCACCTGCCTGGCCTGCTGAGACAGGGTGTCGCTGAACACCTCCTCGGCCTTCGTCAGTGCCTCCACCACGTCGGGCTCCCCGAGGGCGCTGTTGCGTCTCACCTCTTGCACTGCCCGCAGGTAGTCGCGCATGCCCTCCCTCACCGCATTCATCTGCGCGGAGGAACCACTAACGGTTGCCAACTGCCACTCCAAACGACAAAGCTCAAACGGGAGAGGGTGATGGTCAGACTTCTCTGTGCTTCTGTCGTCTTTGAAGCTGCAGTCACACTATCCGTGCATCACACAGAAGACACGGCGTTCAATGTGGACATGACGACAGAACTGTCAGTGAACAGGCATCGAGCATGTTTGCTTCATAGACATGTACGTTCGAACATGTCTATAGACAGTTTACGTATGACCGACGTGACTGGACTGTCGTACAAGGAAGAAACGTGCCTCGGACAGCATCTGCAGACTGTACGATGTGTAAGCAGTGTGACCGCAGCTTTAGAGAACCCCAGTCTACAGCAAAGTTACCGTGAGTATTCCACAATTATGCATGTGCACTTGCATCCTTCATGCGCCACCACAAATATTGTCTCCGAGCGTGCATTGCAGGAATTTCCTGTCGACCCTCGACTTTCCGGCGCCCTGTCCTCACCTTCAAGAAGTGGGCATGGCTGCAGAGATAGTAGAGGCGGACGATTCCGTCTAGGAGTCGGAACACCTTGGTGCTCGCACGGTCCTTGTCGAATGCGTTCGGCGTGCCGCTCGACAGCTCCACCGACGCCTTGTGGCCTGCAGCCCCGAGGAGAGCAGACAAGCCTGATTCTCTCCCGCGGGGGGACGCTAGAGCGCATGCGTCGTCGAGGATACGACTAGAATAGAGCAAGCGCCGAGTAGCCAAAACGCGAGAAGCCTTGTGGCGACCTCCGGAACTATTTGCCACGAGAATAAACGCGTCGACGGAATCAGTCGTAAAACGGCCGCGAGGACCCGATCGAGCTGCTGCGTACTTTGTTTTGCCGTCTGTGCACAAGTGATGCGGTGATTTGAGAACATGCAATGCTAGGAAAGCGGTAAAAGTGCCACGTTTCGCGACTGTCCCAATGAGAAAGGGAAGCCTGCAAGACATTCTGCATGCGCGCATACTCTCGTGGTGACGGCTCCAGGGTCGGCCACAAGGGAGAGCGCGCGTTTCGATTGCTCGGCATTCACTTCATGCTATCCATACCTTTTCATAACTTTCCGCCGGTCTGCACGTAGTTTGGAGTATGTTGGTCGATACTCGCGTAAAATCGCATCAATTTACGTTTCTACAAACAAATTTGTGACGACTGTATGTGCACCCACTTGCATCGTAGCTGGTCATTCAAAGAATTCATGCTTTGAGGGGCCCTCTACGAAAATGTAAAATCCAGGATGGAAAACAAAAAACAACCATAGTGAAACCCAAAGGTGCCATAATGCATAGAATTTATGGTTCCCCCGTGGCATCAGAGGGTCACGTGACGTCGTAGTGTCATGTAAAGAAACGACGGCTCGGGAGTTTCCTTTCTTAGGACCGGCCACCGTTCCAGCACCAGAGTAAGACATCAATTTCATGACTACCGTAACGTCATCGCCATAGTGATGTGCGAGCATTCAGATCTTCTAAATGTAGTTTTCGTTAATACGCTATTCGCTATTTGCTTCGACATGAACTGTGATATTCATATTTTTCGACGTGTTGAAGGTGGGTTCATCGCTGAGTGCACTTTTTATTGCGCACGGGTGCACTGCAGAGAAGCGACATCTGCAAAAGCGAGCTTTGTGGGTGTTGCTTCTCCGCAGCTTAATGCTAGACAAGAAGCGCACTCAAGGAGACTAACTCACTGCGATCGACATTTCAAAAAGTACAAATATACTGCAGTCGCGTGCATAGTAGAAAAGCACCCTTTTAAAGCGGGATGCACGCAAGCTCCAGGAGTATTTAAAAAGGAACTAAAACTTTCTGAATATTGATACCTGCATTGCAATGAAATTTTCAAAATTAAAGTGTGGCTATTATGTGACAGTATACAGACTAGTATATTAGGCAAAAATGCCCTGACAACCTGCGTTCATCATTTGAGATTGATTTTTATTTTTTTCAAATTCGAGAGCGAAGGAAGGACACTTGCACATAATAAGATTTATAATAAATTTCGTGTCAAATTTGTTGCTTCCTTGCTATCCCAATGCAGGCATCACGCTTCGTGAGGCCACAGTCTATAAATATAGTTAGATTAAAATTAGCTTTAAAAATGGACAAGTGAAACCTTGGGAACAAGCTTCACAAGTTCAGGTGGGTTTTCGTTTAAGCGTGGTGCAACGCAGTAGCCAGAGGCATGTAGTAACTATTCCATATTTGATTAGAAAATATTCGGTCAAAGCCTCTACGCTGTATTCGCTTTGAACACAAAATCCACTATTTGCACGTTATTACATCAGCATGACATCACCATCTAGACTGCATCCCAGGCATTGACACGACAGTGCTAAGAGCCAACCCCATAAATGCTAGTCGTTTAAAAAGAAAACAGGGTGCAGGTAATCCGGAGATTGTGATGATACGGGAGGCAGAAACGTTCCGGTCCAAACAGACCTTCGTCGGGGCGGTTCGACTGCTGGTTGGATGCGATGTCGTAAGGGAGTTCCGGAAAGTCGCCCACCCGGGACACTTCGCCACGGACGCCGATGTCGCTCAGAAACACGTCGCCCGGAATGTACAGACCTGTCGTCGACGAGAAGAGGGTGAGACACTTGGGGGAAACACTGGGTTTGGAGCTTTTCTCCGTACTTTTTGACAGAACTCAACAAAGCTGCTCGAGCTTGTTGAGTTGTCTCTGCCGATTTCAAATATCTGCTCATTTATTCGGCCAGTGGATTGGTCCTCAAATATTTAAGGCTTTCCAGTCCTTGTTTACAGGAACAATAGGGAGGAAAACTGCTCAACAAGAAAGTCTGTTTAAAGGGGTACTCCAGGGATATTTTTTTTATGGTCGCTGATTTGCCTCAAAATTGGCTCAACGCGCCAATAGACATGGCTATACCAGTTCCCTAAGTATTGTGTGAATTTTTTTTTTTTTTAAATACATATGCAAAATTATTGAATTTTTTAATTTCATTCTCATCTTTTAAAACGGGGGGCCCCACTGGCAACACTAAAATGTGACGACAGATATGGTACAAAGTGGGCAATAAACCACATTCCCAAATGATTAAAAGACATTTGATGGCGGGAAAAGAATGCTTAGAAGCTTATTCACCGAGAAGCATGAAAAAAATGCTAGGTGTGCTCTGTTTACGACTACCTGTGCGACCTGAAACTCTGTACCATTTGTGACGTCGCACCACTGGAGAGTGCGTGGAAATTTGAATGTTGGTTTCGGCATCATCTTCATTTACAGTTTTCTCAATAGCTGCTTTTGAATTTTGAGACGATAAATAGGATACCGTGAAGACCGTGTTTGTGTATTCAGATAATGCAATTGGTTTGGGTAGCTCAAAAATGGCTGGGGTACCCCTTTAACACATGGCTACAAACTACAAAGTAGAAAGAATACAATGTTGGGAGTACTTTTGAGATTGAAGTCTATTATTAGTGATTTTACAAATAAACTGAAGTTTAGTGTTCAATGTGTGGGCGCATCCGCCCTTTCCACGCTAAGCGCCCACTCCCAAACTTGTAAGATTTGAGAAATATGCACAGTACGTTTATATGTAAAGTTGATGACTGGACAAGTGCCCATCCCCCAATTTTTTCGCCGTTATCTCCAAATTGTGAGTGAACGCTTGCCCGGTACTTTACGGTATATTAAAAAATCTGCTCTAAACTTCACAGATTTAGCTACATACATGTTGCAAAACAAGTTATATTTCCTTCTGCACTAAATCCTGAGATATCTCTCCTGAAAATTGGCAAGGAGTTCAAAACTTGTTTTTTCAGAAAGCAACGTTTAAGAGTCAACTTCAATGCAAATTCAGCCTGCATAGATATTATAAAGTGATGTATTGCTCAAATATTCATCCACAAATATATAAACTTGTAAGATTCAGAAGAACAAAAAGCGCGAGGTACACCTAAGCGCTTCTTATGAGTCGTGAATGCGAAAGCACGCAAGCCGCTCGTCCGCTGCCTTTTTCGTCTGCTGCTCTGCTGCATACTCTTCGTCGCCGGTCAGCGCGCGTGCACCCCTGGGTGTGGATGGATGGATGGATGAATACGGCTGAGCCCTTTAGATCGGGCGGTAGCTTACGCCACCTAGCCATTTTGTTTTACCATTTAAGCTTAGAATATTTAAATGTGAAATCTATATTCACTCCGCAGTGCCAAGAAAGTGAGGCTATGAAACCCCCTTGCCATCAGTGAATAAGAAAATACCTAGTTTTCTCTCGATTTCTGCCACCATTCACTTAATCCTAAGCTGATGGACACGCAGCGCCATGGGGTGAGCGGTCGTGGAAACTGACGAGCGCAGCAGACAATGGGAACCCCGTCGGTGCGCGCCAGCCAATGGAACCGAAGGAGATCGTGGAAACTAGGTGCCGTTTTCGCGCTTCAAACTGATGACATCAGCTCGCTCCATGGGACAGCTAATGGTTTTGCATTAATAGCTTTAGACAAAACTTTATTAGCACCAAAGACCCGTGTCCCCCCCTTAAAAGTCGGCACTATATGTAAAATGTATTTAGGACTATGGCCTGCAGATGTCCAAAAGTTAAAATTTTATGCGTTGCACACTACCTACAGGGGCGGGCTACACGAGGGTTTGTTTCTTTCAAGATAGTTAATTATGACAAGACGTTACCGATTTTGTCAGTGAGATTATGTTATTGATGACTTTTGTATGCTACAAGCTTTTTCGTGTGCTACTGAAACAGGCATTTTTCATAATGTGCTGCATAGTGAGCGAACTCACCGCCACAGCTTTCTGTTCTAGCTGCGAGGTGCCGTCGATTTCGCTGGAGTCACCAAATACACTGAGTGAAAACTACCCAACGAAACCCATTTTGTTTAACTCGAAACTTTTTTTGTGGATAATACACCAGATTCAGACTATATAGTCCGGAAAATGTGGTACTAAACCTCCAAAGTATGTGAAAGAGAGGGGGGAGGGAGAGAGAGAGGAACGAAAAGCTCGAAGGACCTTGTACCGGCTTGAACATAATCTTCTTACAAGCGAACAAAAGACTCACTGTGAGCTTGCAGGAGTTTGCCGCTGGCCGCATGAAGGACGGGAAGACACTGGCGTAGGAGTGCCACCAGCCGGTGGAAGAAGTTGAGTGCCACCGACGGCGGACATAGGTCCAGGGTCACCGTCTGCAAACATTGTGACGGAGTCGAGTTACTTCGCAGGCGCTTCGATTCCCGAGTTTCTAACTCTCCGCACATCGAGGCACAGGTTTTTCATGACATAAAGGGACATTGTGGTGACTGAAACGAGGGTTAATGGAAAAAGCTCCATTCAAAAGAAAAGGAATAGTAGAAGTTGCTGTTGTTTCCAAAGGTCTTTTTGGCACACACGTAGGACAAGTGGTTTTTTGCCATGTCTAACCAGCTAGCCTGCCAGTTCATTTTAATTCCGAGGGTTGATGTGCAGGCGAGCTGATGCACAGTCATGCTGCAAACGCACCAAAACATGGGACACTGTTGTGTCCCATGTCAAAGTATGAACACTGTGATCTTTTCGGGGTTATGGTATGCACAACATACCATAACCCCGAGAAGTATGTATAACAGTTTATGGAAGTCGCTCACAGACAAACGTAGAGCCAGCAGATAGACGGGTGCAAATCTTCAAAACTTTTGAATGTTCACTGCAATAGCGGTGTGCTCGATTCAGTGTCGAAATTATAAAAAGTGGTGCCCTCCCGGACGGTGTGCGATGAAACGCTCGTACTGTCCGAAACAAAAAAAACACCTTAGAAAATTTAAAAACTGATTTGGAACAAAAAAAAGTATTTTTCATAAGCTGGCAAGCAATGAACAAGTGTCACGTTTAAGCCAACTTTGTTCCTGCGTCGTCCTCTGTGATTAATTGAACGCCATCGATTCTTGTCACCAATAATTTTACGGAAGAAAGAAAAATTATTGTTTTGAGGTAGACCATGGCTCTTGACTCAAGTTTTACAAAGATTCCTTCAAAACTATGGTTTTGCATCATGTACATTTCTAGACGACCTGCCAATTGAAATCCACCTTGTGCGAGACGAAGACGCATTAAAATAATATGACGCGCGCATATCACGAAATGGCACTTTGCCACTTCAAAACAAGAATCAGTGGCATTCAATTAATCGCAGAGGACGACACAGGAACAAAGTTGGCTTAAATGTGACGCTCGTTGTTTGCCTCCCAGCTTATAGAAACTTATGATCCAAATGACTGCTCAATGCAACTGACCCGCTCAAACGTCAAAGGAGAAATCTTACCCTGCTCCCGGGCGAATTCTCTTTGATAAAGTCCTCGAATTTCGCGAGGAAAGTATCCCTACTTGTCTGGCCCTGCAATTAAAATAATATTCGTCAACCACCAAAGGATCCATCTTGACCGAGAGCGGCGTCGAGCGCCAGTCACAGAAACTTTGAACGCACTTGTACCGACAGTGACGGAAGCGTCTACAAGTTATTCCTCGCTGTTTGCTCTATGTAACTTTGTACACCTGCTGCTTTGGTGGCACAAAGAAACCGTTCTACGACAGCATTAGAGAGAAGGGCCCTGCTATTAAACGATGGTCAAGAATATTAAATGAAATTGGGTGCCTCCTCAATTATGCGACACAAAATCAGGATACGAGAATGTGTGCAGTTGGTTTAAAGGTCTTGGCACATCCTTTAAAATTGGTAGACGTTCGTTTTAGGAGCGCAAAGTGGCTTCCAAGCTCATTTTCTTTAAGTAATTCAGTCGTCTAACTGAAAACTTTTTGCCATTGAAACACGTGCGCTATTTTCAGTTTTTGACTGATACAATGATTTTCTAGGCTCACCTGAGGTGCATCGTCATCCGTAGTGAGCTGCTCCAAGATCCTAAGCTGCAAACTTTCGAGCTCTGGGTGGGGGGGAGGGGGGGGGGGGGGGGGGGGAAAGAAAGCTAAGCTAAAGCAAATTCGCAGGAGATGTAGCATGTTCAGTTTTGATATTTTTGAAATTCTTTCAGTCTTTATGTCACAAAGCTCGCCGACAAAATCGTGGGAGTCATGACATCGACGCAGTTGTGGGGAATCGTGGCAGGGTAATGGCAGTCGAATGTGGCTAGTGGATTGAACACGAGCGTCGTGCAAGCGCTTGACTTGGGCTCGGGTTGCAATCAATATGCCCCGGCGAAATTTGTATTGTCGCCGAGGGGATGGGAACGGCTAAACTTCAACGGTGTCGAGAGCACAGCATGTGGCCTGATGTGCACTTTGTAGCTCCAAGCTAGATAATGCTTATTCTCAAGAGTATGCAACGAAATGCCAGGAAAATAAAAGTTGACATTACTGTGAATAGAAAAGGCTTTGGAATTTCGCATTTTTTTAATCTGCAATTTGGAAAAAAGCGGTAGATTTACTTATTCTAGATAAGGCAGTATGTGATCAAATGCCAAACAGACCCAACGCCACCGACTTCAGCTTCTGCTTGGAGGCTGCGTACAGCGACTTCTTGTAGGCTTCCTCCGTTGGGTGTGCCTGTAAACGATGATGACTAGCAAGTTAATATACAACCACGCATTGGTGCACATACTCATGCCTGTGCTATTACGAGTCAATGCAATTGGAATAAAGGTACCGTAAACCCGATTAAATCACCTACTCCCTTCTTAGAGCGCACAGATTGGAGAGATAGAACAAATCGTGGCTGCCGGTACCAATATGGCTGCCCATTACACGAGCCCAGGGGATCTCGCAAACTCAGTCCTCGCCTCTTCCATGAGCTCGAACCAGACGTCGTGCACGACCGTCGCCAAAGTCTCGTTGTCCGGAGGCTTCACGTCCATGAACAGAGGGAACTTGATCTTGTCGAATGTGCTGGCAACACTGGAGTCAAGGAACTGCTCCAAGCAATATAATAGCTGTCACAGACTGGTTCAATAAAACAAAAACGAGAGCAGGTTGCGACCTGCACCTTCCCAGCGGCTACATGTGCGAGTCGCCACGAGGCGTTTCAATGCGTTCCCTCCACTTTGCTCCATTGAAGCGGAGAACTGTTCTACGCAGTATTTGCCAATATTAAGTGGTGTAAACACAAAAAATATACGCCCGTCAGTCCACACGAGACATTCTGTACTAGACGTTGACTTTCTTTATGGTACGTCATCCAAGCTAGCATAGTTTTTACGGTGCTGAAGCCCTGCACTGCTACAAGAGCATGCAGCTTCGTCTTCCGTCTCGTCCGCACGCACTCTTGTGCGAAGGAGACGCCAAACAAAGCCACACGCTGGCACAAGTAGCTCTGACTAGATGCTGGGTATAAAGTGTTTTGCCAATTTGCTTCATAAGGCAGTCTCCTCCGGTTGTGCACCATTGTATATCGGAGGTCCTGAAACTGTGGCCCTCGAACCCTTAGCAGTCTGCAACGACACTGGGGGGGGGTCTGCACTGATTCAAGGGTCGTTCCATTAGGGACAGGTAAGGCACGGAGGAGGGTTCAAACTGTCGGAACAACTGTCTTTCCTCATGGGTTCCGGTGTGCTCTCACTGGTTTCTAGTCGCAAATGCACTTTGACTACGGGTTTTCCCAGGAAAAGTGCTCATACAGGTGTTCCCATTTTCACTTTCCACTGGAGACCGATTCGTATGGGCTCGTCTGCAGGATGCCAAGGACAATAGACATGATTTATATCCTGTAATCTGCTGGGCTAACGACTTCCACCTTCTCCGACTTTCGGCAATGCAATTTCCTCGAAATGTGCATTATGCTGCTATCATATAAATATATGCATAGGGAGACTGCAAACGACTCATAAAACAGTTGGCATGCAACACGTTTTCAGGTGAACATATCCAATAACGGTCTGTGAATGACCTCTAAGGAAGTTGGGTGATTTTCAACGATGCAACGTTGGAGAAGTGCTCTTGTATACTATTCACCGATAGTAAGTGGCGTAAACATAAACATGCATCATTCCTCCACGATACAAAACGTAAAACAAGTGGGCCAAAGAATTGGTGGAGACTATAGGATACTTTAATTGACTTGATTTTCACGGGCTCGATATTTGGAAAAGTTTGGGGAGCATCTCGAAAATATTTTGTAGGAACAAAATATTGCGATCAGGGGTCGTATGATATGTATTTGTTATCATATAGTAATATATTTGCGCAATCTATTTTTCACAATGCGAAATTCGCTAAAATAAGGTTTTCACGAAAATGAAGCCATTTACAATACGTATATGATTCAAGACTTCAAAACATCAATAATAATGTTGTTTACAAATCGTAACGTCTAAAAATCTCTAAATCTTAAAAAAAAAAAGACGAGTGGGCCACAGATTTGGTGAAGGATATAGGACGTTTTCGAGGAGGTAGCGCCGTGACGAGTCGTGCCGCACAACGCTTAGGAACAGGGATAGGTGGCGCTTCTGGTGGTGCAGGTCCGGGGTGCACGGCGAGAAGCGGAACCCCGACAGGAGGGCCACCGCCACATTCTGGAGACACCGCTGGACCTCCAGGGGCTGTCGGCAGAGACGTCCCGGTTTACGCCTGCCGGCTTCCGAGCGAGCGGCCGAGTGGCACTTTGCCGAAGGTGCACTCACCTCGAGCAGCGCCCAGAAGAGCTCGAGGAGCACCGAGACGCCTCCGCCATCGGGATTCTCGTCGAGGACTTGGAAGAGGAACGGCAGCACCGACACCTCAGTGACGTGACTAGATGCCTGCAAGGGGCAACGCCACTCGCTAGAGACGACCGTGGTCGTGGGCGGGACAAGGACGGCACCGAGGAGTTTCCGTCGACCTGCTCTCAGCGAGATCTTCCCACCGTCGATTAAGGAGTCGGCCTCTCGCAAGCTTTGAACGTGCACGCGCAGTCAAAGTATAGCAAAGAGCAACGGGCGCTTGCTGGAAGTCTGGCCTTCGAAAGGCGTGCCCTGCCGTTTTAGCCTCCTCAGCGACTAAGTATGATTTTTAAGGCTGGTGTTTCTTTTTAATGCAGAATGTCCTTTATGGCTGGCACCTATCTATGGTTAGGTGCCAGCAACAGAAGCCGACAGGCCGATCGCCAGCTGAATGCCGGCGCAGTGCTCGTCTCCCCGCCTATCGGACGCCAGTGCTGGCTGAAGCTCTCCTGGCGGGGGTATAAAGATGCATGTTCGGAAACAGAGCGGTGCTCTGCTCCATGAAACGAGTGCACTCCAGGCTTCCCCAGAAAAAGAGCGCGCATAAAAATAACATAAAAGCGGAGAAAAAGAAAAAAAAAAGCAGACTCCTGCGTTATAACAAGTCGAAATAGTTCCAAGTGTTTGCTTCGTTTTCGTTACAAGCGTTCCAGTTGTTCTGTTGTCTACACGCTCCGTCTGCTCCAACGGGCTCTGTGTAAGTTGCATTTATGCCGCGACCACAAAAGATGGCACCCACCGGTTAAGACATCCACAGAGTGCTAACGCGCTTACCTCGCACGACACGAAACTGCTCCGCGCCATCCAGTCTCCGCCTGTGTGTGCAGCTTCTCCATACTAACACATCACATTCTGCATCACCACTGCCGTTGCCAGGCTGGTACAGCAAAGGGTGACTTTTTCTCTTGCTAGGTTGCTCGAATATGCGGTCCAGTGTTTTCCGGAACTTTTTGACAAAAATGCCCGCACACGATACAACACACAGAAACTAGCGCAAAGTGTAATGAAATCAGAGGCTCTCTCGGCAATCTAGGAGAAGGAGACTTGACGTCATTGTCGTCTTAGGTGCAACCTACTACAGGTAACAAGCATACCAATGATCGATCGATCAAGATTGATTAAGAATGCCTTCAGACACCTGCAAAAAGTGATGATTAATTGATTGATCGATCAATCAAGCATTCAATCAATCAATCACTTTTTTGGGCATCTTCAGGGATTCTGAAGCTCGTCAGCACACCTTCACTACCTTCTGTTGTTGTTGCATTGTGTCCAAAATGAGGGAGCCACAATATTCCTTTTTCTTTTCGTGTCCACGAGCATTTCCAGCCATTGCTTAAGAACCGGATTAGATCTTTTAAAGGATGGCGACTAGAAAAAAGTGAGGCGTGGCTCACCAAGAGTGGGCCCAGGCGCCTGAGGACGGGTGCGGCCAGAAGCAGTGCTTGCGCCTTGGTTCCCTGTCGAAAGACGTCCAGGCCGTCGGTGAGGTACTGCGAAGGGACTGCACCCTGCAAGCGTGCCAGGTCCCCTTTTCATTACTTCACGAATTACTGAACTGTTTCAAAGCAGTCTAGCTATTTAGAAACCTTTATCACTCAAATACTGTCTTTCTAGTACTCTAAACCAGTTAATTACGAGAAACCCCTTCACAAAACACTTCACCCGGCCTCAATTGGCCAAATGTGCGTGTCTATAAATTAGGATTTTTCATCATTGCGCTTTTGCTTTTGTTCTTGTTATGGTATGCATTGTATGATTCGCAGTGACCAGTCTGAGAATCCGTGCAATCAACGAACTCATTCCTTATCGTTCTCCTTTTATTTTCAAACCTCAAACAATAATGTTTATGTTTGTGCCCCGCCCTCCCCCTCCCTCCCTCCCCCCCTTGCCTTCATGCACAAACTCAGCGCCTAGAAGTAGCAATCTCTAGTTTTCATGAGAGGAGTCCTTTACCTGGTGGAATTTCAAGGCGTAGCTCCGTTTCAGTGAAATACAAGACCAACAAACTAGCCACAGTAAACGGAGAACATTTCGACGTAGACAGCGGAATTAGATCGAGAAACTAACCGAGGGTCGTGCCTGCATGTGGCACCATCTCTCAATAAGCACAGCAAGCAGATGATGCACTGGGTCAAAAGCAGACTACGGTGTTCTCTGCTCGCTACATCTATTGGGAAAGAACACCAAGAACATGACACTTAGAATCCCTCGGTTGCCTCAATCGTATGCATCGAAACATCTTCCGTTGACCGTGGCTAGTTCGTTGGTCACGCTTTTTCACAGGATTTTACACCCTTAAATTTCTCGAGGCAAAGCCCACCAATAAAATACACCTTCGATGAAAATCTGAGATTGCTACGTGCAGGCGCGGATTTTTACGTCTGATCTTGGAGCCACCCTTGATGTCGATAACACCCTATATCTGTGCAACCACAAATGAAGCAAACCGAAGTGAGCGTTGTTAGCTGCCAATAAGGTTGGGTGGAACGATATGGCAGCACCCACGACTGTCCTTTCGAATTATAGAGCTAATATAATAAACTAGAGAGAAAGGTTCCATGAATTACAGTTACTTCGGAAAGGTGGGGCATGGACGCAGACATCGGTGGTTCCGACGGGACTGTATTGCTGGCGACTAGTATTGCCCGAGTATCAAAATTTTCGAGCAGCTGTTTTGGTTAATATGTTATTTGATATTCACTTCGAGATGAACTGCAATATTTGTATTTTTCGAAGCGTCAGTCTCGGCGAATTAGCCCCGTTGAGAGCGCTTTTCCCCAAGCACCGGCGCACTGCAGAGAAACAAAACCTGCAAGGCTCGCTTGTGGGTTTTGTTTCTTGCAATACTTGTGCACTTTTTACCGGTGCTCTGTAAAAAGTGCACTCAACGGGGCTAACCCTTTACAAAGTCAACACTTCACAAAGCACAAGTATTGCAGTCGCGTGCTCAGGAGAAAAGCACACTTTCAAATCGGGATGGTGCACGCGCGTGCCTGGCGTATTTTGAAAAGAAACGTAAACTTTGTGAATGTTCAGATCTGCATTGCAGTAATTTCTCTAAAATAAAACTGGCGATTATGCGAGAGTATGCTAGGCAGAGATGCCCCAACAACCTGCATTCATCATTAGTGATTTTTGTTTTAAACTTTGAGATTTAAGAAAGGTTATTTGCATATGGCGAGGAGATTTATAAAACCCCTCTATTAGGTATAGCTGGGTGTCTCTATAGGTATAATTTTATGTGAAATGTGTCGCTTACTCATCATCACAATACAGGCATCAGACTTTCCGAGGCCACAGTCCATAAATATAACTAGATTAAAATTAGCTTAGAAATGGACAAAGTGGAAGCTTGGGAACAACCTTCACGAGTTAAGCTCGGCTTCTGTTTAAGCATGGTGCAGCTTGTAGAGGTTCTTCGACAAAATATTCGGCTAAGACGGCTATTCGCTTCCAACTCAAAATCTACCATTATTTGCACTCGCCCGGCGGCGACGCCTTGACATATGCAAAGCAGTAAAACACCACTCGCAAGGTCTGTATCTAGAATATTTCTAGCATTATTTCTGAAAAAAAAAAAAAAAAAAACATAGGCGTCGTGCACTGTACAAATATAAATGAAGTCGACTAGCACTCGGGCAACTTCAACAACGCGCCGTAGCAAAACGAACAAGCCTAACATATTGTCCATACTCTCTTCCTCCGCTGCTCCGTCGCTTTCTTTCTTTCGGGACCATCAACCTCGGCGCTTACGATTTGCCGCGCCCTGCTCCTGTCTTTGGCTGATACCGCCCACAAGACAAGTCTCATCAATAATGTCATCGGTAGTCGGTCCCCAACCTGCTTCAAGTGACAAATACGCTGAAGCTCAGCCGCTTGTTGCGAGACGTGCCGGCGGCACCGCATGCATACGCTAGCGACAAGGTTTGGGGGGAGGGAAACGTGGGCCTTCTCTTCTAGGTGGCGTCGGTGCGGTGGCTCATTTTAAAGGTGCCCACCTTCTGCACCTCCTCGTAGACGGGCAGCAGCCTCTTGACCCAGCGCACGAGGGTCCAGGCCCGCTCGGCCTCTCGGGGGTCGAGCTTCTCGAGCGGCCGGTGGCCCTCCACCGGGTGGCGCAGCGGGGTGGCACCAAAGTTGGCCACCAAGTTCTCTCCAAAGGCCAGGCTCACGGCTGGGAAGTACACCAGGCCGGGGCCCGCCCGCACCCTATCGAAGGCCACGCCCAGCGAGCGCCCGTTCCTGCGACGCGGCGGCCACCGTCGTGAGAATTAACTACCTCGGAGTTAACAGTCTTAAGGCCCGTCCACACACTTACGTTTGCTTAGAAGCGAGCTCTTGCGACGTCCTAAGACGAGAGGATACACTGGCGCCATCTATGAGGTAACTTTGGAACTGCCTTTCACTACAGCGAAAGTTTTGCATTATTGGCAAGATCAAATGTATACATACTATCATGAGAAATGGTCGCTAATAACATCAAAAGGTTTTTAATAAAAAAAGAATAATGCTCCTCTAAAAAAGACATTGACGGAAACTTGAGTGTTCCATGGCTACCCGATAGATGGCATCATGGCACCACTGTGTTCTCTCATAGTAAGAAATTTTTAAAAGGTTTCAAGGCACACAGCCATGAGCCATCACAAGCATGTGAATCGGATTAAACCCTGGTTTTGGAGTGGCCACTTCTGATGCAGTAAATTCTATTTCATCCCTATATACCACAACTTCTCAAACTAGGTTCAAAGGAACTCGGGGGCTCCCCAGAGTACACCCATGCGTTCCCCAAATTAAACCCGAAAGCTCCCCAGACTACACCCATGGGTTCCCCAAATTATTCCCAGGGGCTCCCCACAGTAACCCCATGGGTACCCCAGAGGGTTCCCAAATTACACTCAGGGGTTCCCAAGATTATCCTTAGGGGATATCATAATAACCCCAGGGGCTATCCACAGTAACCCCATGGGCTCCCCAGAGTACCCTTGAAGGCCTTCAGAGTACCCCAGAGTGGAAATGAGTGCCAAAGGAACGGGGACAGGTGAAGAAGTGGACGACAACACGGGGCGCCGTTGTCGTCCACTTCTTCACCTGTCCCCGTTCCTTTGGTGCTCATTTCCAGTCATGAACCAACAAGCCCAGCTAAACATTTTGTTACCCCAGAGTGCCCTTAGGAGCTCCCCAGGGTAACCCCTCAGTTCCTCATATTATCCCTTGGGGCTCCCCAGCGGGCTCCCCAGAGTACCTGCAGGTTCCCCAAACTATCCCCAGAGTCTCTCCAGAGAACCCCCAAGGGTTCTCCAGAGTACCTGCAGGGGCTCCCCAGAATAACCCCATGGGTTCTCCAAATTATCCACAAGGGCTCCCAGAGTAGCCCCTGGGTTCACCTAATTTATCCCAGGGGCTCCCTAGAGTACCCCCATGGGTTCTCCAGAGACCCACAGGAGCTTCCCAGAGTACCCCCACCGGTTCCCCAAATTATCCCTTGGGGCTCCCCAGAGTACCTGCAGGTTCCCCAAACTATCCCCAGAGTCTCTCCAGAGAACCCCCAAGGGTTCTCCAGAGTACCTGCAGGGGCTCCCCAAAGTACATACTCCCATGGGTTCCTCGAGTACCCACAGGGACTGCCCAGAATAACCCCATGGGTTCTCCAAATTATCCACAAGGGCTCCCAGAGTACCCCCTGGGTTCACCTAATTTATCCCAGGGGCTCCCTAGAGTACCCCCAAGGGTTCTCCAGAGTACCTGCAGGGGCTCCCCAAAGTACATACTCCCATGGGTTCCCCGATTACCCACAGGGACTGCCCAGAATAACCCCATGGGTTCTCCAAATTATCCACAAGGGCTCCCAGAGTACCCCCTGGGTTCACCTAATTTATCCCAGGGGCTCCCTAGAGTACCCCCAAGGGTTCTCCAGAGTACCTGCAGGGGCTCCCCAAAGTACATACTCCCGTGGGTTCCCCGAGAACCCACAGGGACTGCCCAGAATAACCCCATGGGTTCTCCAAATTATCCACAAGGGCTCCCAGAGTACCCCCTGGGTTCACCTAATTTATCCCAGGGGCTCCCTAGAGTACCCCCATGGGTTCTCCAGAGACCCACAGGAGCTTCCCAGAGTACCCCCACCGGTTCCCCAAATTATCCAGAGGGGCTCCCCAGAGTACCTGCAGGTTCCCCAAACTATCCCCAGAGTCTCTCCAGAGAACCCCCAAGGGTTCTCCAGAGTACCTGCAGGGGCTCCCCAAAGTACATACTCCCATGGGTTCCTCGAGTACCCACAGGGACTGCCCAGAATAACCCCATGGGTTCTCCAAATTATCCACAAGGGCTCCCAGAGTAGCCCCTGGGTTCGCCTAATTTATCCCAGGGGCTCCCTAGAGTACCCCCATGGGTTCTCCAGAGACCCACAGGAGCTTCCCAGAGTACCCCCACCGGTTCCCCAAATTATCCAGAGGGGCTCCCCAGAGTACCTGCAGGTTCCCCAAACTATCCCCAGAGTCTCTCCAGAGAACCCCCAAGGGTTCTCCAGAGTACCTGCAGGGGCTCCCCAAAGTACATACTCCCATGGGTTCCCCGAGAACCCACAGGGACTGCCCAGAATAACCCCATGGGTTCTCCAAATTATCCACAAGGGCTCCCAGAGTACCCCCTGGGTTCACCTAATTTATCCCAGGGGCTCCCTAGAGTACCCCCATGGGTTCTCCAGAGACCCACAGGAGCTTCCCAGAGTACCCCCACCGGTTCCCCAAATTATCCAGAGGGGCTCCCCAGAGTACCTGCAGGTTCCCCAAACTATCCCCAGAGTCTCTCCAGAGAACCCCCAAGGGTTCTCCAGAGTACCTGCAGGGGCTCCCCAAAGTACATACTCCCATGGGTTCCTCGAGTACCCACAGGGACTGCCCAGAATAACCCCATGGGTTCTCCAAATTATCCACAAGGGCTCCCAGAGTAGCCCCTGGGTTCGCCTAATTTATCCCAGGGGCTCCCTAGAGTACCCCCATGGGTTCTCCAGAGACCCACAGGAGCTTCCCAGAGTACCCCCACCGGTTCCCCAAATTATCCAGAGGGGCTCCCCAGAGTACCTGCAGGTTCCCCAAACTATCCCCAGAGTCTCTCCAGAGAACCCCCAAGGGTTCTCCAGAGTACCTGCAGGGGCTCCCCAAAGTACATACTCCCATGGGTTCCTCGAGTACCCACAGGGACTGCCCAGAATAACCCCATGGGTTCTCCAAATTATCCACAAGGGCTCCCAGAGTACCCCCTGGGTTCACCTAATTTATCCCAGGGGCTCCCTAGAGTACCCCCAAGGGTTCTCCAGAGTACCTGCAGGGGCTCCCCAAAGTACATACTCCCATGGGTTCCCCGAGAACCCACAGGGACTGCCCAGAATAACCCCATGGGTTCTCCAAATTATCCACAAGGGCTCCCAGAGTACCCCCTGGGTTCACCTAATTTATCCCAGGGGCTCCCTAGAGTACCCCCATGGGTTCTCCAGAGACCCACAGGAGCTTCCCAGAGTACCCCCACCGGTTCCCCAAATTATCCAGAGGGGCTCCCCAGAGTAGCCCAGGCGCTCTCCAGATTATCCCTAAAGTACCCTCAGGGATACTCTGGGCAGCCACTGGGCTCCTTAGAGTACCCCCAGAGTACAACTACAAGTGTCTGCAGGTCGTCACGGCTTCCCAACTAGCATAAGAAACATTCAGCAATAAGAGGTCTATACCTTTCAGGGCACTTCCAGCTTTCAAGATCAGATAAATGAGCAAACACTAGCAGAGGCATCCTACCTGTAGAAATGGACGGTCCCCTCATCCAGGTCAAGGCAGCAGCCAATGACGTCGCCTGCCAGCCAAGGCTAACGAGTTGAAAGTAACAAACCGATCAACAAGTTAATCAATGAGATAGCATATTTCGAAGGACACTCAAGTGAATATCCAGCTTGTATTTAACTGTGATAATCATCTCAAATGTAACGACAAAGGTACATACATGTTGGCTGGAGGGGGGTGCGGGGCGAGGTTACAGCTTCTACGGAATAAGTATGCCAAAAAGTACGGCGGCGGTATGTGCCCTAGCAATATGGCCATGAATGAAAATGGTTGTGACAATACAGTTGTAAATATGAAGAGGACACTTTGCATCCAGTACTAACTTAGGGTACAGCCACGAGCTTGTAGCTTTAAGAAATGATCTGGATACACAAGCAGTTACGCCAAAGACATGACGAACTGCCTCGTGCTTGTAGAAGAACATTCTAAAACGATCACTAGACATGATGTGAAGGCGGCAATTCTTCAAACGTACAAATGAGAAGACGGAGCGAAAAATTCTAGCAGAGATTTTGATCAACCCATTTTTGGGGTTCACATTCCTGCAAAATAAAAAAAAATATCTAAAAGTTAAACAGAAAACAAAACTCTTACTACATTTAGGTCCTCTCACAATCAAAAAGTGTGCTCATTTAGAAAATTTTGATATTAGCTTCAGTGCCTCTTATACCAATGCTTGAGTAAAAACCGACTCACCTCGCCATATTTGTATGTCGAGACGTTCCATTTGCGAACACGGTTTCCATCGTAGGCGTATGAATCCTGAGTATCGCCGACGCCTTTCTGAAAATAAACGAGGGAAGACACCGGGATCATATACTGACCTTTTCGTCACAAGTAGCATGCTTGACATTATACGACAGAAGCCAAAACTCGCAAATGAATGTTATTATACAAAAGTGTAGTCACTTACCTCCTGAGAAAACTTGCAGTTGCTGGTGACCCAGCCGACCTGCATGACGCCTTTCGATCCAAGCATCAGCTCGTATTGCCACTTTCCTAAACACACGAAGGGTGAACAAAAATCAAAACAAAACGATACCTACAGATCACCCTTTAAACAGACAACAACACCTCGGGTGATCATGAGCACAGGGAAATAGGGAATATGAACTAATGATTCATGTGCGCACGTGCATTTTATATGCAGAAAAAAAACAAAAAAACTACGCCCATTGGAGCACAAGATGCCCAAGCGTCATCGAAGGTCAGAAGCTTGCGCTGGAAGAGGGGTAACGAAAGACCTCCTCGGCGCTCTAATCCCAACTATATAGACCTTTTCACCCTCCGCCGCCTGGGCGCTGCCATCTTGGAATCACGTGATGCGGCCGCCATTAGGTTGCTTCAACTTGTTGCTCCGCTCTCCCGTCCGCGCCTTGGCGGATGCGTTGAATTCGTGGTTTTCGTCGCGTTTCACCGCGTCTCTTGCCTTACTCCGCAAAGTGTCGTTCGATACTTATACTTACCATGCAATTGCATTACATCATTATGCGCGCAACTTCTGTAGTTAATTTTGTAACACGTTTTGAATATTTTTTTTTTTACCGTCGGCGTGCGAGATACGTGTGAAAAGGCTTTATAGGAACAGGAATCGGCGTTAGCTGTTGCGCACATTGAATACATATATGACTTGAAGAGAGCCTCGAGAGTTCAAATACCAATAACTTAGAAGAACTGAGGTTTGGTTACTAAAAAGGGCGCAACATTTGCAATAGGGAGCCCTATTATATGTAGGAGTGCGCATTGGTGCCAAGGAAGGAAACAAAACACTCCGCGTAATTAGCCACGTGTTTTTCCTGAAAGCATGGTGTTTTATAGTTACAACAGATCGAAAACAGTTTCTTTTGATTACACAAGGGAACTTGTGGACAAGACACCGAAACAAACGTTTAGTTTGAATTATTTCTTATGCTGGAAATAATGGTACCTTAACATTAGGCAACTTGTTTGTTCGCAATATCACACCTATATCTGTTTTGCGTTCTTAATCGCGTGTGCGATATAAGCATTCGCTTTATCGATTTATTTATGAATTCCACGAAATTGTATATATCATGCTTGGTCCCATGTCCATAGTCTTTCAGTTGCTAAAGTCATTTTTTTAATATAACCATGCAGATTGAATTAATTTATTTCAACACAAATATTTGGACTCCCCGCGTAAAAAACTGTCACAGACAGCTTGATAGTGCCTATGATTTACAAAATGTGACGCCGAAAAGAATTCTTCAGCATGAAAATCACCCTAGTGCAGCCGGTTGTCGACGGCGAATAGGGAGTTACTTTTAGTAACTGGCGACCTCGAAATGTGCAAAGCGCATCGTTTCAAATCAGTGAACAGCTTTCTACACAGGTCCATTGGGTGGCGCCTGGCGTTCGACTTCAGCCAAACTTATCGGAGATCATTTCTTTTGCGCTCTTCAATTTCATTCGGAAAATTTTACGGAAGATGAATATCCGACTTTATTTGAAGTCTGGCATTCAACTTATCTCACCATTCTCATACCTTGAAAACGTCGTAACCGAATGTCCATATAACAAAAAGTTTATTTCATAAGGCCAATATTTCGAAATGCTGTTAATGAGTACTTTAGTTAAAGACATTTTCTAGTCAGCCTAGGCTGGACTATCAAAATATTTCTCGAGCGCTTAATTTCTTTAAATAAAACAGGCCGAGACAAAATCACTTTTTTTATTTTATCTACGTGATTATATAAAACCTTTCTAGTCATTATAAAAGACGTTTTCAGTCTGGAAGTTAGAAAAAGTTGGTGTACGAAAACCAAACACCCGAACAGTAAACTTGTCAGTTCATCTGTTCTTGGTGATTCAGCAGATTGGTAATCATGTTGTCGACCTGATTTTTCACTAAGCACTGATGCAATATAGTCTATTGGAATATAAGGTTAGCAGTAGCAGCTCTGACTTGAGCGCGAGCTATCTACCTTCCGTACCGCTCGGTGCACGCACAGCCAAAGCACGGCGGCAGGCAACGAACGCACGCTGCAGGCGGAGCTTGTCCTGCTCTTTATTTATTTATTTTTTCTTCTGGAAATGTCCGCGGGTACGGCCGTGGACAATGGTACTCCTCCCTGTGCATCAGCGCAGTTGTTTCACCGCCGAACATGGCCGAAATTATTGATGAACGGAATCAGACGCATTTAGTGTTCCTAAAAAAAGATCGCAACAAAACCACTTCGTGGTTTGCCAAGTGGCTCGATACTATTGTTTCATTCGCTGTGTGCTACAAGAAAGAAATTTATATCGCAAAATTAATCGAAGGTGGCATGAAACAGCATCACAATCCGGTACACGTTGAAACCGAAACCGACCGAATTGAAGCAACCTAATGGCGGCGAGTGCGTCAGCGCCCTCTACCCGCCGGTCAGGCAACTACCGAAATGAAAAGGTCTATAGTTCACTTATTGTCAAATTACCGACACACCACTGTTTATCATGACGGAAGTGTAACTACGGTCGCTGACAAGGTGAGAACGTTAAGGAAGAGCTACAGCTGCCTCGCTTCCAGCGCAAGCACATCGAGCGTGCGCCTGCACAGCCAAAGCACGAAGGAAAGCGTGGAGCGCGTAGAAATGATTCTAAAGGTGATATCCGGGAGTAATTGAAGGCAGTGATCCATTACCTTTGAACACGCAGCAGGTTCCTCGTATTGTGTTGAAGTTGCTCTGGCTCGAAACCTGACCAGAAGAGAAGGGTTTCGGAGCGTTCGAAAACATGCGTTTCAACCACATATCGAGGTTCAGCTCTGAACGACACGGACTAAACATTGAACTAATTCGATTTACCTGCACCGGTGCAGGAAAGTGAAGCGCAGTGCAGAAAAGTGCAGGGCAGTGTGCTTCCGGTTGTGTTTTCCCGATAGGCTGCTCTTGCAAATCGCATATGGTGGTGCGGACCAAGCGTAGCTAATGCAAGGGGTACGGGTAAATCAAAAGCAGCAACTATTTCACTGGCCAAGGGTCTTACAGCCCTAGCTGTTAGTGCCCCTTCCCGGCAAAAAAAAAATTCTCATGTATGAATGCTAATCCCCACTATACAGCAGAGGCACTGCTCTCCCTCTCCTCATTCCTCACACACAGCAAGGTTCTTGCTTGCCCCCCCCCTTGCCCCCTCCCTCCATCAGCCGCCTTTGAGAAATACCCCGGTGGTAGCACTTTGCAGACAAGCCCCCTCGCCTCCCCACTAGCGCCGCTCAGGTTCCGTTCCCGTGTGCCCTCCACACCTTTACTGAACAGCTCGCGTTTATACTTTTGCTTCTTAAATCGACTGCGCGGTCACGGGCACCCCGTTCTCAAAGAGCGTCTCACCCCCAAAAAAAGCATGTCTCTGTGTCCTCCAACACATGCAACATCTCGCACAATCGTTGCAGCATAGCCCACATCTCCTCACACATGCCTTTTACATAAATTCCACTGAAAGCAAAGAACCTATTGCAAACATTGTAGAGCACACCGGCTAAAGGCAAGTCTCCTTCAACGTGCTTCCCATAATGCAGCAGCTACCGCTGTCAATCGCAGCACTCCCTGTGTGCTCGTTTGCTAATTTTTAGAACTGACGTTGAAAACACTTACGCCAAGCCTGTCCTTGTCGACAATGAAAGTCCCAACATTGGTGCAGATGTCAAAGGTCACGTGATGGTCGCCCAAACGGCCGAAGTCAGCTGGAATGAGAAACAATGAGTCGTTGACCGCCGTTTACGAGGCGTGCACACATGCGGTACTGTGCAGCAAAGCGTGTCTGCAAGCATGAGCTTGAGTCCGGGCTCACTTTCGGTGACTTGGCCTTTTGAGATGTTCTCCAGCTCGGAGTCAATGAAGTCATCCAAGTTTTCAAGTTTGAGAAGGGTTCTGAAATCGCGGCAATTGTCACATAAGCATATTAACATTTATAGCAAAAGCCATACTTTTTATTTTTATGAGGATTTTGTATGAGCATTTAATTCAAGTTGCCAAATGCACTCACTAACAACAAAAAAGAAGAAACATACACACACACACAAAAAGACACTTATAACAGATTTATTTTTAGGTGTTTTACTTTATGAATAGCCTAAATTTCTTTCTGTATTTTGGGATTCTGATGAAGCACAACAATGTGACAAGTCATCACAATCTGCATGCATTCTGCACGCAGGCCACATGATATGCTGACTATTTATACATATAAATAACAATATATAAAAGGGCAAGTCACTTTTCTTGGACATCCGACGGCACTTGTCTCTTGACGAACACGTACTCCAACATTGCCTCTGCAACAAAAAAAAAAAAAAAAAAGATTACGCACAGGCGCAAAAGTAAATGGCCATTCAGGGCACCGCGTACGATCTACGTAAATTCAAAAGAAACGACACCTACCCAGCCAAGCATTGCGACGGCTTGTCATGACGTTCAGGGGCCAGCTTTCCATCTTGGAACACGAAATTCATAAGCTCAATCAACAGCACACTACGTAGAACAGTCGAGGGAAGTCACAAACTCGGGAAAGTCAATTTCGGCACGCAGTCAAGATTTTCCGACTTCCTAGACGTATCCGACGTCAACTCGGGATTGTTTCCGTGATGCTAGCTGCTAGCTAGCATTCGCCCTTGTCGCCGTGCCAAAGCGTTCACTTGGTCCACGCGTCTCCGTCGCGCCTGACAACTGATCACGCTGCTTGCCAGTTAAAAATACGTCCCCGACAAAGTTGCGGTAGTAACGGGAAACACTTTCGAAAGGCGTCCGTCAGCGATCTCAGATGCACTCACGTCTGGAAGATAGGGCAGTGCAGTTGATCGCCGAACAGTCGTAGTTTTACATGGCCAGAGAATCAAAAACAAGTTCTCGTGTATTTGACGGAAATGCTGCAAACGCCAGCTCTTATTACATAAACACACGGAGCGAACGGGGAAACAACCGAAGCAGGCAAAAATTACGCTCCCTCGCTTGCTCAGCTTGCTCCCCGTCCAGATTTTCCCCTCTCTCTCTACCCCCCCTTTCTCTCTCTCTCTCTCTCTCTCGTTCGTACCTCTCTCTCCACATCAACGTTTGACGTCATAGGCGGGAGTTTCGAAACGTGAGTTCGCGGTTCTCGGTTTCGGAGGTTGAAGGTTGTGGGCCTTGCGCCGGGAAACGCGGGAATGAAGGGAAGACGCTCTGAATTAAATAAAGATAATAATAATAATTCTTATTATCATTAATCGCTGGCCGACTCCTGAGAGATGAAGGTGTGTGATTTTTCAGATCTGTGTCTTTATGGTGTCCTTGGTTCTTTCTCGCGGGTGAGCAGTACGCCCCGCACCCTACAAGCTTTAAAAAGAGTCGTTCACTCATATGCTCTTCCTCTGTTATCCTGCGTTCAAAAATGCAGCGTAAATCTACAAAAAAAAAAAAAAAAAAAAGTGCCATAAAACGATTTAATGAAATCTCGAGCGGCTTACGTGTAATATAAGTTTTTTTTTTTTCTTTCTTTTTTTTTTTTTATGTAGAAGAAGAGGATAGGCATTGGTGAGCAAAATTCAGCGTTCTACAATGTGAGCGACTGTCAAGGAAAAATGCAAAACAGCCTAAAAACAGCTTACTGATGGCGACCGTCGAAGTTCTTTCCAGCATTATGGGAATTACGGTGGTAACGCTGAACCTTTACCGACTCATTGTCAAGATCGTCGGATCTGAAGGTGAGAATTGACAATGGCTTTCACGTTTTTATGAACATACCTTGTTTATTGCCGCCAGAAAGAAAGTGCTTCGGTAGTTCCTTTTTAAATATGGTCTGCGACGTGTGATGCCCGACGATTTTTTTTTTTCCTTTGAAATCTACGTAGAAGTGGAAGACTGGCCACTTTGGCACCGGATCTCTGGTTTCACAGAGACCATGAACTACGTCGCTCTATCCGTCTCACTGGTTGGTGATCTTCATCATAACTATTGTTAAGTCTAGTCGGAAACGTCCCATCTTCTTTCATTGGGCAGCAAGGAATAATTTAAGCTTAATACACGTGCCAGCAAACAGGGTTGAGTACTTGTCTGCTAGCCAACCACTATACCATATCTGTCTTTCAGCTCATCTTGGCCTTGGAGACAAACGATTACTCGCAGAAGATTATGGCAATCTCAGCTGCCTAGCATTCGTACGAAACCTTCAGCATCAACAGTTAGCGCCACTTCAGTCTGGAATGCCCGCGCCGAGGTTCAGTCGCTGGTCCTGGGGTTCGGTGTTTCTTATGAACCACAACGTGTTTGCCTTTGGGCTGGTCACAGCTGAACTGGGCAGCAAAATCTCGATTCCCTGCGACTCTAGGTATGGGAAAACAATTTCTTGATATACCACGTTTGGTGACGTGGTACAGCTTTTCGATGACGTCATCTTAGTTCCACGTTTCGTTTTGGCATTCTATACCTGACCTTGGGAACTGCGTTCAGTGTTTCAGAGAATGACAATACAACAGGGCTGGCCGCCTTCGAAGCGCAATGGTTTGGTCCCAAGGGTCGGAGTCTGGATGCGAGTACTGCACCCAAGGTGGACCCTTTTACTGGGAGCTTGATGCTCGATGGCGTACTGTTCACGGATGCCGGCCCGTACAGTTGTCAAGTGCGCTATGCAGACGGTGAATCCCTGCAGCCACGGACTTTCAAACACGACCTTCAAGGTAGTGGTTCGTGTTACTTCAGTCAGTGACAGTTTATCAAATACTTTACTAGGGGGCAGGGATGGGCAAAATACATGCAAATATGTATCGAAATACAAATACAAAATACTTCGTCGAAAATGTAATTAATTACGAATCTAATTACATTTCCAAAAAAACATTTAAGTACAAGATACAAATACCACCAAATGTATTTGGTCTCCTCCAAACACTTTTCCAAATACATTCCTCAAAATTTGCGTCAGCGACTTCAGGGCACCTGCAACGGGTTTCTGAGTATCTCATTTTAATTTTGCACTCTAGTAACGTAATAGAAATATAATCACAAAAAAATATAATCAGCTTGGACGTAATAGGTGAAAAAACTACAGAGCTTCAGGAAGCTTTTTTTGTCGATTACAATTTGGTATAGACCAACAAAGAACCGAGGCGACCAAGACGCGCAGCACTAGCTAGAGAATTTTTTGTTGTTGCAACTCACACCAGTTACGAAAATCTGGACGATCCACGCATTTAAATGTTCCAGGCAAAAATATGGATGCAAATCAGGCTGGAAAGCATCACAAGTTGTCACAGGCACTTATTTGGCCAGTCTGCCTGTGAACGTCGATTTCGTCGCTATTCTTGCCCTGGACTAGCACCGTAATAACAAAGTCACTAAACGCTTGTGCTTGATTGAGAGACACTGCATTTGGTGCAGAACGTAGTTTTGTTCCTGCTTTGGTCAGTGACAATAAATTTGAGGGATGCATTTTCGCCCACAAAACTGTATTTAATTACAATTGTATTTGAAATACCCACGTTTTAGTATTTGGATACACACGTCAAATACATTACCCAATTTGTAATTAAATACAAATGCAAAATACACAAAGTATTTGAAATACGCATTTCAAATACTTGTATTTGAAATACTGCCCATCCCTGCTAGGGGGTATACTGGACACTTTCCTTATTTGAATTGGCGGAACGACGGCCGCGCCGAATCCTCCCCTGGTGGAGTGGTTTATTTGGCAACGCCTTCCCCCAACCACCCTCCTCTCGTCGCCAGAGCACGTGACCAGGCAACGTCCCGGAATACGGCGCGGTTCACGAGGTCGCGGATGCAAAAGACGGTTCCGCTGCCGCCGTCACGCGTGTTTCCGTTGTTCTTCGTTGTCGTCTTGTTCGATGTATTCTCGGGGAGTGTCCGCTATTCGCCCTATAGACCAACACGCGGCCCTGACGTCATGCAGCTGCGGTGGCGCTGTTGGCGGCACAGCGCATGCGCAGACGCTTCGCTCCTCCCAAATTCGGTTTCTGCGCACGCGCAGTGCCCACACCTGGTGTGGGCAAAGGCGGGCTTGTTTGTAAACAGTGTGTCGGTCTATACTCCATTCACCTGAGACTAAAAGCACCACCTTCAGTGCGAGCTCGCTGGCTTCCGCAGTGCTTTGGTTGCGCGTGCCGGCGCGTTCACACTTGTGTTAGCAAAGGCAGAAGGCTCGTGCTCAAGGCGGAGCTTCTAGTCTCAGCTTCAGGGTTAACGGAGTACTAAAGTATTTCTGTTGAGGTAACTTTGTCCTCGTCTTTTGGGCGCTTTTTAACTAGAATTAATACTTACCAACAAGCCCAGTTTTCAACCCTTCTACCCTTCGAATCGTCAGGTTAAGAGTTCAGGAAAACTTCTCCCACCCCTTCCCGCTTTAGCAAAAAAAAAAAAAAAAAAAAAAAAACGCGGTAGAAGAGGTCGCCTCCTCTCTAGCGCTTGCTCTGCTAAAGACGAAAGATGTGGGAGGAGCCTTCCCTAAATCCCAAACAGAAGAAAGAAAAAAAAAAAAAAGTTATATACTTAACAAGTGCTGATTGTTGGGCAAGTTGGTATGGTACGTTAGAAAACATAGCGCTCTGTGGTGTCTGTTCTTCCTATGTCCCTGTCTTCAAGGCGCAATCATGTTTTTATATACTTAGGGGCAAGGCAGCCGAGGTGCATTTTATAGCTATATCATTGCTGTGAGACTAGCAAGGGAGTAAATGCGCCGTTTACACCAGCATTAGGGTGTGCATTCACCCCAGGGTTTTTTGTTTTTTTTTCCGCGGCTCTTTTTCTTTTGATTTTCCAACGAGGTAGAGGGGCTTAGAGCGATAAACCGGGTTCCTGTCTGCACTCGAAAGTGACCCCCCTAAGGCGGCTGCCATTGTACGCAAATTTGACCACTCGTCACATGACCAAACCAAAGACGTGACGTCACAGGAAAGATGGCAGCGCCCATGCAGCGGCTGGCCCCAGCTGGGCCGGAGCATTGGCCGGAGCTTGTCGGATGCTTTGTTCGTTGTCGTTCGTCTCGGGGAGGCGAGTTGATTTCAGACGCAGAAGCCGTCATAGGAGGCCGGTCGAAAGCGACTTCAGAGTTCAGCGTGGCGTCTGACGTAGGTATAACGTGAAAATACGGAGGAACGGTGTGCATTTTGCTAGTGACCGACGGGGATATTGCCACGAAGGAGACAATCGGCCCTACGTTGCTCGGACCTCGGATTGATTTGGACACCGCTACGATAAATTTTAAGCCAACGTTTCTGTGCTCTCGTTGACCATCGGAACCTTCGAGATCTGCAGTAAAGCGTGTGCAATATATTTGGATACACAGTTTAGCGACGGAAATTGCGTGAGTCGTGCTTGGCAGTGTGCAATCGTGATGCCGCTTCGTTCAAATGACCGAAGGCTCACTTTGGTTGTGCGGTGCACCGGAGAGCTAGCTGCCTTGCCGCTTGTAGTTCCCGTGCCGTGCTAAATGATACTGTGCTGCTCCCCAAATTGTTCCGGCGTAGACGTGCACTTTCACGGAGCACAGGTGTGCGGCGCGCCGAAGAGCTGCCTTCAAGCAGGGTTGGGCAGAAATACTCAAAAATGTATTTGGAAATAAAAATACTGGGATGCGTTAAAATAGTAGCTAAAATACTGATACTAAGATATATCTGCAAAAATGTATCGCGATACGTATCGGAAATACATTTTAAAAAGGGGCAAAAAGTATTTGGAAATACAGATACAGGAATACAATTTAGGGAGGGCAGAAATAGAAATACAGAAATACTGATAGTGCAATACATTTGCCAAATTTTTTGAGACGCCAACTGAGATGAAGCTTGAAGTTTGAAGTGGATGTTTTTGATCCCGAAATTACTTTCCCGTAGGCTTGGCACTATGCCTTGAAGGTAGCGGTTTCGGACGACAAGGAGTCTTCAATGGGCCAAAAAAAAAAACGTTCCATTGAGGGCTGACCACGGTCCCTTTCATGACATCCTGTCTGTCTGACGAGAAAATCCTGTCAACATTGATCACATGATGTCACGGTGGAATGAACTAGTATTCTTTATCTGT